AAAATAAAACGCTATTATCAAACAAGTAAAGAAAAGAAGAATTGATAATAGCAGTAACAAGAAAAAAAATTCCTTATTATCATAACTGCATTTTTAATTCAACTTTCAAAGCAGGGCACAAAATTTTATCTCATATGTACGAGAGGAGGAAAGAAGGAGAAGCAACAATGTGAAGTTATCTTTTTTTATTCACACAATACGTGACATCTTATAAGACATCCATCTGCATGGGGAGAGTTATGATCTGCAGCATGCACCATGGTGGTTTATTCGAGAATTTATGTGGAAGTCATAGAATCTTCAACAAGGCTAGACATGAGCCCCAAGAAAAAACTTCCCATTCTTCTTCCAAAAGCCCAGCCCCATTTTTTGTAATACAAAAAACCTTATTTTCATATTTTTTTAAAATTTGTTGAAAAATCCTTTAAAAATTTTATTTTTTTCGGTAGAAATACAAGGAACGAAAACTCCGCTATCTTCTTTTAAAAAAATAATTAATGGACACTAAATATTTTTCAGAAAAATTTTATCAAGTCCTCAGCAATCCCAAGTCCTGGAACAATTGCCTCCGACTTCTGCACCCCTAACCCTTGAACATGTTTGTGATCCTAAATATGGCAACTTTCGACTGTCATATGGAAATTAATATGCTGTATGGCACATATTTTATCAGTTCTCTTTTTTAAGTTCAACTATTATTTCTTTATTTACTTTTGAAATTAATGTTTTGCTCAAAAATGTTGTAAATTTTTAATTTCCATTTTAGAAGTTACACTTCTCAAAATTTGATAAAAACTCCTCACTAATTTTTCAAAAAGGGAATTTAGTTCAAAGGGAAAATTTTTTTTAAAATATATGAAGTTACACAGTAAAATCTTTAAATTGAAAATATTAATACTAGCTGAATGGAAGCAGTTGACATGAAGTAAAAATAACTTTAATCCAAATTTTTTTCCCACTGAATCAGGAGATAACAGAAAACATTATAAAAAGTTGCCATTGAAGCAGAACCAAAAATCACACCACTCTTTACAACATTTTTAGTGATTTTACAAGACAGTGCTTTTTTAACACTAAATTTGACAATTTTTCAAAATCACAAATAATTTCTGTTAAATATACCTTATTAGAATAAAGAATTTTACTAACTAATAGTCAAGCATAACCCAATATTCACTATTTACATTTTTCTGATTCCCAAAAATCTGAAATGTTTATATTTTCTAAATTGATAAGCTCATTATGTTAGGTCAAAACAATCCAAAACTAGCCATGTGAACATGTTTGCACATTGAGTTATACCTACACCCCACTCAACAGACTTTTGGTATGGTATTTACATTATATTTACAAATATATACATATATTTTCAGTGGAGGAAGATTCTTTGATTTACAGCATTGTTAAAGTTCTTTTTTTCATATTTACTATACATCTAAAAACTGATAGTCTTTGGAGAACTAAAGCATAACTGATATACACTTAAGTGTTGTTCGGATATATTAATCTTTAGCTTCATGCTCACATATTTTACTCAAAGCTTAATTCACATTTTTAAGACACCACTACACTAGGTGTTCTGAAATTTGAAAAAAGAAATTTTGACCCACTCTAATAGCCACCTGTGCCAAAAAATAAATAAAAATGTAGCAATATGATTAATTCTATCATTATTAGTTCCTATAAAAACTAAAACTAAATTAGGTAAAAAGATGTAATAAAGCATTAAATCACAACAAAGAAAATTTTTTCATCGAGATCACTCAATACTAATAATAATCAACATACTTAATCACTTAAATACAAGATAAAAATAATATAAATAATTTTCTTTAGTCTGACGTGTGATATTAGTAAAAAAAAAGTTTAAATAAAAATATTGAATAAATATGAAAGAAGCAATAAGTATCAAGCAACATGTACAAATAAATACACAAAGTTGCTGTTTTCTCTTTCTATTCACCAGCACACATGAGTTTTTTTTTCTGTTTGTCTTTAAACAAGATTATAAACAATATTAATAAGAATGACTTTATAGCAGCACAATATAACAAATCTTATAATAACCTATGCTTCAAGGCTAGATGTGTCGCACATTGTTGCAAGCATAGTAAACAATGTTTGCCAAGTTAAGATCCTCCTGCCACAGACTAACACAGATTTAAATAGTTACATTAACAAAACTTTACTTGTTATTGGTTAAAGTTTTTTTCTAAAATAAGAGTTTCCTGTTAAAATATAACAGCTATATTTAAATATACATGATATAAAATAGTCAGAATGGATTAAATAATACTTGAACTAACAATATTTTTGCTTTATTCTTTCTCCTAAAATGATTTTTGATTCCTCCATTTTCTTAAATAAAATTGGCAGAGGAGGAAACCTGAAACAAAATTCCTCATTTGTAGTTAATACGTTAAAACCGTAATAAATGGTAAAACCAGAATAAAAATTTAAACTGGTATAAAAGCTAAAATTATTAATCATGTAGTTTATAAGAAACTCAGAACAATAGTACATCTTATTTTCTAACAATATAATAAAACAATTCTTCAGTAAAAAAAAATATTATGTTCAAAAGAAAATGAATTAACTCCAACTTCTAGTAGAAAGAAAACGAACAAGTCAAATTTTTAGAAAAATCAGTAAAATAATGCAATGTCCCTTTAGATTCAGTTATTTTTAACTTTAAAAGCTGAAACGAAAAACAAAAATAGCAAATAAAACTAGATTTTCCATTTTACTGATACTCCTTTCAATAAACACAGTGAACAAAATAGGAACACCCTAAATAACTTTTAATCTATCATAATCATAGAATTTTCACACCCAAGTAATGATCTAAATGATTTAACTAGCATAATACATCATAAATATGCAAATTATTTAATGTAAATGATATTTTAAGTTACAAAATCAAACAAAAAAACATATTTTCTCTGAATTTCTTTTTCTAACGGACTCAAATATTTGATCTGTAAAATATGGTGTAAATTGTTGAGATAGGAGAGCAGTTATAAACTTCAGCCCATTACAGGGATAAAAGTAACATATTTAATGCTATCAAAAGTGCTTCTCAACAACTTCTTCCTTTCTAAATATACTGTTTATCTTAGCTTCTGAAGAACATACAGCAAGAATAACAAGTTTGATATTGTTCTTATGTTATGTTGATTGTTATAGTTTAATAACACTTTAAACCATTAACCTTTCATGTTAATTTTACTTTTTGAACTATATTTAGAACTAATTAGGGGACTTAAGAAAAATATTTTACTTTTTGAACTATATTTAGAACTATTTAGGGGACTTAAGAAAAATATTTGCACGCAATTCTAAAGTTTATTTATCTAAAAATAATTTCATGCACTAATTGATTTTTATAACAAACACATATTTGAGTTGAAATTTATTTTACACATGGCAAAATCAGTTTTCTATTGTTAAATAGATAATTTGTATATATGGAAGAAACATTCTTTTAAATTTGCCTGTTTGTGTGACATTCAGAATATAATATTGATGAAGTTGAGTTCAGAAAGACAAATTTTCAAATTATTCAGAACTTAATAAAATTAAGGGACAAAATCCAAAATGTGAAATTATTAAATCAAGAAATAAATTAAAATTACAACAGTTTTTAAATCTTATTACTCAGAAACTATTTTAACTTATTTCATGTATTTGGTTAAAGTACACTTTTGCATCTGATTTTCAATGCAACATATCCTTTACATAGGGTGCATAGCCAAATTATACAACAAAAAATAAGCACCTTTTAATGACTTTTCAAGCACTCAAAAAATATTTTTAAGCACTTTAAAAAAATATCATAGTTAGGCAGGGTTGGAAAGCTTTTGACAATTGACGGTTTTATCTGGTTTTAACCGTTATGTCAAAAAAACACATTTTGGCGTTGTTTTTGATAATTGTCAAAAAAATCATGAAATTTTGAATCATGTAAAACGAATGACGTTTTCATACGCTACAGACTGACAATGCGCCTTAATAGATTGGGGTTGAATTAATTGAGAAAACGTTGAATAGAATAATGTGAACTGTGTCTTTTTGCTTAATTCATAGCAAAAATCAACATGGTAAAGGAAAAATTTAATTTTTGAAAAGAGAAAAATTAAGCACTTTTTTAAAACACCCAATGGAAAAAGCACCTTTAAGGGCTTTTAAAAAACGAAAATTGAAAATAAGCACCTTTAAGCACTTTCTAAATAGTCTACACACCCTGTATAATGTAAGAATTAAACGTATAGGAATACTTATATGCTACACACCCTAAATTATATGCTACCCACCTTAAAAATGCTACGCACCCTGTTTGCAATAATAAACCAGTATATTTAAGGTCTATCCCACAAATCATCAGGATCACATGTTAAGAAAGCTGATTCGATATTTGTGATTTTTGTCGTCGATCTGTTTTTTCGGTAATTACTGCTGCGAATTTCATGATTTTTAATTATTTTTTTAATGTGATGACAATTTACAAAATTCAATAAAGGAAATACTTAGTGCATTTTTCTTCCCAACAAAGGATGATAAAATCGGCAATAATATTAGAATAAAAAATATGACACATTCAATAAAAATAATTATATTTTTTTATTATTTGCAAACAGTGTTCTTGTTACTTTAAATTAGTAATATACATCGTTGTTATTATTGAAAGTAATTTGCAGAAATATATTAGTGCTAGAGAGTTTTGTCGCAGAAAGCCCGAAAAAATTCTGCCATAGGAAAAGTGAGTTCTTTCCAAATATAGCAACCACTTTGTCCTTTTTTTTTAAAACAATATATCTATGAATAGCTAAAACAAATTTTTACTTTGAACTCGCAAAAATTACTCAATATCATTAAAATATTAAGTGCAACAGATTTGAGCTCAAAAATTATTTTGTTAATTTTTTTCATTGAAAATAAAATTATCTGTTGCAATAAGCTGCAGTGAGCAGCTGAAAACTTTCAAACTGGAAGTCGGTAGGTAAGAAAGTCAAGATTTGATTTTTTTTTACATTTGTATAGAATACACCATCCATAATCAGTCACTGTCAGAAATAAAAATATTTTCATAAAACATAGTTACTCTGCTGTAAAGTCTTCAGACAATTTCACCCAACACACTCCATTATCGCAATGTTTTCCAAAAAGACAATTAGTAACATGCAATCTAGGTATTTCTTCACTGGTGTACAAAGAAGCTTTAATGTATATACCTGATGGATCATTACAATCATGTAACTAAAATATAAATATCATATGTTAAAAATTTGTTCAGTAAAAATATAAATTTAGGCCTTCAACAAATGTTTTTGAAAGATGCAAATGTATTTGAAATTTCTAATTTAAAGCAGAGTTCATGTTTTTTTTTAAATTTAAAAAATCGAATTTTTTAAAATTTAAATCGGATTTTTTTAAATTTTTATTCAAATACACTGTAAGAACTTTGATTTATGACTAAAAAAACTATATAAATGTTAAATCCAAATTAAATTAATATTAAAACTATATTATAAGAATATTTTAAAAGCTCTAACTACCTAAAACAATTTTTCATTATAATAAACCATTTTGAAACAAATGTATGATTGAAATTTTAAGACTAGATGAAATAGAGAATTTATACTTTAACTATTAAAACTAAGTTTCAATTACCAAACCATAATTTAAATTTAAAATTGTGATTTCTTTTTTTTTCTCTTGATTTTTAAAATGACAAAATAAAAGTTACAGATTGTGTTTATAAATGTAGTCATTCATCAAAAAATAAATAAATATTTAATCTATATATTTTCATATTAAAACATTCATTTTTAATCCTATATCAAAATAGATAAGTTAAGCTAAAAAATTTTTTTACAAAAATCTATGTACTAATCATTGAAATTTTTTTTGCACAAAATTTCTTTATAGAAAATCTGATAATGTCAAAGATACTGTTAACATATTATGAGAAAAAAATTCTTAAATGTTTACTTTAATCTCTACTTTCAATTTCAAGAATCAAAAGATATTTAAAAATGTAATTTTAAATGTGTTGGAATTTAACACATACCAAGAAAGAAAATAATTTCATTAGCTAAAATTAATTAATGCTGCAATAATAAATTTTAAAATTAATGCAGCAATTTATTTAAAATAAATTTTAAAACTAAGAAAAGAAATAATAAAAGTATCAATAATTTAAAACACTGTTTTTAAACTTTTTAAATCAATATATGAATAAAAAAAAATTAGTTGATTTAAATCAATGATTTCTTTAAAAAAAAATCATTTGATTTAAATCAAGCTGATTTAAATCAACAAACCCTGATTTAAAGTAATGAACCAATATCCAAGTTTTGCAAAACTAAATAGGTGAATATATGAAATGTAATTACCTATTAAGGTTAATTATGCAATAATATTTTAGAAAGTAATAAACTGACATAAAAAGTTAAGGTATAACCTGTTTCCTGAGTCTTAATTTGAAACAAATGAACCAAGAAATAAGAAATTTGGTGGAAATGTGCACTAAATTTTTTTTTGATTGATTACCACATAAGACATTTAAACATGATTAAAAGGGGAAAAAAGCAAACTCGACAGAAAAGTATCTTTGAATAGAAAATGCGTTTTTAAGAGTTAAGAAAAAGAAACTGTAAAAAAATTTCAAAAGGTTTTGAAAACTTGAGGGGCTCGAACCAACCAACCTAACTACTATCATTAGAAGGCATGTAGCATATCCTTGTTTGGTGATATACAAATGAAAGTTAAAATAAATAAATAAATTGATACATTAAATAAATATTAATTAAAATAAATAAACTGTATTTTAAATAATTTACCTTTCACTTTTACTCTTCTTTTTCAAATTATTAAAATTGCACCATCACCAGCAATTAGTCAGAAAGTAAAAATTCTTTTAAAAAGAATAAACATAAAGAACCAAGGATTTAGTTTAAATATATTCACTTACAGCTATTTCCAATCATAAATGAAAAAACCTCAAATAATGCACCTGAAACCATCTGAATAGAAATTGCGCTGTTTAAATTCAAAATCCTATGAATACAAATAGCAATGCTTGATTTTAAAAGTGTGTGAATACAAAGTGCGATGTTTATTTTAAAATCGTGCAAATACAAATAGAGATGTTTAGCTTTAAAATCACACGAATACAAATAGTGATACTAACTTTTAAATACTCATGAATACGAATCATGTCGTTTGGTTTTTAAGCCAATTGAATCTAAATTGTGAAATGTAATTTTTAAATTATTAGAATAGGAATGGCAATGTGCAACTTTATGTTTCAAATCGTGTAAATTTATGTCTGATTTTAAGATCATGTGAATATGAATCACAATATTGGATCTGCAAAACACATGAATACAAATTGCAATACAGGATTTTTCAATTGTGAGAATGCAAATTGTGACATATGATAATTTGACAATGGCAATATGATTTATGATGGTTGATTTTTAAATCACTTTAATTTGGATTCTTAAGTGTGATTTCTGAATGAAAATAATTGATTTTTTATACTGTGTGAACACTCCTGTTAATTTAAAAAAAAAAAAAAAAAATTGCACAAATTTCCAGAATTTTCGCAGATATACACGTGCATAGCATGCATTTATTTTGTATAAGAAGTGAAATTAAAATGTTTCGCAAGGTAAACACATATTTTTCAAGAAATATACTAACTGCACTTTTTTAGAAAAATTTAGCTGCAAAAAAGAGAGAGAAAAACAATTAATAATCTTAAAATACAATTATGCAACCTTGTTCTAAAAGCTTATACAACGATTATCATTAATTTGCAATAAGTTTTATTTAATGTATATGAAAGTACATGAGTAAAAAAAATAAAAAAAAGAGGCAAAGTACAAAAAATAAAATAAGATTAAATAGGATAACAATAAATTATTTTTTTCTTCAATTACATTTTCACTTTCTTTGTTTTTCTTGTACGTTAGCCAATATGGTAACTATCGATCTAGCAAAAGAAAAGCATTTAAACTTTGAATAAGAAAAATTCAAACATGATTTTCATTTAAAAACCATAAGTGAGGAAAGATATTTTTACAAATGATAATAACATTATTTAACAATAAAAATGATTAAAAAGTCAACAAACCAATATTTAAAAATTAAAAACTATAAAGTATCTTACTTCAATTATTGGTTCTAAACCTCCATGAGTCCCATCACTGAGATGTCGAAATCTAAATTTGACTAGGAGTTCATTTTTAACAGTCAAATAAGGGTTGCCTAAATATAAAAAATTAATACAATAGCTTTTTTTAGTTATGAACAGACTTTGAACATGAATTATAATGAAATAAAATAAACTTTGTTCAAGAAAAAGTTTATGAAACTTTAAGTTAAATTATATTTATAATATAGGTGTAGCATAAAGGAAGCAGGGTTTGAAAAAATCCGGGGATTTTTGAAAAACCCCAACCTGCTTGGGTTTTTTCATATAGTGCTCATAAACTTTAAAATTTTACAGTGTAAATATTTTTATTTATTAAATAGTGTTGTATAAGCTTAAAAATATAAATAAATCCAAAAAGTTTATACAAAATATATATATAATAAAATTAAAATAAGTTTAAATAATGCACTGTCACTAATACGTACTTGAATCTTTATTGTTAAATAAATAACGTTTCACAATTTTTATCTGAAGTACTATAAAACATAAATGCAACAGTAATATAAAAGGAACAAGTTTATTAGGTAATCTTTTTGTTTTCCCACACTTCTATTTACTATATTTATTAAGCATATATATATATTAGTACTTATTACAAATTTATAATCAATAAATATTTATAATCAGTAAAAACTAAAATTTCTTCTGACTTTTACCTTAAATAAAATTAAAACAGAATAAATATTCAATGGTCTTCCATGTTTTTTATAATATGATTAATAGAAAGGGAAATTAAAATTATGTATAATTATAAAGAGTATCAGTTATTGTCCCATTTTTCAAATATTTATCCTTAGAAAAAAAGACTGCATTTTTAGATAAATTTTAACTTTATAATTTCAAAAAACAAATTAATCTTAAAATAATAAAAAAAAAAACACACATAAAAAGTTTTAACTTATTTTTTTAAAACCAGAAAATAAAACTTTGAATTTGTTAATTGTTGTTTAATGTATCACTTAATAGAAAAAATTTTTTCGTTTGTTTTCTTTTTAAAACACTATTAAAAGAAATAAAATAAATTATATTCAAAAGAAATCTCAAAAATAATATTTAAAAAATCTTAAAGTAATATTTTAATTTTTAACTTTTTTAATGGTGATAAAACTTTTTCCAAATAGTTAAAAATAGTCAGTAGATGTTAAGAGTAACTTTAAAAAAAAGGTCCCTTTCTTTATTTATTATTCTTATCATACAGCAGATTCAAAGTATCTACATTTCTCTATTTAATGGTGATACACTTTTACGAGTTTTGTAGTTTTATCCATTCCTAATCTATTTCATAGTTTACTCCACACCAAACCAAAAGTTGCTGGTGCTGAGTGTAAAAAAAAAAGAATTGGCAGAAATTTTGTGGAAGCTTGGAATTTTTTTTGCCATAATTTTCCACTATTTTTTGATGAAAACTGTTGAATAATAGTATCAAGCATCATTTATTTTGGAAAGTATTAAGGATTGGAAATTTTAAATGCCATAACACCTGGCAGAAATTCTGGATGATGCTTAGAAAGACAGTTTTCTGCTAATTGCTTTTGTTCATCATTTAAAAATTGTTTCCTTGTTTCGGGATCCAGGATGCATATGCTAATAAATGAGGTGGCTGAATAGCCTGATGGAATCTTTTTGCAAAATGTTTGTGGGGTTCTAATTCATCACACAATAGTAAGTTAATTCTTATTTCAACAGCTTATGAAATTGAAATGTTTTCTGACTGAAACTTTTTTTAAAGCTTCAGAAACAATTGATACCTGTTTTTCCAAATTGATAGTTTATTGGTAAAGCCCAACATTATTTAATATTTTTGACATATTATTATTAGATTCATTTTGATGTTCAAGAGCAATGTCATTTGGTAATTGGAGCATCAAGCAGTTTTTTTTTATTTGCCCATCCATGTGCTTGATGCACATTTCTAAAATATTTGTTAACTTCCAGGATGTGTCCAATGATAGTATTAGGAGAGACTTCTTTTTCAACCAAATTTTTAAAATTAAACAATTTGTGAAAAAACCCACCAAGTGGGTTTTTTCAAGGTGGGCCCACCCAATAAAACCCGGGCGGGTTTTTTCAAAGTGGGCTCACTTGGCGAACCCTGGAAGGAAGGCACACTTTTTGGTTTTAGAAAACTGTTAGTTTATTTTAAGTTTTTTGTACATACGCATATTTATTTTTTATATGAATATATATTTATATTCTAGCATAAATGTAATGAAACCTAATATAGACGAAAAGCTTCTTAAAAATAAAAAGTGTGACCCCCCTCACGCTACTAATTTATATACTTGAAACTACTAGAGAAAAGACAAGTATCCAAATGCAGTAGATTTCTTCAGTTGAATTTTTTATGTTAAAAATTGTTTGCATAGAATATAAAAATAGTTTTACCTAAAGATTATTTGAAATATTTACCATATGATGAAGTAGAGCTGGATGCTAATGATGATTGAAACTCTGAAGATAAAGTCTGAAATGTATTTTCATAACCAAAAGATTGATGCATCTTAATACTCGTCACAATAACGAGATGATAAGTTATGAAACGGTCTAAATACACAAAAGCGAAACTTATACTTTTAGATTTAAAAGGAGCGAGATATTAAGTCTTCCCTAATTAAAAGTTAATATGTCAAGTAGCAGTAAATGTATTCTCACTCGGATGAAAGCTTGAAAATAAAAACCCACATACAAAAAAAAAACACAAAATGGATAATTCGTGATGTAAACAATTTATTGATTACAATACAAAACAAAAAGAGTAGGGAATTAATCGAAATTCCCTGTTAAAATGCGCGTCAGCAGACAGCGCAAGCATAAGTTTCGGTTTATGTTTATTGAAGTGTCTGTACGCCTTCAGCCACTTATTTTTGTACTAAACAAGTTCTTAAAAGGATACATTTTTACTAACAACTCATTTCACATGTGCTGTCACACTTGCGCGTTTTGCATATGTGATTTCTCAAGATAAAGGTCTACATACCAAGCAAGTATTTTAAATCAAGAATCTTATTTCTACATAATTGGTATGCATTCTAGAATAAAGAAAAGACTTAAGAAAATTTAGAAAGTTCATATTACAGTTCTAGGGTTGAAGGATCCTCTAGGGTTAAATTCTCTGATGGTGGAAATGCTACCAAACACAGCGAAATTGCACATTTTTACACATTTGACAAAAGTTATTTGCATATACCATGTTCCCAACCAACTAGTATTAAAATTCTATTCCTTGGTCTCATGGCTGATGTTATTTATTATATGCAGTTGCAATGTTAACGTTAAAATCTGTATACTGGTGAAAACCAGAAACACTAAAATATATTACTATTCTTTGAATCATGACAAAATACAATATTTGTGACTCCATTTCTATGACGCGCATTCATGAAGGTTTTTTTCTTTTCAGTAAAAAAAACAAACTATTTTTGATTTTTATTCAAGGCTTGTCTGTAATATTCGTTAAGTAATTTAGTAAGACCATCTGAAATTCCGTTCGTTGTACGGGTTAACTCAGTTAGATCATGCACAAAACTGAAAGGCATATACCAATTCACTTACCACAATGAAACGATTTTCTCCGGTATTTATTGAGGTCATAAAAATCGCTTTCCGCACACTATAGATACAGATTTAATAGGTACCAAATATATAAACATGGGTGTCTTTGCACCTATATTAGTATATTTTTTATCATTTAAAACTGCATCAATTACCATATTTCAAGTAGTGTCTTCTATTACTAAAAAAAAAAAAAATTAAGCATCATTGGCATCAATAACAGCATTGCAATTTTTTACGTTTCTCTTAAACGAATTAGTACCATCTCACTATCAATTTTTCTTTCTTTTCAGTACATAACTTTTTTTTAAAATTTGAAATACTGAATATTTCAATAAAATAAATGTAGACCAATTTGTGTTAAAATTTTCTCCTTATGACGAACACATGGAATTCATGAACTCAAAGTTTATCAAAATTATTAAAAAAGGAAAACAGATTGTTGTCAGGTATGTGATGATAGATCCAACAATCACGCATGTTTTTCAATAAATATTTAGCTATAAAAATGTTTAGGGAACTAGGAAAGAAAACAGAAAAAAACAGTTTTGGATACTCCAAAATTTGCACAAGGTCTGCAACTTAAACATCTTTTATTATGTTGTGCAGTCGCTAGAAAGAAAATAAAAAGTAAAATTTAAGAAAATGATAAGATAATGAATTATAAATATGTAAATTAAATAGTGTAAGATGGTAATTTGTTGCCAATGCAAATTTAAGCAAGATACAAAAAAAAAAAAAAAGAAAGAAAATAATAATAATATACCATAACCCATTTTCTCTGAATGGGGAAATTTAAAATTTTTTTTTAAAGATTTAGATTTCTGCCTCTCAAAATGAACTGTAATCTATAATGCACAATCCAAATAATTTTTATTTAGAAATGAGTCAAAAGTTAGTGCCCCATTATGTAATTTTTACTTACCAAAGATAATTTCGTGTAAAAAATATTTTTTTATAATTATTTAGAGATAGTCTTGAGTAAAGTGCATTGAGAATTATACAGTTTTAAAGAATAAGAAAATAAAGATTTAATTAAAAAAACACCCAAGATATATTTATTTTCTAGTGCATATACAACAGATTACTTCCAATAACTAATAGAGTCTGATTACAATGACCTTAGGAGTTGAGAACTTTATGTAATTTTCTTTTCAACTCCTACTCCAGTTTTAATTTAAATTCCTTAGTAAAAATAATCTTGTTTTCATCTCGTTTTTTTAAAAAAAAAAATTTCCTCGGCACAACTGTACATACATAAATAGAAAGTACGAGAATTCAATTTGTAAAGGCGAGTAAGCAATATTCGCAATGGAACTTTTTTTTCCATAAAAATTTTATTAAATAAAGAAACTAAATGATTTTAACTACATGATTAATTTTTACATCATTAAATGTCTATTTATATTAAGGAGTAAAAGCGCAATAGAGGCCAGTAAAAAGAGGAATTTTTTAACGGTTGTGATTAACTTAATAAATTTTTTCTATGTTATTGTACACATTTTCATCTTCATTTCATTATGTTCCAAATACAAGAATTTAAAAATATGTTTAAAACTTATTTTTTAAATTATTTACTACTATATTCATAGAAAAAATAATCATCACAATTTGATTCAGGCTTGATTTTTTACGTTAATGTAGTTTTTGTTGCACACAAAATTTTTAAAAACTAAATTTTTTGTTTTTTTAGAAAATGGTACAGCAGAATAATAATGGTACAGCAGAATAATTTCAAATAAATTACATTTAAAGTTTCGTGATTAATAAACTATATAAAATTTTGTAACTAACTATAAAGCATCATTTTCAGTAATCTCTATTTGAACAAAATGTCATAAAATAAGTTACATTAACGAGAATTATTCAAAACCAGTTAATATAATAAAAAATCCCTACGTGCAACAAAAACTATATTCATTGTGTCAAAATTTGAAGTTAATCAGTTGAAAATTGTATTAGAGATATAGCAAGTACCAGAAACATAGTTTAAAATGAATTACATTTAAAGTACATTACATTAATATAGTTTCAAATAAATTACATTTAAAGTTTCGTGATTAATAAACCATATAAAATTTTGTAACTAACTATAAAGCATCATTTTCAGTAATCTCAAGTGCTAGACTAAACATTCTTATAATCAATCTACCCTCATCTAACGCCTCTTATATTTTTAGAGTAGAAGCGGTCATCTTTATTTTGAGTATATTCTTTGGCTGTTGAACCTACATTTAATTTCAATTGCTCTAAAACTCTCAATAACCCTTTGAAAACCTTCACTAAAACTTATAACAGCTAAATAAGTTGCAATTTCAACTATTTCTAATATTACTCCTTCTTTCTGACATAATTTAAACAAATTATTTCAATAAAATAGTTAAAACATTCTTGTTCATATATCTCACAGCACGTCCTGGGACACGCTCGACATATTCTGCTGTAACTTTACAGAACTCAGTTCAATATTTTGGTACAATAATCATAAAGGATAAACATAATTTAATGTGAAAATAAAATTCTCCCATTTAAGTAATAAACTCCCTGAAAATTGCACCTAATGAAAATAAATTCCTCACTAATACTTGCGGTGATCTCACTAAGTTAAACAAACTTATAATTTTTCCTAAACTGGAAAAATGAGGAGAGTGCATTTGTTCTTTTAGATGCGGTGGGTGTTCCCATAGTTCACAATTGGAGTTGGTGATGTAACCTACTGAACAAGAGGAGTCGTCGATTTTAGAAAATTGGGTGAGAGGTGCTGACCTAAGTGTTGGATCCAAGTTAAGAATTGCATTCTTTTCTTGCTGATGGTAAAATTCTTTTGTGAGCATTTCGTTTGATTGAAGGCATATAGTTGATTTTAGTTGTACTAGAGTTTTAGGTTTTGAAAATGAGAGGGAATTAAAGCCCCTTAGTTCAGATACTTAGAAAGCCGAACATTTTTTGCGATTTTAATGTTAGGATTTCACAAATGGAAAGGTTTGTGCAATCAATCAGTTAAGAGACGTCAAGAAAACAGATTAACTGTCAAAAATTAAAAAAAAAAAAAAAAAATTGAAGTTGCTTCATTAAGAGGGATAAGAGAAGCATACAGAATACAAAACTTCAAATAAAAGTCAATAATAAACAATTTTTTAAACTTTATCTTAAATATATTTTTACATTTTAATCATCATTAGTTAATTTTTTTAAATAAAAATATTACATTACATAAAATATGTTACGTGTGAGTAAGGGTTTGTGTGTACTTTTTTGGATAAAAAAATTGATTAACTTAAAAGGATCAATAAAACATATCTTTGAAACTTTTGCTTTAGTTTATTTTTAAAAAACTCTAAATGCCAATTTCCGTTTTATCAGGCAGCACAAATTTAGGCTAATATAAAAAGATTTTATCAACTCCATGACTTTGCTTTAACGAAGTGTGAGGTATAATATATACATGAAACATCTACCATAGAGATGAAAAATTTTAATAATAACAGCAGTATACAAACAGAATTTTTATCATCTTATATTTACAATCAATGACAATAATAATAGTAATTTTTTGTAAATAATTTTATATTTATTACTCATTCATTCTTCTTGCAAGCATTCACAGAAGTACACAAATTTATGAATATTTAACAAATATTTACACTACATTTAAAATAACAATTCCTTTGGAAAAAAAAGAAAAGGGTACCCTGATTGGTAAAACAAATAAAAGAAATGTACAAGATATAGAAATGATTGAGAATTAAAAAAGAATATATCTTTAAAAGCTTGCTTTGAAAAACTGGAGAGTAATGCAGCATTGACAAAGCACTGTCTTTCAAAATTGACAACAGGAAGTTTTTTAGGCACATATAAAATTTGTTATTTTTCAAAGTGTCCAGCATTTAAGACAATGCTCAGTGAGCTTTAGCTTGAGTGTAAATATTCATGGTATTAGAAAACTGCAACACAATAATGATTTTAATGTGGTAATCATTATTCACACTTCAACTTTTAGTAAGTGTGCAAATTCCTTCAGTTTACTGTCAGACAAAATATACTTTAGTTTTTCAGGATATTTTTCTCCATTTTGCTTCTATTAAAAAAAGATGAATAAAACATTATATGATTAAAATTTACAAAATGCACAACATTGATATTGCATTTAACAATTCAATGAATATCAATAGTTATACTTTAAAGCACAAAATTATTTACAACTAGTCCAAATCAAAAGAAATAATGAAGTTACCAAAACAATTTGTATATTCCGCAAGAATGTTACAATTTGTTAAATTTAAAAAAAAAAAAGTGAAAGAAAAAACAGCAAAACATAGCTATTATCCTTAAATACAATATATTTAAAATAATAATTCAAAATGGGTTGAAGAAGTTAAATTTATGTTTATAAACCAAATACTTCCCATTATTCCTTTTCTTTCATTTACCATACAAAACAGGGGCATAATTTATGCAAATTTTATCAAATCCTCCCCCTTTAATAAAGCAAATACCCTCTTTAAAAAATTTATTATAATAGGATTAAAATTTGATTTGCATTATATGAAGCAATGTTTTATAGATTTTGTTTTCATCTTGTCAAAGATATAGATTTTTAAAAATTTTAATCAGAAAATTCCTTCATTTTAAATGCCAACAAGCTAAAAGAAGGAAAAAAAATCTTTCAATAATAATGACTATATTTAATGATTGATAACAAAATAGTTATACAAAATGATAATTGTTAATAACTGTGATAAGCGTGAATATAAAGAATAAAAATTATAGCACTTCAAAAAAATTTAGTTAATCTTCTTATAATTCAATAAAAGCACAGCTTTTTTATAGAATCTATTCTCTCTAAATTATAATTAAATAATTAACTGTGTTAACTAGTTAATTGTGTTAATATGAGGAAGAAATTAACGTATTTAATTTGTATGAATAATGGATTAATAAAAATATTTTTAGTATGATTGAATTTAATTATAAAATAATCTAGAGAACAGACGTAAGTGTTAAAAAAAAAAAAAAATTAGATTTTACTACTTAGTGCTTTTTAATTGAACACTTTTAATAGCACTTGACATTTCCCTAGGTTGTCACTTTCTAAGCAGTATTTTACGCTTTCTGAACACACAAATTATAAAATTGGTAGGAATTAAATATCCCAGTCACAAAGAATAAATTGAATACATAATACAACAAAGACATTATTTTACTGACCAGTATAAAAAAAATGCTGAGTTTTCCAAATGAATAAAGAAATAAATTAGGCTACTTTTCTAACGTCACTATATATAGATAATATACATTATTAATATAACTTCATCAGAGAAAGTATGCAATATATGCTAATTATTTGTTCAAGTTTTTCTAAATAAGCAATACTTACTTTTAATTCATTCAATATAGTTTTTGTTGGAGTGCTATCCATAACTTCAATGACATTTAATTCCTTCTCATCCATTATGTATAAACCAAGTTTTTTCCAAAGCTTATTTGAATCTAATGTTTTGCAAAACAGATCTTCTCTATTTTCATTAATATGTTTTTCTTCAATGGTATCCTTTTCAAAAATATTGTGTTTTTCTATAATTTCAAAAGGAAGAAAGAAAAAAGAATTAAAATGAAAAAAAAAAAGTAGTTAAATAAAATTTTAAATACTATTAGTTACATAGATAGAGCTATATGAAAGAAAAGTTAAAAATAACATTTTAATGAGTTTGAGTAAACAAGCATTAAAGTTAATACAGTGATTTTTTTTTTGTTACTTCAACCAATGTCTAGGTTTTAGACATGTATTTTGATAATTTTTTAATGAGGAAGAAGTTTTGATAATTTTTGAGTATCTAAGTAACATAAAATTGATCAATTGAATTTAAATGGAAGAATGTGTCAAGTGCAATTTTAATGCTTGCAATTTTTGAAATGAATATTTTTTTAAAAAAAATTTTGCTTTTTACTACAAAAATTAAGAATTATTGACCCTGGCCAAAGGCATTCCCACTTTACAATGGTGTTATAGTGTGTATGTGTTGTGGATCCCAAGAGCTGTGACATGTGAAGCCAGGCTACTGAAAGGGCCACCGAAGCAGGACAGATCAGAGGACAGACACCAGATAATGAGAAACAGCCTGGTGCATTTGGTCAGGGTTGAGCTTGGGATCAATAGCTCTGTTTTGTAAATAATAATAATTGTTAGGAAATTTAAACAGAAAGGTTATATTATTACATTGTTCAGCAAGGTCCAATAACTGTAGTGCTATAAAATAAAAGGAGTGAAATTGTAGGAAAATGAAGATTATGTCTTGCTTTTATTTTTTTTTCTTGTCCACTTCCATTTAGCACAGTGTTTCTCAAAGAGGTCTATATGAACCCCTAGGGGTCCGTGGTACCATTCAGGGGGTCCGTGAAAAATAAAAACTGATTTAGGGGTCCCTGAACAATGTCAGGGGGTCCACGAGATGTTTAATATAAAATAATAAAATTGTGATTGGTTTTTATTATGGAATTTAAAATAGTAACGATTTTTAGGTCCTAAGTAAACTATAAATAAAGGTGGGTGCTTATAATTATTAACAGTGGTTTGTTACAAATTAGACAGTTGATTTACCAATTTTCTTATATCTTTTGTTCCCTTTTTAAGAGATAACAGTATGAATGAGTCGAAGAAAAAACACCGAAAATGCAGTGCTGAATATTTAAAGTATGTCTTCATTTCTTCACCAGGAAATAGTACTTTACCTATGTCTATATATTGCCTTCTATGCAATAAAACTATAACAAGTGATTCAATGAAACATTCCAAGCTTAACGAACAATTGATAGAAGTACATAGTGACAAAAAAGATAAAGATGTAACTATTTTTCAAAAAGTCAAAGAAAAATATCTGAAAACACCGTCACAGCAACAACTTAGAGGGACAACATCAAAGCGAGGTGACTATGGATTGCATGTTTGCATATTGCATATTACATGATTGCATATTATATGATTGCAAAGTCCGGAAAGCCTCACAGTATTGAAGAACTTATTTTACTAGCTGTAAGTGAGGCAATACTCACCAGGCTGCACAAACCAGCTTTTAACATTGTAAAAAGAATTCCACGGAGTAATAATAATGTTAAAAGAAGGATTGACAAAATATCTCAGTGCGTAGAAAATTCTAAAGAATATCTGAATTTTCTATACAGCTTGACAAATCCACTTATCCAGGAAACAGAGCTTTTACTTTTAGCTTATGTAAGATTTGAAAATTCTTAAGAATATCTGAATTTTCTATACAGCTTGACAAATCCACTTATCCAGGAAACAGAGCTTTTACTTTTAGCTTATGTAAGATTTGTAAACGAATAAGAATTTTACCAAGAATTGTCATTTGCTAAATGCTTGGAAAGCGATACGAAAGGTGAAACGCTATTGACTGAATTAAAAGCTATACCCTTGACTGATATCATTTCTGTAGCTACTGACGGTGCTCCGTCAATGGTAGGAAGATACCGAGGTTTTCTGACTAACTTAAAACAAGCTGCAACTAATGTATTTCCAGTACATTTGCCAAACTTACGAAACTAATGTGAAACTACAAGATGAACAATTAAATTTAATCAAAACTAAAATCGTAAAACCGCGTTTGTTGCAAAACTTTTTCTGCATAAACAAAACGTGGGAAGAGGATATTGTTGTCTCAGTTTTAGTGCCGTAATGAACCTCATCACAAAAAAAAATAAATAAATAAATGATTATAAATTAGTGCTCACAAACATTGAACCCGGCATAAATACACTCCTAAAATCTCATCACGTTCATCCAAGTCATTAATTTTTTAAAATTTTATTTTAAACTAAAGATATAATTTCAATAAATAGTTCTAAACAAAATGTTTTTTTTTTTTTTTTTTTTTTTTTTNTTTTTTTTTTTTTTTTTTTAAAATTTGTAATTTTTATACCGTACATATGTATATGCAGTTTTTCACCTGGGGTTCCATGGGCAAATTTTGACTATAAAAAGGGGTCCACGAGTCTAAAAAGTATGGGAACCACTGATTTAGCACAATTTATAATCTCTATTACTCATTTACACTGTTTTACATGTTGACATTTGCACTGTTAAGTAGTTGACAGCTTTTTTAGCGAATGCAGTTAAAACCTTTTTTCACTTAAAGCACACAAAAAAAATGTTACTCAGTAAATTTATCCACTGAAATACTTAAAAATTAAACTAACAACTAAAGAAAAATAAAATTAATGTAGTATGATAAAATAAAACATGAGTTTTACCCACATAATACTTTTTTTAAAAAAATAATAACATTTTGAACCTTTTTCTATAAAGCCATCCACATAAGTTTAACTATTATCAAATATATTTAAAAAAAGTTCAACGTGTATCATCTGAGTTTTTGTTTTAAAAAATAGTCTTGTATTAAACACACGGCCAACAACAAAAACAACAATTTGAGTTATTCATAAAAGCTTTTTCGATAAAAAAAGTTAATAATAATGAAGATACCTTCTATAATTTCAATGCAATCATCCTCATTAGAGTTGCTTGACTCGGTTGACAACTACATATATAAAAAAATTAAATATTATTATTACAAATCATGCTGAATGATTGTTATACGGGATATAAAGTTTCAAATCCCGGTTTTCATAGTTCAGTTAAGAAAATTGGTGGTATACAAAATTAAGTCAGTCAAAAATTATTAAAGGTTGGGAAATTAGAATAAAATAGTTTTAAACAACAGTCTAGACTCACAATAGCTTTAACTGAAGCCTGACACACAACAAAATTCTTCTATTTCATGGAAAAAACAAATTGGGAATAGCTCTTTCCCATTTTTCAAACAAGGTTTTAAGAAAAAAAGGAATAGGAGCTGTTTCTAAAATTATGTTTTCATTCCTATGAAAACATAAAGGTTTTTCAAATATCTCTAAAATGAAGTTTTCATTTCTTAAAGATGATGAATAAGTAAAGGGATTCTCGAATAAGATATATAAATGGCATTCAAACAATTTGTTTTAAAACTAAATAATTTTTATTGAAAGGTATGCATTTAAAAATTGAAATAATCATTTTATTGCCTAAAATATGAAAATAAAATACAAAAAGTGTATTTACTTTTCCATCTTTCTTGACTATTCCCTGCTTTTTAGACTTAAAATGAAATTCCCTGACAATTTCAGGTTTTCCCTGTTTTTCTTGACCCATGGGAGCCCTGAATAAGTCTCTGCCCTTCAAAAAAATTATCTGAGAGACTAGTTTTTTTGTGGGTAAGTGTATTTCACCAATCAGGTTTTCATTTCCATCCACAAATTTTTTGCATGCAGTGAGATTGGTCCAATAAGGAATTTACTAAAATAATATAAAAGACTGGTTGAAACTAAGTAGTTGCAAAAAGCTACCGGAAAATCTAGTAGAGTTGGTAGCTATCAATTGTCTTTTTTATTATGTATAAATTTCTTTTTATTAAATTCATGAAAAAGTGTCGGTCTTACATTCCATTTGCAAGGGTGATTGTGAGCCCAAGTCAAAATTCCAGAAAATTTCCTGAGTAAAAAAAAAAAAAAAAAAAAACNCTTCCGGATCACAGTTAGCGGAAAATCCGGATTTTTTTCCAGAGCACAATCAACCCTGTATGAGTTTGTTACACAAAATATGGATAACTGACTGTGTCGAAATATTGTGCTAAATACGTTTAAATAATTTTTGGTTGTACAAAAATTGTCTCGAAATATATCCAGGTTAGCCACAAAAACTCAGAAAAAAAATCCCTGAATGGACTGGATAAGAGTTTCTTTAACTGTGAGTCCCGACCAATTGGGATTGCAGGACCTGCAGTAGGGTTTACCAAAATTGTTTATCAATTTTGATATTCCTCTAACTAATTATAATAATTTTAAAATTACTAAATATGTTTTGACAATGTTTCTAGAAACAGATTAAGATAAGAAAATATAGACAAAGAAAAAACTAAAGCATTTCACTGCATTTTTATTGTATTTATTAGTTTGTTCTTAATTTAAAATTTGCCCATTGCTTAATGTCTTAAAAGTAAAAAATAAAGTTTAAGACCTAAAACTGCAATAGCATATTACAGTACTAATGACGAAACTGGAAGTTTTATTAACAAATTTGTGGGATTTGCCCAATGCTGATGGGTTCCCACAATTTTGTAAATATTATAGGGTCCTCACACCTAGAAGATAAAGGTGGACTTCTAGACTGATTTTATTGAATTTATCTGATTTTTGAAACCAGTGGAAGGATTTTAAATACTAACTTTTCAGTTACGTCCTAAAATATATTTTAATGTATATTAGATGTTAGAGATATAAATACAATTTTAAAAAAAATTATTACAAGATCAAAGTGTTTGGGAAAATATAGAACTTTCAGCTATCTCACATTAAAATTAATTCATTTTCCTTGCCATTTTGGGTCATTAAATTCCCTGATTATTGAAGATTCTATTCTCTTTGACATTAAAATTTCTGATTCTTCCAGATTGATTAAATTCCTGGACTTTTATCTGTTATCAAAATAGTACCCCTAAAAATTGATAAATAAAAATAAAATGATGAATACATTAGAATGACAGAATTCATTTTATGAACTCTATAACACCAATTGATAGAAATAATAACATAAATTATAGATTAAAATATTTGCAAGATAGGATTTTTTGATAGGTAAGATTGAATTTTTATCCTATTTACCTCAATACAGCATTCAGTAGGTTTGGGCGTGACTGTAGAATTTTTTTGCAACTTATATGCACATGAATTGGGCGTGCTCCCATTGAAGTCTTCAACATTAAGCCTTAAACCATGCTGTAAAATAAAAAAGATGAGGAACATATATTACATAAAATATTTTTAAAATCTTCAGGATTAAGTCATAATTGGGCTGTAAAAGTAAAGACTGGAGGAAACATATATTATATGAAATATTTATTTCTGTGTGAAAATATTAAACAATGCAATGATTTTATAAGAGCCGTGGTGGTTCAGGAGATAAGAGCATTCGCCTTCCAATGAGGTGACCAAAGCCCCAGTGGTAGCTGGCTGATATGAATTCTGCCCCAGGTTCATATAGTCCACAGTGCTGACATAAAATGTCCTCAGTGGGTTCGAATAGTAGGGTAAACAGTGAAAGGTTTTCAAAGTTTTTCTCTCCATGTAATGCAAGTATGGTTTTATTCTATTAAAAAGTCCTTCACAAAGGCTAGTTTGCCCAGGAGTTCCCTTGTCTTCTGGATTGGGTTAAAAATTACAAGGATATGGAGCTGAACATTGATAGCCGTAAACTCAGAAATTGGGTCAATTGTTCAATGCTGATTATGAAATAAAATAAAATGATTTTATAAAATAAATTCAGTACAAGCAATTGCTTATTAATCTCCACATAGCCCATTTGCAATGATCTTGAATGAATAATTTTTTTTTGAACAGATAGTAAAATTACTTTGTTTTCTTTTCATTGATAATTAATGAAGCAGAGCTATTGCACATTTCAACATGCTTATAGATATATTAAATTACATTTAATTTATTAGTAAAACAAAAATGTTTTGTAACTTTTTAGATTTAAAATGCAAATGAGAATGCATATGTTTTTCACTCACCAAAAAGTTCTATTCCATAAATTAGATAAGTTGTGCATAAGACTTGTTCTATTAAAAAGTAGATACATTTAAATGAAATTTTTTATACCAAAATAAAGGTTAAATGATCATAATAAATTAAAATGTTATTAGATGTTCTAATATTCATTAAGACTTTTTAATATTTTTTTTAGCTATTAATTTTACACAGAAACTATGTTGCGTCACTAGCTATTAATCTTGATTCACAATGCACACAGCTTTTTGAGCAAACACAATGTGCAAAGCTTTTGCAATATTCTATATCGCTCTGAGTTTCATAAATTCAAATAGACAATGAAAATGCAATGATGAGTTAACTCGCCAATGTGTCAATACAATATACGCAGAAAGTAATTAGCAGAGAAAAATTGAGTGGGTGAATGGATTAAGTAAACACATTTGTCAAAGCTTTTGCAATACTTTATATTGCCCCGATTTTCATAAATTGAAATAGACAAATCAAGTGCAATGATGAATTAACTCGTCAATGTGCTAATACAACATATGCAGAAAGTAAATAGAAGAGAAAAATTAAGTAGGGGGAATGGAAAAAAAAAACACTCTTATTTTTAATTACCTCATCTATTTAAGCTTGTTTTTATTAAAGCAAATTGTTTTTTTCTAGGCACAGGGCCTTAATTTTTAAAAAATAAAGCTTTAAATAAATTTAAAGCTTTTTGACTAAACAAATTTGCCAAAGATTTTGCAATATTTTATACAGCCCTGAGTTTCATAAATTGAAATATACAATGCAAGTGCAATGCCGAATAAACTTGTCAATGTGTTAATACAACATACGGAGAAAGTAAATAGAGGAGAAAAATTGAGAAGGTGAATGGATTGATGATAGCAAAATTCAATTACACAGTTAAAGACAAAAAGTAATATCAAAGAAAGAAAACTTCTTCAGAGCGAAAAATAACACTTTTATTGTATTTTTAATTATCTCTTATACTCAAGTTGGTTCTTTTAATGTAGAAAATTTGTTAGACAAGCACGAAGAGGGAAAAGCAAATCGTTCTTTTTTATTAACTGCATAACAGAACTCATCTGGTTACCATCAAATAGAAAAGATCATTAAAATTTTATAATACCAATACCATTAAATTGTAAAAAGTTTTTCCTGTAGAGAAATTTTGGCTGCAAACAAATAGCAAACCTAAACTTATTTAAGACAGTGAAGCTGATTTTAATAGTCTGAATTCTTAAAAAGATTAGGAGGCTCTATTAACCAACTCCTTTAATTGATTCTCATTCAACTTTGTTTATTTCTTTATAAATGCCAATATTTTTTTTTTAAACAACATTTTGGTTCTCCAATGTACAATTCTTATAGCTGTAAGTATGAACATTTTGTTAATCCTAACAAAACGGAGGATTACCAAGGTTAGAAAAACAAATTAACCTAAGTAATGCAGATTGTGAGATTTAATAAGAAGAAATGAATGAGAAGTAATTTTACTCGTTGAAGAGACTTATAATAATTCAAACAGGGAACAGTTTTTATTGCTAATTATGAAGTCTTTTTTTTAAAATTTCACTATGAATATTAAAATATATATCTGGCAATATGTAATCTATCACTTTTTTTCTACCTTTGAATGATATCTACTCAAACACGAGTTTATAAAATAAAGATCTTGTGAGAGAAAAATAAATTTTCTACAACAATGGATAAATAGGTAATATTTAAAGCCAAAAATTTTTTAAAAAAATCACAAAAAAGCACTTACATTTGCAATAACTTTCAAACAAATTGGAATTTTAAAGGAAAAAAAATACAGCATTAAGTTCATAAACGAATACAGTGGAAAGTCGCGTATCCGGAATCGGCGGGACTTTCCGAAGTCCGGATAATCGATTTTTCCGTTATAATAGACCCCCAAGGTAAACAGAGATTAAAATGATCTGAATCTAAGAAGCAGAAATTAAATAACATTATTTTTCGGGCAATAATGTTTTAGTATTAGAATGATATCTAATCAATCAAAAACAAAATATTTAAAAAAAAATAATTATTGCTATTATAAAAATAAATATAGGAAACTAAAAAAATTTACAGTTATGAAAATATTAATTGCTCTCTCCGCCATTTTGAACTAGAACGTTTCAAGCAAGAAGGGGAAATTCCCGTCATTCATTCATTAAGGTGGGTAGGTGAAGAAGCAAAATTCATTTCCTTCTTACTTGTCATTCAAGTTGAAGGGGGGGAAGTGACAAGTTCTTATTTTCTCTCCTGTCATTGGCTATCAATCAAGCATAAAGGCGTGGCATGCTGATTGGGTTCTCTTTATTTTTTCNTTTTGGATTCCTGCTTTAGCTCTAATAAGAAGCTGCACACATATTTGAGACTCCTTTTGGACTGCGAGATGCAAAGGTGAGAGACCTACGCAAAATAAACAGATTAAAGAAAACTAATTTACTTGAAGGAACAAACAGAACTTTAACTAGTTTACTCCAAGTTCTGATTTAATGAGATTTAGGATATAACAAATAAATTTTTACAGAAGTGGATGATAGTGTACCCGCCTCACAATGAGGGCTCTCAAGTTAGAATCCCAGCGATGGCTGGTCCTTAAAAATTCTGCTCCTGGATTGTACTGTCTTCAGTTATCATTATCATAGTTGGCCAGACAGCCCAATACGGACCGAGGCCTTCCTCTCAAGATTTCTCCATAACGACTTCCGATTTATCTTTGATCTCCACTGACTTCAGTGCTGCACATAAAATATCTTCAGTAATGAACGAATCATGAATTAGATTACTTTAGCTGTTGAGCTAATTGTTAATAGCATGTAAAATGTTTCCTGTGACTTGGACATAAATATGTAAAACGGATGTAAATAATTCTGTTTCCGACATAAAGTGTTCAACAGCTTTTTACACATTCTGCTTTTGGCTGATCTATTTTATTAAAGTAATAAAGTTACATAATACAGCAAGTATAATAAAATATGTAATATAATACATTGAATAAAATGCATCATATTAGAGAAAACATTACATTAGAATTAGAAAGAAAATTTTTTTTTGCATTAAAGGTCAATTAGTGAAGAAATTGGCAGAAGGTCTGTAATTACAATGTTAAGGTCTATATTTACAATGTGATATTTGTGTACATCACATTAAATTCATTCAGGAAATGGTACTCTAAGTAGGCCTCAAAGTCTAGTAGCAGAAACACCCCAGTACAGCAGCAGGTGTTGCAGATATCACAACAACTGCAGATTATTTTTCATGTCAGATAATTAAAAAAAAAATTTAGAAAAAGTGTAGAGACTTCTTTTTAAAACATCTTTAAACTTGTTTCTGATTAAAATTATAAAGCTGATATAAAAGAACATTGCAAAAAACGCAAAAAATAAAGATTTTTTGAAAAGAAATTTATTCATTTGCCAGTTGATTATAGACTTAATATGTTAAAGAATTTATTCTACTTAAAATCTTATTAAAATAGAAAGAAAATCAAGATTAAGACACATAAAAATTTCATGAATGTAATTGTTTTAAAAAATAACTTTGCAAAGTTTACTAGATATTTGTTAGATTAAGCTGGATTTTTAAAATAAATTTTCCGTCAGACTGCATTGAAATTGCAGACAAATTCGGATCTATGAATAAAGTGCTGTACTCCATATATTAGGACTTTCAAGTTTGATCTAAGTGTTTGATCTAAGTTCTTATGTCTATGTAAGTGTACAAACAAAAAAAAAAAAAAAAAAAAAAAANAAAAAAAAAAAAAAAAAAAAAAAAAAAAAAAAAAAAAAAAAAAAAAAAAAAAAAAAAAAATATGTTCAGAAAAAAAAAGAAAAAAAGAAAGAAAAAAAAACAAGAATTTAACATTCAAAATATAACTTGCTGAACATATATGTACTAAAAATAATTAAGAATACAATTAAAACTGTGATTGTGAATTAATAAATGACTACATTTGATACATGGCACATTAGATTTATGTTAAAAATGGACATCAGAAAAACATATACCTTCATAATTTAAGAGATTTACATTTGGAAGATGTTTTCTTTTCTTCTTATCTATTCCTAGTAAGGGAGATAATATTTCCCCTAAGCACCATGGAAAACTATACATTGCAGCTAAGTGAGTGCAAGTATTCCCATTTTTGTCTTTAATATCAGGGTTAGCACCAGACATTAGTAGAATTCTTGCTACTTTCCAAAGCCCTTTACTGACAGCTATGTGTAGTGGAGTCTGCATATGAAAAAATATAATCTCCATTTATTTAATCAAAAAATTATATAACACACTTTTTAATTAAAAAAGATAAATAGGAAATATACAATATAAAAATAAATAAATAAAAGAAAGCACTCGACATTTTTTTTTAGCGTAGGATATTAACAATTAACATTATTTCAGTAAATAGGATTGAAGTTTCAAATTTAAAATTGTACATAACATTCCTTACTTTTTTAAAAACTTTTAACCTTTATCACTATCAGGACATTTTTTGGAACAGTATACATAACTCAGACTACTTTTACAAAAGTACAATTCACTCTTTTTAAATGTAATAAAAGCCAATTTTATTGCAAAACAATAATAAAATAAACAATTTTTAATTTCAGAATTATTTTGTTTCAAACAGAAAGTTTTAATAATTTCCAGTATAATTTTATTAATACTGAAAAATTTCAATTGCTTCAAATCAATGCCTGGAAATTTTTTTAGTACTGTAGCATTAAGAAACAATAAAAAAAAACAAAAAAAAAACACAGGTACTGTTAATAATATTTCTCCATATTAATTCTAATTTCTAAAGCTCAATAGATGGCGCTCTGCGNATAACTTTGATTAATATATGAAATGACTAAATTGTTATGAACTAAGAGTTCATCGGGGGGAAGTTTGTTAATAATATTTCTCCATATTAATTAAAATTTCTAAAGCTCAATAGATGGCGCTCTGCGCAGTAATGAAAAATCATTAGTTTCTAATCAGTTTCCTCCATAACACTGTACCATCATCATCATCCTTCTTGTTATTAAATATATATTATGTTAAAAGGCGTTTGTTATGATTGAAAACCCCGAGATCAGAGATCATATCACCGTATTTAATAGGTACCAATTAGGGAATATTTTTTCATACCGTTATATATATATTTTGAGTTCAAGATTTTCTAAATTAAATAATTTTAAAGTAGGGTTTCAAAAATCTTTAAATGAAAACACAATGCAAATGCCGTTTAACATTTTTGTGCATGAATAATTTAGTGGATGATCCCTAAATTCATTATTTAAAAATTCCATAATATGATTACTGTAATGTTAATTGAAATGTTTTTTTGTTAAAAAACACAGGAAAGAAGTGACTTAATCATTGTGAAACTACACTCAATAAAAGCGAAAGTCAACTCAACATGACTTGTTACGTAATTTACTAAAAATAATAAATAAGCATATGACTCATGAATTCATCATCATAAAAAACAGTAAAATCGTTTAATTGAGTTTTTTTCTTCATAAAATGAATGAATTCCCAAAACAGTTTAAACATTAAAAACTGTGGGTAAGGCAATATACTTAAACCATGTATATAATTAGTAGAAGGTCTCTAAATTGTAGGAATTGAATTATGAAATTTCTACTAGCATTATTAGTTAAAATGAAAAGATGCTGGATTAAAAATTCAAATCTTTCGATTCTTCAAATTAATTATTTAAAAAGAAAAATCAGCATTTGTATTCTTGGAGAAATGGGAAGCTTTGAACATAATCAAAATTCAGGAATATCAGGACAAAAAGTTAAAATCAAGACAAAATATTTTCCATCAGGAAAATTAGAGCAACCATGAACCCTGATATACAGAGGAAAAACATTAACCACCCTTAGATTAATAATAAACAATAATAATTAAAATAATTATAAGAAAAATGTAGAGTTAAAAAGAATTTACTTAGCAAACTATAAATGCAAAATCAGATTTGTTTACATGATTATATTTTAATAAGTGCAAATTGGATCATTATTTATTTTGGTTGGTGACAAAAATTATTAACATTATTAGTTCATATATACATTAATTTGATAAGAAAAATACTAAAAAGTTAACTATCATCTACTCACAATAATCTTCATGATGAAACTAATAATCTTAAAAAGTTTAAACAAATATATATATATATATATATGCTTGTAAAAAAAAACTTAATGTTTTATTGAAACGTTGCAACACTAAGAATTTTTTTAATAAATTAATAAGAATTTACATTTTTGTTTTGCTAAGCAGACTTAATAAAATGAAAATAAAAATTTATGAAAAAACAAGAGAAATCTTATATCATTCACCATTTTTGCTTTATTAGTTTGATTCAGGGTGCCATCTGCAGCTGCTTCTACCATTTTTACAACCAAAGGTAAGTTTTCACTTTTTTCAATTATTACCAAATGAAGTAACCTATAAATGAGGAAATAATACATTTAAATAAAATAGATATCTCAAAATTAGAATTGAGACTAGTTTAGTTAGTCTTGATATTCAGATCAACTAAAAGAAATAAAAGGGTTGGGGCAATATACACAATAATTTTTCTAAAGGGGATATTTTTCCTGTCAAACTATTTTTTGTTGTTTTTTCTAGATAAGAGCTTTACCAGCTTAAAAAATTTTCCCTAGATGGCAGCACAAAACAGAGCAACATCCTATTGGAAATTGTAGTGTTTTTCATACAAAAAACTTTTTCTTGAACAAGTTCAAAGTGTCACTTATAGCCTGAAGCTCTTCAAACTATAAATTCAATGAGATTTTGTAACTTTGAAGATTTAGCTTACTGAACTGACTTTTATAAAAATAAACTCACTGCACTTCTCTTCTAAAGACACTCTTAATTTTATGAGTTCAAATTTTTCAAATTACGCTTTATAACTTGGAAAATTTTAATTCAACTAAATGAAGTTCTAAGACAAAATTGTTTTTAACGAGTCTAACTAATACTCTTTTTACATGAGAGATACTGTTTAGAAAATTGCATAATTCTCATAAAATTAGTCACATAGCCAAAGATATATAAGATAACTATTTAAGACAGCGGTTTTCAAAAGCTGTTGTGCGAAACCTTAGGGTTCTGTTGAAAAGACGAAGAGTATCCAAGAGTGAGGACTTGTAGGTGATATGCAAAACCCGGGTCTGTAAAAAACTGTAATAAAAATGCAACAGAAATATGATTGCAGTTAAATTATTAGATTGATCAAACTAGGATTAAAAAAAATCTAATTAAACTATGTATGACAGAAACAGTTGTTTGTAAACTTGGAGAAAATGCAGTGATGAAAGTTGTTTCTAAAAACAACATAAATCTGCAAATCATGAAAAATTAACTATATTGCTCAATGATGACTTATGAGATTTGCTTTTTTGGATGATAAGAGGGATTTGGGGTTCTATAGTCCAAAAATTTTTTTAACTGCTGATGTAGAACTAGGAATAAATCCCAGAATTGTCACTTACACAAAACTTTTGAAAACTAGTCATAAAATGTGTAGATATGAATCATAAATCTCAATAGTGATTCATAAATTATTTAAAAGTGAATCCTAATGAGTGATTCATAAAGAATAAAAGTGTATTTGAATAACTAAATTTTGTCCATGAACTGGACATAAATTTGCAAATCGAAAATTAATCAAAAACAATAAAAAATGAATATCCCATATTAACTAAAGATAAAAAACAACCAGCCAAGTTTTTGGTATTGAAAAAATACCTTTTTTACTGTTATATACAAAGAGGATTCTTTTTTGAGAGATAAGAAAAGAGAAATTCTTTCTTTTTGAAATGAAATTAAAGAGGCAGAAAAAACTAACCTTTCTAGTATAATAGCATATTTTATTTGATAACCAGCGCTGAACAGCTGACTGGATTCTGAGTTTACAACGATCAATGCTCAACTCCATAGCTTTGTAATTTTGAACCCAACCCAGAAGACAAGGGATCTCTCGGATCAAGCAGTGGGACAATCTAGTCTTCATTGAGGACTTTTTGATGCAACATGAAGAGGCAACATTTGTGCAACATGAAGAGGAATATTAGGACCACTATTAGATCAATGGCAAATAGATTCTAACCCATAATCCATCTACCACTGAAGATACTTTACATCAGCACTGTGTTAAGTGCAAGCAGAGAGCAGAATTCGCACCATTCAGAGACAGCTGGGATTCACACCTGGGGCATTTCATTGGGAGGCAAATGCTCTGTCCATTAAGACATTGTTCTATAATGGTAACATTAAGGAACACAGAATATTTTGATGCTTCTATCTCGGAATCAAGATAAGGGAGAAGTTAGCATAGCAATGTCACTGAGTTTCAGACGGCATACCCTATGCCAATCCTGGTGAAGGAGGTAGGAATGAACAATTTATTAAGTTACATGACAGTTTTTTATGAAATGAAAAATGACATATTTTTTCCAGGAATATTTTAGGGATATTATAAAATTGTCACATGTAAACAAAAATGGCCAAAAAATGGTAGCATTTTAATCACCTCTCTCAAACCAACATTGACTATAATTTGTATAAAAAGGGGAATACAAAATTAAAAAAGTGTGAACTACTCATTTAAAAAATCAAATCCTCAACTCAAAATGACATTTGTGATGATTCAATTAAATGAAATTATCTTGCCATAAATTAGAAAAATTCTAAGAAGAAAAAATTGCATCCTACTTAATTATATGTATTTGAAAATATACTAATTTTACATGGTTTTTTGAAGCTCTTTCTCAAAGGAAAATAAAAAAGCCATAGTTTAAGTGCCTTATTCTTAAAGCAAAGCTATAATTTTATACTGTATATATCCTCATACAGACCAATAACAAAAATATTTTATAAGCTATTTAACTTTTTTAAAAAAACGCCAATTTGCCTACATTTTCCCACCTAAATGAAAATTATCAAAATCAATGTTTTATTCCCATTTTTTGCAAATTTTTATGAGCCCAGACAATGAAGCACAGAAGTTAAGTTTTTAAATATTAAAAAATTAACCAAAATGCTTTTCATTTTTTCAAAACTGTGGCGTTTTCCCATATTGACGATTTGCACCATTTTCAGAATAAATAATAGAAATCGCTGGTTTAAGATAGGCTAAACTTGACCCAACAGTCATGAGTAACTGTTGCAAACTCAGGTCAGTTATGAGAATAGCATATAATTTGCAAAAAAGCGTTTGATATGTTTTTTTTTTTTAATGTGATTACAGAATTTTGAAAAAACAAGCGTAAAATGAAGATTTAGTAAATCTTACGTATTTCCATTTTCATCTTTCATAGACAATAGAGCTGGTAAAAATCTTAAAAATGTTTTGCTACTCCTTAGGAGATCAATTAGACCACTCTTCAGCATTTGAGCCGGCTCAACTTCAGAGCAGCTAGTATTACTAATTGTCCATTCCTGATCTGCTTTTTCTTTCTTCACGTGAGAGTTTTCACTAAGATTTAGAGATGCCATGTTTAGGATACCTTCTGCAGTCACCTGATCAAATGGCAATCTATAGTCCTCATTTTCAGAGCCATCACAAGTTTCCATGAGCTTTAAAAGACCTGGAAAAAAGGAGAAATAATAAGTTAATAAATGGTAGAAATAAATCTCAAAATTGCAGTTTAGCAATTGGTTATGTTGGAGCAGCTGGTAGAAAAACAATTTTGTCAAAAAGAAAAAAACAATTAAAAATTAAATATCTTTGTATAAACTATTCTTGCTGAATATATAATGCTGGATAAATATCTTATCTAAGATACAAACTTAACTAAAATGAAATTTTTATTTACTCAATTTAAAATAAAAACCCTTTTATTGAAAGTCGTAGAAAAAAAAACTAGTTTACAAAAATTAACAGAAATGAAAATTTTTAAGATACAGAAAATATCAACTATTAGTCAATCTATAATAGAGCTATTGAGGTACAGTTATTCACATCTTATCAGATTTCTTTTTATTTCTTAAAGCTAATTTTATGAGCCTGTTTAAGCTTTAAAAATCTAATAATTTAAAAAAAATCCATTCAGCATCTAAAATTCAGTGGCGATAATAATTAAAAAATTATTTAAGTAAAAGAGGAGAACTACATTTAACCCAATCAAAAATATACAATTGAAAACTGTGGTTTACAAACTTTTGGCATTATCTTTCAGCATTTTTTTTCAGTTTACTCGTCCTATAACATATATTATAATTGAAGAAAACAATTGTTAATTATTTCTTTTGGAGGCTTGAAATGTATAGCTATTTTATATAAACTCAAAAATGAGGAGTAGCTGAATTAATTTTGATAAAAAATGGATTTCTAGAGGGTACTTCATCTCCTATTAATAATATATTATGTTCCCCATTATGTTATATTATACTCCCTCCAGTGATAATTTAAAATTTATAGTAATAAAATAAAGCTCACACAGAGTTAGAGTAAAATATGAAGTTTCAGAAGAAATTTTTTTTCCTTCAAAATATCAAATAGCTAAGAAACTATGAAGCAAGAATTCTCCAATTTAAAAAGCATTAAAGGGGTATCATGGAGAGGGGAATAAAGCGTTCTCTTAAGGATCAAAACAAACGACAATTAGTTCTTATTACTACATAAAAAACCTAGATGTCACACATCTTCCCTCCCTTTTTTAAAAAATTCCACTAGAATGTTTCAAAAAAATTTAAATGCACTAAAGGGAAAGCTGAGAAATGCGAGGAGGAATGTTCAGGGGTTTGAAAAATAAAATTATAAGACCTTGAAGATTTTGGGAGAAAGATTAATCTTTATTAGGAGTATTAAAAAAAATTACAATCCAAGCAGATAGATATTATTAAATTTTTAGATGCTTCTCAAGACACGTAAGTTATACAAAACTAAAAATGTCACTTTTCATAAATTCAATTTTTAAGAATTATTTAGAAATACTTTTTGATTTATGTAAGAAACGAAAAAAAACATTAGATGCTGAATTTAAATAGACATTTTTTTAAAAAATTCATTAACAAAATTTGAGTAATGAAGTAATAACTAACTATCCAAGTCCAATTCACTCAAATTCGGTATATTGTCGTAATCAGACACAGTACTTGTACATGCTTCACTCTGGATTTCTGATATTGTCATGGGAACATCATCAGGAGGGTTTGGCCTTTTACGCTTCGAAGGTAACTCATCATCATAATCTAAAAAAAATCATGTTTTTTAACTACTACAAACAAGCATACTGCTTTAAAGATAAACCATTCTGCATTTAAACAATCATAGAGAAGCATTTTATGAAAGAGTACTTTCAGAAATAGTAAATTATTTAATCAAATTTCGTTAACTTAAAATATTATCTAATTAATGAACATATTTAAGGTCACCATCTCAAACCATTAAGATTGAATTTTAGTACCTGACAATCCAATCATTAGATGAAGAATTGCTAAGGTACTTCTTCTTTGGGGGGGGGGGGCACTGTACTTACCATCACTTTGCCTATAAAGAAATGTCCTTGGCTCCCCAGTTTTTCCATCAGATTTTCTACATAGTCTAATATCTACTTCTTGTTCTACATTTTGTGGAAATTTTGGTGTTTTGAAAGGAATAGCAACCTATAATATATGAGAGGTAAATGAATATAAATAAATACAGAGACATTATTACAACAAGTTTTCCTAATATTAAGTAATTTCATTACGTATAAGTAACAAAAGTATATTGTATGGAATAAAGAAAATCATGTAGGTACTGTTAGAAGTTGAGATTCATATGGTCAATAGCATTTTTAAAGTCAGCAGTCTAAATATTAAGCATATTTTGGGTGAAACTTCTTATTTTGACAAACAACTTCAAGATTTTGTTTCATAAAAATCTCTTTTTATAGATAAGTTCATTTCCTTAATATTAATTATTTTCTTTAGGACATATCCTTACTTATATGCTATGCAAAAGGAAAAAAAAATACTTTCTAAGATGTCATACTTAATGTAAACCTCTTTTACTTGGTCTTTGGCTTTAACTTTTTTTTAAAACTTTTACTTTTTTGTGCAATTTTTCACTTTCATGTGAAAGAATTTTTCTTTAATGTATAATCCATTTTTTAACACAATTTTTTTTTTATACATGGATTACTTCTGATCAATATGAATTTTAAATTATTCAATCATTTTATGCACAAAAATAAAAATTATAAAATTTATAGGGAGAAAGACAAAAAAAAAAAAAGAAGTTTCGAATTAAAATAAATTTTTTAACAGCAAAATATAAAAATTATATATTTAAATATATAATGAAATATTATCATATAATTAAATATATAATGAAATGTTATTATCTTTAAAAAAAAGCATATTCCTCCTTTATTTGTATTTTACAATTTATAATTTCATTAAAAAAACAGGATTTCAAAAATAGTGAAATTAGAGACGATAACAGCCAAAATCTTTTCGACTATGAAACCACACAGATTTACAATGAAATTAAAAAATAGCAAGATTTTAAAAACCATACGAGAATTAAAAGTAATAACCGTCAATAAAAGAAAATTAAAAGTAATAGTTTAAATATCGCATGAAAATATGAGGGAATCCTCGCCCATCCAGCGAATTTGAAAGTGATTACTCAAAGGGCGGTAAAAAAATAAGGAAAAAATGCCTCATCAGCAAAATTTTGTGGAAGTTTCGTAATTGAAATTTAGATTTTAAATATGCAGAAGTCTATGAATCAACAATCTAGAGATTCCAGGAATAACTTTAATTCTTAGAGAAATCACATACCTTTATATAAGAAAAAAGCTTGAAACAAGAAAGGGCTTTTTACAAAAAATAATAGAAATGAAAGTTTGTTTTATTTGTGCTGAACTACACTGGCTAAATGATATTACCGTAAATTTTAAGAGCAGTTATTTATTAGGTTTGTTGCAGGATTTTTCCATGTTTTAAATGAAAAATTCTATTTTCTCTGATTTTTTTTTTGTTACCAAAACCAAGTTTTCTGACAATTAGAGATTTTTCAGACATGGATAGAACCTCGAATAGAACAAAATTAATGATTAAATTCAGTTGCTTATTGTGACAGATCATTTAATAGTTCAAGAAAATAAAGGAGAATAATTCAGTAAAATTTTTCTCCAATTTGACATCCTTAGAGATGTTTTTGAAAGCAGAAACAAAAATATTTTCTAATAACACCATAAATGCTTGTATTTTTGTGACAAAATAAAATAAAAGATAGTAATAGAATTACAAAATGTCTGATAATAAATAAATTTTTTTTAACAGGTTGTCCAACAGAGGATAAAAAAATGATTATTGTATCTTTTACTTTGCAGACAAGAAAATAATTTTATTTTTAAATTCTTAAAACAAAAATTACAAAATAAATGTCTTAAATTAATAAATAAAGCAAACAACTTCAATTTATTTTCTAAATATTTATATTAACCTGATGATGGACATCAGCAGGATTAAATGGCGCTTTTTCTTCCCAATTCATATTCTTACAGGAAAAAATGATTTCAATGTCATCTAAAAAATACACCAATAATAAATAATATATCATATGTAATTTATAAAGTAGCAATGACTATGACAGTTCGAAATACAGACAATCCAAAAAGGTTAAAGCTCATTTCTAAGAAAAAAAAGCTGAATTTACTTAATCACGTGTCAATAGAACACAATAAGACCTTTACAAGTCCGCTGAAATTCAACTTGGCTGTCTTCCCCGTTACCATAGAGAAATTATTTCACATTTCTACAATGTTCAACACAGTCACAAAATACACATGATTTTATTCATAGATGATTTTATACAAAAATCTGTGTCTTGTGATGTTTAATAGAGATGTTCAGACTCATAGAGATGCTCATAGAGATGTTAATGATTAATTTTTTTTGACAAAAAGTTAAGCATTATGTATTAAGTTAGGTGTTCAGTATTAAAACAGACTAGTAAACAATTTATACCTTTCTTAATTAAAACTCTTAGTTTTTATAGTTAGTCACACTTTATCTGTTGTACAACTTATTAATATTTTATTTTTGAATAAAGTTAGTCATCTTCTCCTCCTATAACATACTTATCTACAATTAGCAGAAAAATAAACTAATATAAGTTTTTTTTATATGTTTATGTCTATACACAAGGGTAAGAATAAAGAGAATTTTGAATGAAATATTTGTCTTTATGTGCTGCAGCAATGTGAATGAAAATGAAAGAGGTAAAGTTTGCAACTTCTGTCTAAAATTTACTATATTCCTTTAACAACATAAAATTTATTTTAATTTAAAATAAGCAAGAAATCATTGGTGCTGATAACAGATAAATCTATAATATTTTCAATTTATTCTCAAATATAAAGATATTAGCTAGTAACATAAATTTAACAGAATAAATATGTATGCAGTTTCTGATGTTCAATATTTTTCAATTTAAATTTTTTTTTTGTAGTTGAATAAATAATTTTATTCAACTATAACAAAAACCAATTTTTTTGTGAATTTATTTTCAATGATTTTATTTAAAATCAGTTCATTTAAATCACCACAACCCTGATTTTCACCCAGCGTGCACAACAAAATTTTTCAACGATAAATAAGCACTTTTTAAGCCATCATAAAATAATTTAAGCACTTTTTTTTAAAAAACAAAATCCCATTTCACATATGTGCACTAATAAAATTTTCTCTTCCTCTCTCCCTCTCTATATATATTATCAACAAAATATAAAAATATTATCAAAAACTTTGCATGAATAGGATAAAATAACTAATTTCTGACAATGCATCACAAAGAAGCAAAAGTATTTTGAAGTTTTTAAATTAATACAAAAAAGCAGAGGTTTTACAAAAGTGTTACTGTGAGCATAAATAATTTGTATTTGTGTGGCAATTTTTAAAATCTAAGACAACACATGAAAAAGGAAATAAGTTAAGAATAATACCTTTACGGATTTTTTCACACAGCAATATCATATCTTCATTTCCTTTTGTTGTTCCAGAGTAATTAGACAATCGTGTTATCTTTAATTCTCCAGCAAGGGTACATTCTAAAAAAAAAAAAATTTTTTTTTATAGAAATTATCAGCTTCAAAAGAACGAATCTGGTCATCTTGCTCTGCAACTTAAATGCCTGACCCTGTTTCGAACACGCATGTTTGCCTGACAACTTATTTTTCCAACAATTTCTTTTTAACTAGAGCAACAATTTACATCTCCCCGTTCGCATGGCAGGGCTGTCATGTAAGGAAATGAGTATTTTCTGTTGGCAACTGATTAACCTTTTAAATAAGGCTGGGCTACTTACATTAGGAAAGTGCAAGCGATATTTAATGACTGTTTATGTCGCAGATCTTTCTCTCTGATTTTTTAAGGACTGTAGTTAATTATTGGCAGCATAAAAAGTTTTTTTATTATTACTTTTGTTTTTCACTTCTTTTTAATTTTTTTTGTTTTAAAATGCTTTTTGTATATAAATTTTTTATTACGTTTTTTTAAGTCGTCTTGTATTTTAATTTTTTCTTTTTCATTTTTTAATCCTTTTTTCAAATTTTTTCTCTCGACATTTTTATTTGCCTTTTTGGACTCTTGTTTATAATGGATTCTCCACAATATAATCATATTACAACGGAATATTGTGAGTGATATCACACAAACAGCCCATAGTTGTACAATTGTTTCTATCTGCAACTGTAGTGGAAATGGGTGGCGAAAGAGGTCTACTAATAATGACATCCTCTGATCCATGATGTACTTGAATTTGTTCCTTTTTAATTTATATAGCACAATAGCATTTTTATATAGCATAAATACTCAGATGAGATGCCCCAACAAGGGGGGGAAGGTGGCAGCAATAGAGAGTTGTACTTAAAAGTTCAAAATCAGTATTTTTCAAAAATTAATGATTAATCCCATTAGTTACACCTGACAATCGGTTAGAGATTTAGTAAATTTTTTTGTTAAGCAAATGCATTATCAAACAAATGAGTTGTTGAGTAAGAACGCCTGTCAGAGAACTGAGCTGTCAGGCAAAGGAGGGCCAGTACAATGTACCAGACCCCAAAAGACTCACACCACAATTTATCATAGATGTACATTTTTAGACTCACCAAATGACAATTTGTGGCATGGTTATTTATATTAAAATTTATTAACTTATATATAAAGAAAATATTAAAAGAATCTAATAAAAATAAACTTTTTAAATCTCCAATTAAATTTTCTACAAAAACCAAAGTTATTTTTTCTGAAAACAATTTTTTTAGTAAAACAGTTAAAGTTATAAAAATGTTATTGTTTTACAATAAAATAATTAAAATTTCGTTTTCAGTGTCTTAAATAAAATTAAAATTTTGGTATAGATCACTTTATCAAATAATGTCGGTTTGTCTTCATACATTATACAAGTAATTTGCTAATTAAGAACAACACACAAAGCAGGCAGATGTAAAATAAAGTAAAAATTGAGATTAATGAATAATTTATGCAAAAATGTTAAGGTATGTTACTTAGACATTTCTTAACAGGTTAATATATCTTTGTTTCAAAAAAATTATTACCACATGACATATGGTACTCAGAGTCTGATTTAAAATATTATAAAATAAAGCCGGTTCTGAACTATACTTACTTTGATTGTAAACTGGTTGTGAAAAGATTCCTTCACATACACGTTGTTTTTCATCTTTGTCATAAAATGCTTCAAAATAAAGCAAACCACTATTTAAATTGAATGTTTTCATTTTTTCTTGGATTTCTTTTTCTATTTCCTTGTCACTTATTCTTCTTTTTTGTTCCTCTAAAAAGATAAAGTCAGTTTGATCAAGAGTCATACATTTCAAAACATAACTGACACCTTTTCTGTTGGATTTTTATTAGAATTCCCGACTCAAAAAAAGCATTCTTTTTAATTGCTAAAAATTAATATGTGTTTCATTCTAAATTCGAAAAAGCAAAATATTTTTGTCCGGAAGCAGTTTTTTTGCTTGACCTATTGGTGTTGAAATATATGATGTCCCATCCATTGATCTCCAGTTTTCCCTGTAATGCATTCAAAACTCTTAACTCTATTGCTTTAAGGCATTTAAGACATACTACATAAAATAATTATTAAAATTAGACAAAAAATATCTTGAAAAACATTGTTCCAACCTTACCTTAATAATTTTTCAACCTAAATAACTTTCCAACCTTATACATCATAGCTATTTTGACACTCAACAGTAATAGTAATGAAAGCAAAATTACAGAAACTACAAAATGATTTTGATTTCAATTAAAGGTGGGAAATCTCTCAGAGAAAATTGTAAAGAAAATAGGGCGAGTTGCACCATCTCTCAGCAATATTCAGAAATACAAAAATAATCACAAGATTTAAAGAGACGTGTAAGTAGCGACAAATTCAATTTCAATGATGCAATTTTTCTCTTAGCCACATAGCAAGCGACATTGCCCAAACGAGCACGAAAAAGCCAAACCTGTGAGATGCCATGTTGACAATGAAGGGGTCATATTTAGAATTTTTAAAGGCATCATCAAGAAATAATAGTTTTTGGCACAAATTCTAATAAATTAGGAGGTTGCCTGGACTTTTCGTGAAAAGTTTCAATTCTATAAAATTATAAAAGATCTAATTATTTTATGAAGCTAAAATAAGCATTAAATTGAGGTCTTCTTGCTGGGATCCTTTCTTTTCTTTTGTGAAAATAGGGTCATAAGATGCTTCTCATTCTTATAATACAAAAATCATTCAATGAAAAAATATTACATTTTACACATTTAAAAAAAAAAAAAATGTTCAAGTGACATTTTGATACATAAATGTTACTGATGAAGACATTAGCTTTTGAGATATTTTATGCATTAGTGAACAATAGTGAGCAAGGAGCAGAGCAAACTGGAATGAATAGATAAAAGTAACTATTAAAAAGTAAAGCATTAGTAAATGGGACTCTTTCAAAATAATTATAGACTTTCATTTCTTATAATCCAAACTATAAAAGATAAACATTAGAGGCTTTAATAACTGAAATAAAAAATAACATGATTTAGTAAAATAAGTGTGTTTCAGTAATTATTTTTCAAATTATATTGTGTAACAAAACTGTACTGTAATAATGAAATCAATAATAAAATACATAATGCAAAAAAATATAGCATGCTCCACAGAATTTAAAATTAATCAAGATTTTCTTTCTCACCATTTTACATTAAATGTTTCCTTTTGAGCAGTGTTGCTTAGTTAAATAACCGAGAAACAGATTTGTTTTGATAATATACTAAAAGCAAAAAGTTCCTGTATTTGACTGTTTAGATAAGTAATAAAATAATTAATAATTTTGACAATATTTTCTGATTTTCAGCAAATTATGTTCCTTATAATAATTGTGGTTATATACCAGAGGTAAAAAAATTATAGATAAGGTGAAATAAAATACCAAATAAAAATATGATTTACCCTAAAAAAATAAGATTCTTTCAAATAATTTTTAATCTAATTATTTGATTGTCACTTTCAAATATCTTTGAACTGTAAGTAAAAATTGAGATTAATATAATGAGACTAAAAAATTAAGACTACTTTTTTGACTAAACTATTAGGACCTCATTTCATAGATTATATCTATTCCCTACATTTTTAGGGCCAAAAAAAGTATGTTTTAGTGCCTGAGAAGGTAACATAAAGTATGGTCTGTAATAATTATTTTTGGTATATTCCTGAAAGATTTCGATTTAGCATGAGAAAGTTCAGTCAGAGTAGAACAGAAAGATCAAATATCATTCACTGCCTACTTTTTTTTTGCTCAGCACACATATCTATTGTTTACAACTTACTATATTTCTGTTTTATTCTTCCTTTCAATAATTCAGAAACTTCATCTTTTTTTCTCATACATATAGACAGGGAAGAGAATCTGAAACAATAATTATTATAACTTATAAAATGAAATTTTTTATCAAATTTAGAATAATAAGTCATTAATTAATAGTCCAAATAGTAAGAGTTTCATTTTACAAAAAAACTTGTAAATGGAAACCCCAATTTACTAAACAAGAGACAGCAATAATGTTTGCCTCTTGTTTACAAAATTTTTATATTTATTAAAATGTTAACTTCACACCTTTACTTTAAATTTGTATATAGTCATAAAACTATGAGTTTCAAAGTATGCAACAACAGTGCTAGAGCAAAGCTCCGCACTTATGCCTCTGAAGAGGTTTTAAGAAATATAATAAGAGTTAGAAAATCCGTTTTCCATACTTGTTTTATTAATTGCAACAAAATATTAAATGTTTATAATTATTTATTAATTAAATATGTTCATAATTACACAAACACGTTTTGTGACTAAGTTTAACTTTAAATACTTAAAATTTTTAAAAAATTATGAGTTTTTAAACCACATAAAATTTTTTGTTTATAGAAGTATCATTATATGGAACTTCACAGCAATTATTGAAGTATCATTAAGCAGATGGTCAGACAAATGAGTACTCAGCATTATAACCTTTTAACAGGTTTGATTTGGCAAAATTGAAATTAGAGATTGTATTTGGTTTGTTGTTTTACAGTAAGTTGACATAACTTAGTTAATTAAAACATAGTTAATAATACAATAAATATCAGAAAATAGCTTTTTTTCAAAAAATAAATAAATATTAAATTAGTTACTTTGCTATGAAATCCTTAGAAAGTTGCTTCCAACCAACTCCATCCTTGCAATCTTTCCCATCAAGTTCCAAAACATGTAATGTTGGATTATTTCCGCAAGTATAAAGGGTAACTTTAATCCATATGTTTTGATAACTTTCATATTTATGTAACTGAAAAATGTATTAACAATAAAATTTTGAAAAGATATAAAAAGTATATTTAATAAATAAAAACAGAGAAATATTTTAAGGAATGGCAAACAAATGTTTCATGAAGTAGCTAGAAATTCTTAATTTCACTTTAATTTAAGGAATAGGTAGATAGATTTCCTTTATTTTGTTTTTGACATAGCACTAATAATACCCAATCCTTATTTTGACACTTCCATTTGTTTTATATTTTGATCAATAAGAATTAGTGTAAGCAATTTTTTACTGTAAGAAGTGACAACTAAAAAGAAAATATCTTACAATATTTTTTTAACAATATTGTGTCATTACTTTTGCTAAAAATATACATATGTATTTTTTTAAACATTATAACATCCATTACTTGTTGTGATTGCTGAATTTACACATAATTCTGCCCTTGCAGTTAAATCTAATAAATACTTTGTTATATAAAAGACTCTTAAAATACAAGCTTAGTTCAATGTTTTCTTAAATAGTAATCAACAGTCCACTAAAGAAAATGATTTAAATTAAATTGAGTATTTCAAATAAATAAATAAATACTAACAGATGCACTGCCCATAAAAAAAGTCCCGTTTGGATGAGTCTACCTAGTCTTATAAATCGTTAACATCTATAAAATAAGTATCAGGAAATAAACAATAAAAACCTTACTTTGATAATTGGTTTTAAACCTCCGTGACAGCCTTTTTCACTCTTATAACGAAAACGAAGCTGATCTTTTAACTCTTCCTCTATGGTTAATTCAGGATAATCTAAAACATACATGGGATAATGTTAAACAGGTTTAGATAATTTAAACAGGAAGTAAGGTAGAATTTCAATTGACAAAGCTTGCAAACCAGACAGCAAGAAATTTAATACAATATATAGCTAAACAAACATGAAATTTTTTTTCTTTCTTAATATTTTTAACATTAAAGCTTTTGAACAGAATGAAATACTAAATTTTGTAGAGAATTCCATCCAAAATTTATATGTAAGAAATAACAGGCACAGAAACTTAAATAAATGGAAGACAAATATGTAAAGAAATTAACAATTTGGGTTTTCAAAAACCCTAATATAAAGCTCAATTTAAATTGTTTAAAAAATAATGAAGTTAGTCTATAAACTAAATAAAAAAGGCAGTTGTCAAGCAAATTCATCAATTTTTGCTTGGTTGGTAATGAGGTATATGGAGAATTATTGTTTATAGAATTATGTTACATAGATCTTCTATTTGCCTCCCATTCTGCATTTCTATGCTGAAGAAGGGTTTCCTTATGGAACTGAAACTAAAATATTTTTACTATGTTTTTGTGATTTTGTTTGCACTTTTATTCATGTTGCCTAGCTTTATAGAAGAAGTTAATACTATTAAGTCAATATTTTAGACAAATCAAGGGCTGTGGAGTCGGTGGGGAAAATGATCGATTCAGACTTATGGATTTCTAAACTTAAAGACTCCAATTTCCTCATATAAAACACATACATACAAGCATGTGTTAAAAAATTTCTTTAAATATAAAATAAATATTATATGCTACAGAAAAAAAATTTATGACACAGCAGATTATTTATATTAATTAGAAATGCAAAAAACTGGCATTAGTAATTTCTAAGAAACAGTATAACTTCAGCAAGATCTTCTTTGATAGAAGTATGTAGATCCGTTTTGAAAGGGGATCGTAGATCTGATTTGATAAACTTCAGAGCTGATAAGTCTTTTCGCACTAACTTGAGAGTGTGGAAAAGCTGTTACTAATAGGGCTACTTATTTTAACTTCTCAGGATAGATTTGTATAAGTTCTAAAAGAGTTGTCTAGCAAGAACAATCTTATTTTTTTTTATTTATGTAAGGGCTGCATAGAAACCTTGTTTGTATTCCCCCCATTTTCATAGATAAAGGCTCTTGGTTTTTTATTTTCATTCGCTTTGCTGTACCCTTTTCAACATTAACTAAATAGTTCTCAAAATCTAACATAACGTAGGAAGACAGAGAATCAGATGCAATGTCTGCAGTCAGACTGTTCTGAGAATAATTTCATTCTTAGTGAAAGTTCATACATGGCTTCCTTTGTCTTCTTAATTTGTATATCACACAAAAAAAAATTGAAATTTAAACTGTCCAACAAAAACTGGAGTCAGATGTGTTTAGTGTCTGCACGACTCCTTTTATCCAAAACTCATCCTCACTACAGCTCTGAGGTAAGCATTTTAATTTAAGAAATGTTTTAATTGGAACTTCCTATAAGAATGGTGTGAAATGTCTTGCACTTAATTATCTAAGAAGCAATGAAATACTTACTAGAAGCTGTAGAGCTCAAAGATGCAGTAGATGGACTTGGAATGTCCATACTTGTTGAACACGATAGATCAGTATATGATAATGAAGAGGAATTCTCAGACTGGTACTCAATTTCAACTGGAGACAGCGACAGAAGTTCATTGCCATTTAATAATTCATAATGATGCTGATAGCCATTTGTAGTCACTATAACACTGTTAGTAGTCATGATGTGATGGTTTATCTAACTGTATGCATGTGAAAATGACTGTAAGCCTGAAAAAAAAGTTAAATATTAAGTATGCAACTAGAAAAATGTTACTAGGTTAATAATTTTGTCCCTATTATTCTCAGCATCTCTAAATGTAACCATAAAATTGGCTTTTTTAAATTATTACAATATTATAAAGTAAAATTTAACATTACTCCATTTTTCTGTTATTGATGATCGTCAGATTAGAAATTTAAGTGATTAAATGACAGTAAATTTTTATAGTTGCAACAATTAATTAAAAAAAAAAACATTTTAGAGTTATTATATTTTATTTCTAGTGCAAGAATAAAAATATTAAAATATTCATTATTTCACCTCAGAAAATTATTTTCTCATGAAAAGCTGAGAATAAAAAAAGGAATTTTCATACGGCATCTGTTCATGCCAAATGAAATAGCAAGTTCCACTATACAGACTTAGATTACATTAAATTAATTTACAGCCTAGGGTAGAATGAAAAGGGAGTAGGGAGTGTGAAAGTGACCAAAACTTGACCTAAACTCTTAAAATGCATATCCTAAAATATTTTTAATTTATTTTAGTTCTATCAACTGGTGCTGTTGATTTAAATACTAAGAAATTGCACAAAAAATCTTATTTATATTTTGACTTAATCAAATCTTTCGTCAAATTTTTTTTAAACACCAAAGCAAGGAATCAATCACCAATAAGCAAATGCAACTCTTTTTACTTCCCTACATATATATGGATAAATAAATCTTACCCCAGATAAATAGAAAGTGGTGGCAAGATTTTTTACGTTATTCACGTTATTAATCGGAGTGATGAAGTAAATCTTAACCCCAAATTAATAAATTAAATAGAAAGTGGTAGTAAGTTTTCTTTTATCTCTAGAGAAAGAGAAAGGAAGTGTGCTCCTATTTAGATATTTGGCTTCAATAAGTGAAATTGTTTTATCAAGTATGCCATTCCTGGAAATAATATATTTTTTTTCTCCATTTACCTCGTACGTATTAAAATTTTTTAAAGTTTTGTTTGCCTTGATAGAAATACGCTTTTAAAGACAGAAATTAAACTTAATATGGTTCCTCCCAAATCCGACTAAGATTAGAGATGATCTTTCTTTCAAATAAACAAAGAAAGGAGTGAGTTTATATAGTTTTTAAAAAATTTAAAACATGATCCATATTGTAATAAATTTCTTATTTGTTAGCTTTCATTTTAAAATTAAATCTATGGAGTTAGCTACTAAATATATTTATTTGGAAAAATTGTGGTGGTGAATGCAAATTTATTAAAAAAGAATTTATTTTCTTTTTTTAGACATAATTTTTTAATTTATTTTAATGACCGTGTGGGCCCTGAAAGAAAGAATAACTGGTAACACAATTATTTCATGATTAGCTTTTATCTCCTTGAGATAAAATGTGACACAACAATAAAAATAAGAATTTAAAGCCCATAATTTATATCTGTAATCAAGAAATTGCATATTTTTTAACAATTTAGTGGTAGATTGGCTCATTTTGATAGTGGTAGATCAAAATGAAGATTTACTTGATATACATTAGGGGTCCGTCCAGGCCAAATTTACTACCTTCACAAATTCAACTTTAGGAAATTCACACAAAAAAATTTCTTAAAATTTTACTTTTGAATCCCGTAAGAAAACAATAAATCCATATTTTTACCATATTTATGTTTTGATTTTTTAACATAATTTTTAATTTTTACAAAGTATGTCTAAATTTTAACAAAATAGTTACCTCTCAGAAAAACATAGACAGACCCCTGTACACACGAATTCATTCCTTTTAAAATAGCACTTTTTACATCATTGCTATGTGAAAATTGGGGAGATTTCCGTATTGTGAGCTGTGGCAGAATAATCGCCAAGCCTTGGAAACTTTCGGGCAGTGGCCCGCGATAAACTAAAATAACATCACAGAAAGGGACCAACTCGAAAGGTATAACTCATAGCCGCCCCTAGGCAAACAAATGTGCATGTTTTTTTTAAAAAAAAAATTCGCAAGTTTAAAATCTATTTGGCACCGTGGCGATTGTAGTTGGCGCGACAGATCTCGATACGGAAATATCGCCTGAAAATTCAATTTATAATGATGATTTATTGCGTACAGAAAGTGATATTTCTAAAGACGCAGTTGTGAGGGGTCCACACCCCTCTTAAATATTTCAAGATCGAAAATTATATTATTATATTTATGATCAAAATTTTTAAAAAAAAGCATTTGGAACCCTTCAAATATTACCACATACTGCAGACCTGGTTTCTTCCAAATTTTTATTGACTTGCCAATTGTCTGTCTTGAAAATGCAATTGTCTGTGCAAAATTTCTACAAAAAAACATAAAGACAATCTCACTAATATCGAAGCAACAAAAGCAATATTGAAATTTGGCAATAACACCTTGAATAATGGAAGTGGCTAATAAAATAAGTTAGGAGTTTTTTCAATATGGTACCGGTTTATACACTAACTACATCCCCAAGGCTCCAATAAGTTATTTCTACATCCAAAAAAACTTAAGTAAAAAAATGTTGGGGTTTTGAATTATGCCTTTTTTTATGCTATATATAGGTATTTTTTTTTTTTAGTTTTTCACATGCCATTGACAAAATGTAAATAAATAAATTGTCAAAAAACAGCAGCAGACAAAGTTTTTTTTCTCTCGAAAAAGCAATTCGCGAGAAAAATTTCTTTGATTTATAAATTTTTTTCTTCTCCAAAGTTAGTGATTAATTTTTTTTCAAACTTTTAATCCAATCTTAATTTTTTCTTTTGACTCCATAATTCATACGAAGAGTGATGATTAATAAATTATAACAAATAGTAAAATATTATTTTGAGAAAAAATTGTGTTTGTCTCTATCTGTTTTGGTGCTACTTTCGTATTCCTTACATTCATACAATGAAGTTCGAATGCATGTATACTAACAAGAACGTGAATAGAGAGGGTATCAATATTAAGTGTCAGCAAAGGGAAAATAAAAAGTGAATAGAAACAAACTTACTGTGAAATTAGTATACATATGAAGACCAGTTATAAATAGCTAATTTTCGTGATCATAACTTTTTCAATTTTAAATATACATATCACATTTTCATCCTCAGAGAGCAACACTTATAAATAAAATAATATTAGGCCTTATAAACAAACTAGTAATCTTTTGAGACGGTTATTTAAAAGTAAATTATTTTATGAATTCTTTGCTCCAAAGAATATCTTCTAAGTTGAGAATTATATCTTATATTTCTACAAAGTTAGCTTATCAAAATGTATTGAAAGATTATTTGGAAAAAGGGGAATTTACCGTTCCCGAGCCTGCGTGCATCTTCATAATAAAATGTTTGTTTACATTTGATATTTTCACTGTATCTCGTGATGTACTCTAACCAATCACAGCTCTGTCCCGTCCTCGCTAAAGTTTCGGTTTGCTTATTGGTTTCGTTTGAAAATTTTTAACCTGGGAGAAAAATCATGTTTTTATGTTCTTATAGTTATATATAATGCATAAATTCAAAACAAAAATGGTATTTATGTTATTTTATGCTAACAATTTGTTTGTTAATTTGTTGTTAACTTTAAGATAAAAAAATACTAAAGCAGAGAAATTGAAATAAAAAATCTTTATTATTTATTTATGTATTTTTTCACATATTATTAATTCAAACAAAGAATTTTTTTCTAAACAATTTAAATTTAGTTTATCATTGAACTTCTTAGTTTATTATCACAATTTAAATTAATTAACAATGGGAAAAATTCAAGTAATAATTATATTAACGTGGTGATAGACAATAAAAACATTAATTTGTAATAATAATACTAATTTGTAATTAATACGAATATACTTATTGTTTTAAGTTACAGCGTAAAAGTTAAAGGGAATATGTAATTCTATAAAATTCATTTATCCAAAAATAATTCTATCCCAAATAATTTGTTTCACATTTAAAAAAAAAATATTTTTTTTAGAAAATTATTTAGCTAAATAATGCAAGAAAAACTTGGAGCTGTAAAGAACACTTATTTTTACATTAGTTTTAGCTAGGTTATTTTAAAGGGCAAAATTCACAATTCCAGCCGAAACGGTGGGAAAAAAAATCGGTTTTAGGAAATAACATTTTACAAATATGACTTTTTTTGAAATTTTATTACTCAGTAACTAATCAGTAGCTTTCGTGAAAATTTTGTAGACTGTAATTTAAAATGAGATATAAATTTGTATGCCTACAATTCATTAAAGTTCTGACCATTATTAAATTAATTTATTATGAAAAATCTTAAAAAATATATATTATTTGGAAATATATTTAAGTAAACGAATTTTACAATTGTGAGATTTTTAAAAAAATTTATTTAATGGTTTTAGAGATATAGTAAAGTACACAAAGAGTGAAATTAAAATTTTGGTCTGAACTTTCAAACTCTCTCCAATTAATTATTAAATTATTGGTGCCAATTTTCCATATTGTGGCCATCCCCCCCCCTCTCATTTTCTGAGGGACAAGAATCCAAAATCGCTAGGAAAAAAGCACAGTAAAAGTCCATTATCAAGACAATTTACAATAGCAAATGAAATTTTCATTATAAGCAATTGTTATATACAATTTAATCAAAAAAGATACAGTATACTTAACGCTACGTAAAAGAAAAAAGAAAAAACTGTGAAGGAATTTAAAATGAAGGGACAAAAGGTCCCTGCAAGGTTAGAATTCCAAACACAGATTTGAGTTTTCTTCTGCTAAAATCATTTAACACTGCTCTCCATCAACAGAACTTGATTTTTGAAAATCATTCAAAATTTCAAAAAATTCTAATAATTTATCTTGTGGTCTTTCTAGTATCCCACCGTTTCCCAACAGTTAGAAATTAATCTTTTGTACTTTGGGGTTCCCGCCAAACCCCTCACTCATGTTTCGTATATTATCTTATTCTTCTGTACAGTGTAAAGTGGTTTACACTTTACACGTCTTTGTCTCTTCCCTTCTCTATTATAGTTTGGTGTTTAGACTCTGAGGACTCTGTTTATAGAACCGAACCACAGTGTATCCATTTTCTGTAATTTCATTTGTGCTTTATTCACGTTTTTTTTGTTCTTTTCTTTTTGCTTTTGTATGTACATTTAATGTTAAAATGTAAATTAATCTTTTTAGCACAATATTCTTTTTCACACTCTTAACTTCAACTAGCATTAAACAAATTAGAAACTAACTACAGTTTGCAAAAACATAAAAAGGTTTTTCAATACGCAAAGAAACTATGTAGTGATGTGTAATAACCTTTGATTTCATTGATAGCATTAAATGCTGAATTCAATAGTGAGCTATCGAGATTAAAAATAGGCGTAATAATAGATTGTGGTTAATATCATATCTATCCTTTTGAAGTATTCAGCAGAATTTTTAGAAGCAGCAGAAGTTAACACTTAGGGAGAAAGGAAAATAACGTAGTCGGTGGGCATTGTCACATGCTTGCTTCATAAATATTATGGTTTGAGATTGTACGAAGAAGAGTAAAATGATGTTCATTTTTCACTTCTCTATATTGATACCAGAAAATAGAAATGTTTCTCATGTATTTCTATTTCGAGTAATCTTGCTCACTTAATCAGCAATATATTTTTAATTTAATTTTGATACAAAAAAAATTACGTTTTTAACACAGGGCTCGAAAATTATTAGAACAAAAACTAAGGTAATCCAGTTTTTACTATCGTCTTTTTCTTCTCCCCCCCCCTCTTTTCTTTATTTTTCCTGTTGCACCGTTGTATTCATGTGAATCAGTAGTATGTAGTTCTTCTTTTCTTTATTTTTCCTGTTGCACAGTAGTATTCATGTGAATTAGTAGTATGTAGTTCTTCTTTTCTTTATTTTTCCTGTTGCACAGTAGTATTCACGTGAATCAGTAGTATGTAGTTCTTCTTTTCTTTATTTTTCTTGTTGCACAGTTGTATTCATGTGAATCAGTAGTATGTAGTTCTTCTTTTCTTTATTTTTTCTGTTGCACAGTTGTATTCACGTGAATCAGTAGTATGTAGTTCTTACTTTATGACAACGAAAGTGCTAACATGAAATATTATAAGTGGTTTGGATATTCACGGGGAAAAATACGCCTTTGAAATCCGACAAATCACTACTGGGGAAGGCGTGGGACTCTAAACATCTGAGGCTAATTGATGTTCGGAGGAAAAGGGGAGGAGTTGTAAATGTGAACATTAGAAAATTTTTAATTTTCATTAGGTAATCAAAAGGTATTTGATGTTTTTATCCTATCTTTCTCACTAGAGAATTATAAGATTTTGACACCATTTTTGTTTCTTCCTCACTTAAATATAAACTTACGATCCCCTTCTGTGCACACTTTTTTGACTTTATTTTTGACAGGGATTTTAAAAATTTAATTACAGGTCGTGATTACGGAACACTTAGTTAACCTTCAGTTTAAAAATGATCTTAAGGGAAGACAAGTTTGGATTTATTCTTCAATTCAAAATCCTTTTTTTCTTACAGCTTTTTGAATCCATTAATATCGGGTCGATCGGAACTAATATGACACAAAAATCAAATCTAAACTCACTGAATTATTTTTGACCAGTTTAATCTGGGTCAGAAATAATAAAATACTGAACATTACAATCCTTACTTCTTTTTTTGCTTATCCGGAAATAGATAAATTAAAAAAAAATTATAAAATAAAGAACGGTAGCTTTTTTTCGACAAGGAAATGCTTGAAAACTTGTATTTTTTTCCAACACAAAGGCTCTAGTTAAAATTTGAGCATGTTTGAAGAAAAATACAAAATTCGTAGTGAAGTAAAGAAAAAATCAGGACATTTTTTGGAACAGTACGCACACACACCAGGCTATTTTTAAAAAAGGCAAACTAAAAAAAAAGTATTATTTGCTCTACTTATAAAAGTAAATTTTATCGTAAAATGAAATATACTATCACAAAGTTTAGAATTGCTTTGTTCAGAACAGAACATTTTAACAGTTTCCAATTTATTAAATAAATAATCTCAAGGAACTGAGATTATTTATTTAATAAATTCTAAGTTCAGAATTGCTTTGTTCAGAACAGAAAATTTTAACAGTTTCCAATTTATTAAATAAATAATCTCAAGGAACTGAAGTGGTAAGATATTACCTGATTGAAAACTTCATAAGCTTCAAAAATATACAAAAATAAAATGACTGTCGACATGCTTTAAGTGCATCAAAAATAGGATCCAATGACAGACGTGCATGTAATGAAACAAAAATGATTTAAAAAAAACAAAAACAAAAAAAAACAAAAAACGTGAAGTTGTCAATGAAAAAGTTAAGGTAAGAAACAAAAACTGGAAAAACCACAGAATCCAAGAAAGAAAAAAGATGTTGTTGTTGTAGTTCATTTACGTCGCACTAGAGCTGCGCAATGGGCTATTGGCGACGGTCTGGGAAAAATCCCTGCGAATGATCCGAAGGCATGCCATCACAATTTTTATTCTCTGCAGAGGGGATGGCACCCCCGCTTTGGTAGCCCGACGACCTGCACGCGAAATCGAGCACTTTAGGGTAGAACAGTTTAACGAGGACCAATACCGCACACCCTCGGTCTTTACGCAGACTAAGCCAGTGATGCTTGACTTCGGTGATCTGCTGGGAACCGTGTCCTAATTAGCAGTCTACTGCAGGACAGAAAAAAGACGAAAAGAAGAACAAGAAAAAAACGCAGTGGCCGAGAAGCGAATCAGGGTAAAATGCATTTCCACACGTTTTGGAGAGGTCCCGACCTCTTCATCGTTAACAAGGGAATCATCATTCAAATAAATAGAATAAGATTCCAGGATATCAAGATGAGCCGACGTGACTGGGGTGGAAGTAATTCTAGCATTGTCGGAAGTGAATTTATGCCCAAAATTTCAACTATGTGAAACCATTGTAGATTTTTCGACTACTTGATAATGGACATATCTATCGTATTGCTCAAGTAGTCTAAATTTTATAGCGCGTTTAGTCTGCCGATGAAGCCAAGGTCATATTGACACGCGATGTGGTTAATGCTGCAGCGATTATCAAAGCTAATAGGATCTTAAAGAGATTTAAATCTGATTCTGTTAACAGGTTTGGAAATGACTTTAAAACCAAAGCGGGAGAGGATATTAGCAATTTTATAGCAAACGGGAGATAAAGTAACAAGATCTGTATAATGATTAGAAGAAGTTTCCAATATAATTTGTTAAAACTGAACTACATATAATCTTTTGAAATGAATGCAAGGAAGTATACTGTTGCATTAAAAAAGACAGTAACAGTCAATTAATATTCTTTTTTACTAAATATAATTAAAATTTGAAATTGAATTCAAGATTTTCTTAATCATATAATTTTAAAGTAGGGTTTCAATAATTTCAAAATGAAAACACAGTAACTATGCCACTTAACATTTTTGCTCAAAAGTAATTTTTGTGAAAGATTTTTAAAATCACTAAAATGAATTATGAATGAAAAATAATGATTTTTATAATCATTTAAAGTTTCCATGATATGATTACTGTATTGTTGATTGGATTCGATCATTTTTAAAATCAAATGAAAGAGATGAATCAATAATTGTGATACTTCAAAACTCCAAAATTTGTTCCTGCATTTGCTTAAAATAATAATTAAGGATATGATCCCCATAATTCATAACCATAAAAATTTGATACTATAAAATTTTTAATTAAGTTTCTTTTTCATAGAATGACTGAATTCTCAAAAAGGTTTAAACAATGAATTCTGTGGGTATATACAGCAACATGCCTCAACTATGTAACCTAACATAATTAGTAGACGGTCCCTAGATTTAAACTAGCAAATATTGTGATTAGCATTATTTAATAAAATAAAAAGTTGTCATTGAAAAAAAAAAATCAAGAATTTTCAAATCTCTTTCTTAATTTTTATCTCTTTCCTTCTGCAATTGTATTTTTAGAAAATGGGAAATGGGATGTTCTGAATACACATACAAAACAGGAATATCTGGACAAAAAGCTAAAAATTAGGACTAATAAGGATTAAATATATTTCTTCAGGGAAATCAGGACAACTACGAATCCCGATAAGTGGTCAAAATTTCGATTGACGTTAAATTTGCAAGGGTGGCAATAGGTCAATAAATTCAGCTGGTGGCGGTTAGGAAAAGATGAAACTTGTATTATTTAGTATTGCGCTTAAACTATAACTTAAGTACTCTAACTAGTCGGATAGTGATCGAAAATTTAATTAACGATAAATATTTTTTGTCAATAAAGCAGCAATAAATTCTGCTTGCAGTTTTTTTGAAATTATTGAAACGTTTATTTTGATCAAGTACAAAGCTCTAGAGGAGATTTGAGTATTCTTAAAGTGTCCTGGAAATTAGAATAATTATAATTTTTTTTAATAATAGAATGAACATAAATTCTGCTTGTCGACGTCAGGAAACGACTAAATTTGTCCATTCATCTAACTTAGTTTGAACTAAAATTTAAGCATACTAGCTAGTCAAAAAGTGGTCTAAAAATTAACAGACGGGTAATTGCTTTTACCAACGAAACGGCGATAAATTCTACTTGTAGTGGTTAAAAAAGTATTGAAACTTTTATTTTTATCCGATACAAAGCCTCAGATGAGGTTTGAGCATTGCTGTTATTCAGAAAGTGTTCGGAATTTTTATAAACTAAAAAATTCTATTTGACGATAAAAGGATTATAAATTCTGCTCGTAACGGTCAAGATACGATTGAAACTTACACTTATCTGGTATGAAGCTGAACTAAAAATAATTAGAAGTACGATGGAAATTTTAATTTTCTATGTGTATGTAAACTTGGTTGATACATCTCCTGACATATGTTTTACCTCCATAAATCTATGTGTTTTACCCAAGAAAATATCTTTTAAGAAGCTTTTATGGAAAAAGATAGGCTGCGGGTGTATTTAATTAAATTTTTAACTTAAAATCATTCACATTTTGATTTATTCGTATAGTAAATGTTTTTATAATACAAGTTCTTACCTTATTTCTTTGAAATGGGTTGAAAATCTTGCCATTGTCTGTATTTAAGTAAAAAGATCACTTTCAGTTTAAAAATTTTGTAACAACAAACTTAAAGGCGCTAGGACGCTGGATATTTTAAACTTGCCAAGGGTTTCTATTGGTTGTTCATTTAAAAGTTTTCGTTTAGGTTGCTTATCTATTTTCGCGCATTATGTTCATCTCTAAGAAGTAGTGTGGCATGTGTGATCGACTGTTTTTATCTAAAGAAGCTTTCCGTTGTTCAAAACGAAAGGGCAAAATAGCATTTGCTTGGTTCCTTCTTGAAAGTACGAAAAATATAAAATTAAAAACCAAAGTTTAGAACTGCAAAAAGAACTATCTCAAAAACTATAATCAGAATATATTTTGTAAAAACAATTTTGATATTGTTGATTCACGAAGTTAAATTTTGGTTGGAAATCTTATTTTAAAATTGAAGTAAGTATTTTCTTAAATGCATTGAAGACTTGTCTTTTTTTTTATGTTGGAGTGATAACTTACAACGAAACATTGGTTTTAAAAGTTCTTTTTCGTGGTTAAAAAAAATTACGGAAAATTTGAGGCAAGCATACTATTTCATCAATTTGTTTTTGTTGTTTATTTGAAAATAAACAATTAAAAAGAATTTGAACAAGTGTATAATAAATAAATCACTGAAATTATTGATCTCAGTTTTAATTTAATGATAAAAAATGGGCAGAATAAATAAAAAATAATAAAATTCGAACTGTTGCAAATTAGGTTTGTTCTCAGAATTAATAATTCCGATTTAAATTACGAACAATATCATTGGAACCGCGGTGGCAGAGGCGAAGATCACTCTCCACTCAATGAACAGATCCAGACTCGAATCCCATCAACGGCTTAGTTGTTACGAAGTCTGCTTCTGGATTGCCGCAACCTCAGTGTTGATCTAAGAATATCCTCAGTGGCTGACAGATCACAGCATTAGAATTCTCTTTCCATTGAACTGACCATACTGTGGCTTTTATCTCCATTTCCCGCAAATACGAGATAGTTTCATCAAAAGTCCTCCACAAAGGCTTGTTTGTCCCATAGCTTAATAGAAGAGTTCCTTTGTTGTCTGGATTGGATTCAAAATAAAACCTAAGGAATTGAACCTTGATAATTGTAAACCCAAAAGTCAACGGCTGTTCAACGCCGGTTATAAAATAAAATACCTTCATTAAATTGTTTTCGCTTGAACTAGAGTACTTAAAATGAATGATTAGCTATAATTTATTCCATTTTTTTATTGAACAAAGTATTACAACCGTGTAGGGCCGGGACAGCCGGGTTGGTAGGGCACTGGGCCCATGTCCAAGTGGTCGCGGGTTCGATCCCTGCTGGGCGAAGATTCCCCGTGTAGTAAATGGTGACTGATGCACGTTAAATCTGTCGAATCTCTAAGTCCTCCATGTTCCCATAACAAATCAAAACCTCTGGGGGTACTGGATTGGAGATTGATTGTTCTCTGATTCAGGTCAAAATTACGATCTGTGGAGTGAATGGATGTATGAATGGGTTCACCCTATAAACGGGCGTAACGTATGGGTGTGACAGAAGTTGAATTTTCGACCATAGATGACACCCCCTCTACCTTAATGGTATACGTCAACAACAGCAACATTACAGTGTATGCGCATAAACCTGTTGACGCCACGCTTTGTATTTAGCCTTTAACTAAGAATTCGTAATTTGCAGGACATCATACCTAGTCTAAATTAACAATTAAATGCGTTTTTCTCTGTTTTAGAAAAAATGTTTGCTACAAATCTTGATATGTTCACACAAGTTATCGTTACATTACTTCAGTTGTGCTCATGCTTACAAATTTTTTTAATCGACAAATGCATCAGGAGTGTGAAATAAAAATATACCAAACCAATGTATCAATTTTTATTTCAACAATTCTAACATTGACACATCATATATGTATTGATGATTTTGCAAATATCACATCAAATATCTCATACATCTTAATTACAAACATTCATGGAAAAAACAACAAAAATAAATTACTCACATACACTAGGATTCGAGTTTGATTGTACAGTTAACTTGTTCGTCGGCAGTACAATTCTGTTGTCATTATTACCTCTCTCACTGTATTACAGGTACATTAACCATATAAACATTTTACAATTTATCTATAGCCATTGCAGCACGTTCACTTGATTTACACAAAGCATATCTCTTCACTGTATGGTACTATGAATAGTATCAAGGGACATTTCTCTGGATTGTTTGGGTTAACAGTTCTACTGTTGATGAATTAAGATTATCTAACATCATACACAAATATCTACAACAGAAACATATGAAGACTTACCACATTTAAGTCACAGTGAATTAATTTTTTCGAAAGTGAGTGAATAGGAAATATGTGACAAGTTTTCGAATTCAACAGTTTTAAGTGCAAAAATAGTTTTTTTTTTCATTATGGAATGTTTGCGAAGTTGGAGCTTCTGTGAATTGTATTGTTCAGAAATATCATTCACCGGAAGAAAATGACAATTGAAGACCGCACGGGAAGAACGGTTGTGTGTGTGATTCGAAGAACAAACGGTTTTGCGCGTGGAAAGAAAGCGTTTTCCCACAGTGTGACCCATCTTCACTGCATAATAACTCTCGGAGATAATCGATATTTTAGGATGCTGATTTTTCAATTCTCAAAATGCGTTCTTCCCTTGGTCTCCAATTGTTGATCCACAATAAGTTAATGAAATTAAAATGATAATTACAAGGTCGCACTACCAAATACAAATCGGGAGAAGCACTTTTCTGTATTTAAAATAAATAAATATTTCTCTTAATTTGTAATATCTATAAAGCACATATTCCTCTAGATCGAAACGATCTATTTCTCAGGTTTCAAAACTATGGTTTTGTCTTAGTGAATAATTATCCTCAAGATTAATGTAAGCATTTCTAGCGTTATAGTTGGAAATTCTCATAATTTAATAATTTCTAAATGAACTTGTATTTGATATACATTATACATAAATCTCTCCAATATTGTACCTGCCAAGTCTCAAAAGAAAAATTTCCACTTACAGTCTAATTGAGGCATCACCCTTTTTTAGGGGGGAGAGGTGATTGTTTTCTTTTACTTGCCTTTTATTTATTTTTCTTGAGGGGATATGTGTTCAATAGAAATAATTACTTATTTTGAATCTATTGCTTTGCCATATATTTTACACTGAAAAAAATATTTAAAAAACAATCGACAAAGAAACGAAGTACATTAAACTATTTTCAATAATAAATATTTTGATTAAATAAGAAACATTGTCCGTGGAAGCTTATTTCTATCTTGAAATATAGCTCTTTAAAATAAAAAGTTTAGTTTTAAAAGATCGTTCTAAAAGTTGATCGATTTTTAATTTATTAATTGCCATTAAGAGTTTACTCAAGCGTCTATTTAGGAAATTAACTATTAACTAACGTTCATAAATCTCAATTTATTGTGTGTAAAGTAAGATAATAAAATATAGTTAATAAAAAAGTATATTTAAATGACTATGAAAATCATTTTTGGCACAATTGTGTTGAAGTAAAATAACATATTTTTTACCATCATGAATGAATATCGTTTGCCTATAAATAACTATAATAAACTATACATAAATCTAAATATTTATAGCTTTTTTTTCAATTCAAAAACAACGTATTATTAATATAAATATCGTATTTTTATTATATTTGGTCAATCAAGCCAATAATAAAAATGTTTCAATATAAAGTTTTCTGGATCGAACTTTAACAACCTATTCTAGCTATAAACTAGTAACCAGCACCAATACCTTTTTGCCCAGAGGGAAAAAACGTGACTATATGATTAAATATATCCATAATAATATAAAAAGAAATGTTAATCATAAACGGAGAAAAAGAATGCAGAGAGTCAATTAATATTTTAACTGAATTACACACATAAATAAATATAATTACATTTATTTATTTTTATATTTCCATTATATTTTAAACAGATAAAATTCTCTTTTTAATAATTTACACGTTTCCTCTTAAACTATTTTATAATATGATGTCAGTAAGAAACGTAAAATATTTCAGAAAACGTGCTTATAGATGAGCAAATAAGAACACAAAACTGCAGAACTATCTTTTTAAATATAGATTCGTCAGCGACCTTCAACACAGTCGATAGAGTTTATTGTATAAATTCAGCTTAATCTAAAATACATGCCGCGAAATGTGCAAATATAAAGTCCTGAAGAAGCATAAATAAAAACTTTATGCTGTTTGAATTGAAGTTAAATTTTACACTTTAATACTGAAAAAATTGGAGTAAATTCATATATTGTTAATCCTGTAATAATAACATAATTTTTTTAACTTTTGTTCTCTACTGTATGTTTTCTCAATTTAGCTTTCTAAATTTTTTAAAAACAAGTTGTTTTGAGATGTTTTAAAAAAAGAGTCATAATTTTTTACCCTTTTTTCAAAAAAATAAATAAAAAGGAAATTTAGATGAAAAATAATCTGCAGCGAGTGTTGGAGTGCTTTTGCTATCGGAATAATGACTAAAATGTTTGAAATTAATTAAAATTAAATAGTATTGAAAAGTTAATTTATCTTTTGCAACATCCCTGAGAATTTTTAGAGTTTTAGGAACAAAGAATTTCAGAGCCTTAAATCGTCTAAAATGTCACTACTGCAATAATTTTTAACGTACTTTTTTTTTAATCAGTAAGTTCCAGAGTAATTTTAACCAATCTAACTATTTTGTAAAATCAAGTATAACTTTCTTCCTTACGTAATCTTGATTATTTTTCGATTACAAAATCATCCATACATTTTCAGCGATTCTCTAAATGACTAAATTACATTAGATGAACAAATTTGTAATCAATAGAAAAATTTCTAAGCTGATCTGACTAAGTTCAAAGTAAAAAATATTAAGAGTTCAGAAATTTTTTATATATTCTAATTAAGAAAATAACTGTTATATGGTTAAGAAAAATAAGTATTATATCAAAAAAAATGATGCTATAAGCTGTGGTTACAGTTAATGAATGTTAAAAGATGCACAGCTATTAATTTCCGTTTCTTCATTTATCCGCATTGAAGAACATTTACATGCAGTAAATTATTTGAAATTGGATACAATTTAAATACTTGTTCTTCTTAGTCAAAGAAACAAAACGACTATTCGATAAATCAACGTAAATAATTCGTTGCAAATTAAATAGTAAAGGTTTAAATGAACATAATTTAAATACTTGTTCGTCTGCATTTTCAAACACACATAACGTGTATTCCATAATCAATTCGTGACAAATTCAGTAGTAAAATTTTCAACGAACACAATTTAAATAATTGTTCGTCTATCTTTTCAAACATACATAACGAGTATTCTATAAATCAATTCGTGACAAATTAAGTAGAAAAAGTTTCAACGAACACAATTTAAATAATTGTTCGTCTATCATTTCAAACATACATAACGAGTATTCCATAAATCAATTCGTGACAAATTAAGTAGTAAAAGTTTCAACGAACACAATTTAAATAATTGTTAGTCTCAAATTTACAAATCTTTTCAAATTTACAAATCGACTATTCGATAAATCAACAGAAGTGGTTTGTCGCAAATTAAGCAGTGAAGCTTTTGAACAAAATTGGAAGTGTATGTTCTGGTATTGTTTACATTTTAAAAGTACAGATCGTTAAATTCGAGATGATCAAATTGGGCAAGGTTTGCCACGCATGTTGTAAAGAAGTACTTTTTCTATCTTGTCCTTCAACCACTCTAAAATTATCGGATCATCACTTTGAATATATCTTTCGTCTCCAGCAAAATTCAATATCCAGTCTTCCTGCAATTAAATGACAAACTTTAAATATTGCAACTTTACAGTTGGATTTAGGAAGGTAAATTAAGAAACTAAGAAAAATAGACATAAAAGAAACAAAAGTAAATTAATGTAAATTCTTTACTTTTACTACATTCTAAATTTTTATTTGCTAATACCACAGTATTAGCAAATAAAAAGTTGATAGTAGAATTCTCTGTAATTAATATACATTTTTAAAATCTGCGTCAAAAAGTATGCACATTAAAGGCCTCTAGTTATGGTGACGTTGTGCAAACTGTTAGTTATTAAATAACTAGCATTATAATAATTAAAAACAAAAAATAATGCATGATTTGTTATCTCAACTGATAAGACTTTTAAAGTATAACCTACTTTCTTGGTCAGGATAACTAGAATTTCTTCAACCGAGCAGACTTTCCAGTCTCCGATTTTGCAACGTTAAAAAATTTGAAACTGTTTGTAACTTGAGCTCACAATTTTTCAAGAACGATGATGTTTACATTGCCAGTTCTTGGTAAACCATTAGTTCGTTATGTTGACAAACTCAAATCAGTTGATACTGAGCTTAAAAAAATACCTCTAGATGGCACGACGCAAAAATTGAAAAAATGACAGTTTGCACAAAGTCACCCCATCTGACGGTAATACTTATTTCAATTTAATAATTAAATAAAACACAATTATTTAAGTGATAATGCGCATTGTTGGTTCCTTGCTTACCTGTTTGACTTTAATAACTAGATTATTCTTATGAATGTGAGGTACAGTGAGCACATCATCAACACTAACCATCCATTCAACGTCCCAACTGCTCCAAAAACGACTTTTTTCAAGCAGGAACAAATGCCTGAAATATACACAGAAGATTGATTACTTTACCTTCATTGAACTTGAAACAAAGTTCTGAACTATTTAATAGTTTTTTAAGTATCTTTTAAACAGACAAAAAGAATTTCTCAATTCTTTTCAGGACGTAGGAGAGGAGGGTGAGAAGTTAAGTGCCATTCAAGTTTCGTCCCTTCATGATGATGACTGTACGACGCTGAAACCAAGCAAAACAGGTCAGTTTTATCCGTGACTTAATGACATTTGCAATACTTTTTTAGTTTTTTAATAGACTTTGCTGATTCCGATTGTAGCTTGAAAATTGCTGATAACAGCTTATACAGTTGTGATGCCAAAATTGGCATTACATATTTATTTCCTATCTTTTAAAATATCTTTCATTTCTTAAGCTTATTTTTTATTAATAGAATTATATTTAAAATAAATCAAAGACTTAATCTTTTAAAACGAACATGAAATATTTTTTCTTCTCTTATAGATCAATGTAACGGATACTTTTTATTTCATTAAGGCAGACTTATTAATTCACTGTCGCGCCTAATCGAAAACAAAAATCTATTTATAACTTTTTATTCTAATTTCCAAGTGCTAAATGTTTCAGTTGCATGGTTGTAATAATTCTCATAAATTTGTTGGCGACTCGTGATCGCCAAGGTGTTCTTTTAAACCCAATATTGATATGCTGGTTGGCTTTGCTTTGGTTATGTTATATTTTGATAATTCGCCAATTTGGATCTTCTACTCATACTTTCTGTGTCCGTTAGGAACAATTGAATTCACTTTTAATTTCAAATTTGTGGAGACTGGGAGTGCTCTTTCGGGCCTCCCCAGTCTCAATTTCTAACCGTCAGAAAATGATATTCTGGCTGTATGATCTCTCAATAGAAAGTATTCTGATTTGATCCCTTTTGTTAAGAAATGGCCATTCTCTATCATGTAAAATTACGCTTAATAAAATAAATTTCATTAAACGATTTATATAGTGTTTCCTGGACATGATCATTTTAATATTTTGATAATCGAGATGTGTTTTTGTACGACCAAGATATTTTCCACAATACAAATATTGGCGGCCACTGATGGAGAACAATCTCCACCATAACAGTTTTAATTGCTGATTACAGTTTATAGAAAATTTCTAATTAGTTTTATAGTTATTTGGTGCTGCACTATTTGATAAGCGTACTAATACATCGGGCATGCGTGTGTTTGAAAACTTTTAAATACGTTGGTGATTTGTTTGACCATATTTTTAGTGTTTGCGTCAAGTCAGGTGCAGCATATCAGGCTATATACTTATGGGTTACCCGGTGAGTTAAAAAAATATATGTGAGTGTATGAAAGAGTTAGAGTATATGTTAGAGTATAAAATATATATGTAGAGTATTAAAAAAGTACAAGCTTGAGGACAAATTTTGTTATTTATATGATAATTTATTTGACATATTGTTGAAAAAAGTATCATTATTTACTTTATTGTGTTTGTGTAAAGATTCCTAAATGCTTTACTTTATAATATCAAGCTTATAATCATTTGAACAAACGAATGTAGCATCAAACGAAGTGCTTTAAGAACTTCAAATATGCTAATTCATTAATGCTAATTATTAAGTTTCGGAATCAGACACAAAAACTTTAATGTTACTTTCACTTTTTGCTTAGTTTGCCATATTCTGGGAAGATTTTGAAGATTTTTTTTTGCACGCAATTATAAAACTTATTTATTCAAATATAATTTCATGTAAAAATAGATTTATTATATTAAACCAATCATTAGAGCAAAAGTTATTTAGAGTGATTTGTTTTTGCTTTGTATCCTGTAAGTGGTGTAAATTGACCACTGTAAGGCTGTTAGGTCAAACAAAGTGGTTGCTTAGAAGTTTTTCGTTCTCAAATTACAATTTTTTAAAAACCACAATAGAAATTAGATTTTAACTTAGGTTCCGCTTTCGCAAACTTGTTACATGAGTATATATCAAAACATGTCTGATTAACGTTTTGGTGAAACTGCTCAATATATAAGTGAGAATAACAGCAAAAATATTATAAATGATTGCTTTTTTTAAAGGAGAAGAAAGAAATGAAGACTCTGGAAATATTTCAGTTGCTGCTGGTCACGCAACAATTATTATATAAAAGTTTGAAAAAAATCCCAGAGTACTGAATGCAGCATTTTATTTAGTATTTTGATTACCACGTAAAGAAAATGAGTAAATTTTTTAAAATGTATTTATTTACCTATCAGTAACTAAAGCAACCCTAATTCTGTCTTGAGGTGACAAAGCTGCATGTGCCCAATAAATATCAGTCTCTGCATAATGACCTTTGCTGACCTCTTCCAGTAAATGGCAGCCAGATGCCAAGTAAGGAGAATATGGTCTTAGACCCTAGTTAAATAACACAAACAGTACGAATTATAAGTAATAAAAAATTACACCAATTTGACGACGACACCCGAAAAAAAAATCGTTTAGGTATAGAAAAGTGGTTATTATGAGCTACTCGATAAGAACATTTATGGGATTTACCAAGAAGCTGAATTCGAAATTAACGTTTCTATCTTATAAATGGTATGGCATACAAGAACATAGGAGTTATAATGCTGCAAGATGCGTCAGATTTATATGTTCTTTATTTTTGTTTTGCTCTTTTCTTAATAGTAAAGGCAAGTCGTAAAGAGCAGGTAGATTTGTTTTACTGTTTTTACCCAAGTTTTTGCTATCACAGTTTTAATGATAAATTTCGCGATTTGATTTGTACGATCTTCTTTCTAGTTTTATGATATTGTATTTATGGAAGCAGAGCTGAAGAATGCGCATGTGCAATGTTCTCGCAATTCTAAATATTAAAATATAACTAAATGATGATAGAGCTGCATAAAAGATATAACTATTCTAGCATCAACAATTTTTATCGTGACTAGAATAATATGAAAAATTAAATTTCACAGGAGTTTTACTTTTAAGTACACATTATTCGATCTAAGCTTTGTATTTAAGCTTAGCTAAATATCAATGACTTTTAAACGATTTGGGATAAATCAGTCAAGTACGAAAACGATTTTTCGACCAATTTAAAACTATGTACGACTAAAAAAGATTATTGTTTACAATTTTGTGATAGGATCATTCCATGACAAGGAAGAACAAAATACCAAAAAAGAAAAAAATCTTTTTTTTCTTCTGATTTAATCTAAGAGAAGCAAAATTTGTTTTCAACCATTCTTAGCTTTACTCTCTTTTGTGACGCTCTTGCAAAGTCGTCTGCTTTGAAAGTTTCATTATTGAGGGGAATTAAAACACGATAATCAATATTTACGTTTCTTTATACCCCGTACGAAAAACAAGAACAAGTATTGAGCTAATAATAAATCAAAACAATAAGAAATGCCTAAATAAAAATGAATGATAATAAATTGTAAGTGGAACTAAAATTTAAAACAGATAAATTAAAAAAACATACTTCTGATGGGTTAATATATCTCGGAAGACGCATGCGTAGTACAACACTTTCTCCCATTTCTGCAGCTCTGTAAGAAAAGAATTTTTTTTTTCATTCGTCCATATACAATAAAATTATTAGGATGTTTAGGGTGAATAATTAGATGATTATTTTAAGTGAACGTTTAAAATATACAATTCACATACAAATGATAAGAAAATAAAATGAAATTAAAAACAACGTAAAAAGTACAAATAATCTGACTCTACTTATTATGTTGTTTTCTTACATTATTTTACTAACAACAGAAATTAAACAATTACTTGGGTAAAAATAAAATATAAAATTACGTGGTTATATAACTCCTTCATTATGTAATTTGCTATAATTTCTTCCTTACACATTAGTTTTGTTGGAATTCGTTAAATAATTTATTTAATTATTACAATTAATTAAATTATCAATTACTCCAATATACGGTTAATCTCTTAGAATTTTTCCTATAATATTTTTTAATCAGTTACAACTTCAACAATATATCATTATTTTGTCATTACACTGTCAACACATTGTTTTTTTTTTATTAACTACTCTCAACAAATAATCAACTATTTCCGCATACAGTGAAAAATATTCTTTATAAATATTAATCTTTGTTGAACTGAAAAGAATGAGAATTTAATTTAACACCAGAAATTAGGAAGATTTAAAAAAAGAAAAATCTTATAATTTGTGATAAAATGAAGCACGAAATTTCTAAAAGTGTGACCGTAATAAAATTCAATCCACATTATATTTGTGCAATAATTGATACTAAAGTTGTATGCATAACTTCGATTAATTTATGCTGTTGCTTATAAACTGGTATATTTGAACAAAATATCGAAACATTTATAGAGAAATTTATATGTTTCAAAGAGTAGTAAAATAGAATGGCGTCTTAAAATCGGACAAACAAAATCTCATGTTAAAGTTGTTTGATCGCTGAATGATCATTCAACACTGATACTTTTATATTCATTTGCGTAAGCTAATTATATCATATATTACCTCCTGATGCCATCAAAAGCCATGCTGACCATATCCATGACTCCGCCAGCAGGTTTTGTTATCAAACCTAATAAACCTTTGCCTATACCTCGGAAAAAACCTTCGACTCCTTCCTGTTGACCTCCTAAGATTAAAAAATAAATATTTATAAATTATATACAGATTTTTGCCATTTAAACTATCGACTCTATAAGGTAAAAGTAACTGTAGATTTTTCGATGACCATTTTATTTTATATAGAAAAAAGTAATTTTTGAGTAATTTTCATCACAATCATATTCATTCTGTTAAAGTTAGTCAATATTTCATATTTATATTGCATTAGTCAATATTTCAAATTTATATAAACTAACCGTTTTTCAAAATCCAGAACTATTTTTTATTTGGATAGCTTATGACATTTGAGGTAGTAATTTTTTTTAAAAGAAAGACACAATAATGGCATAAAATAAATATATTTATATATATATATATATAATATTTAGAGCTCTTGTCAACAATGAGGCAGGATTGAAAATATCAAAACTTATTTTGTCTTAATGTAACTAAAGGGCATTGAAAGGCAATAACTAAAAAATTTAATAATTAAATTGGAATTTTAGCCGGCTTTCCCTGATATTGACCATGATGATGACTCGTCAGATTTTGATAACGTATTTTTTTCTTCAATTTCATTGTGCTTTTATTATACTTTTTTAAAATGAATCTGTAAAGGGTATTGATTACGGAGCATCCTTTACTAACTTTCGTGGATATATAATCTATGTATTATTTTTTATCTTATCAATAAATTTCTTTTTAAAAAAGCTTAATCCATAACACATTCTAACCTCTTTTGAAAGAGATAACACTTATTTTGTGGTTTACAATAGAAAAACCATTTTCGAATTTTAAAAGTTATTGCTATGCAACAAATTTTTAACATTTCAACTGAAACAGTTCTAAATATGGAACATTTTGGTTTTTCATTACCGGTTATTGGCTGAGTTACTACTCCAGAGAGTCCTAAGCCTACACCAAGTACAAAACTTTTTGTAGCATTGAAGAGTGTATCTGGCAGCGAACTTGATTTATGCTGCTGGCGATATTGCCTCTTCTAAGAAGAGAATAAAAATATGAAGAAACAATTTATTCCAAAAGTATTAATGGAAAATTTCTCTTTCACACAGGAATAAGGATTATCTCTCACCTTTCTATAATCTTCATCAAAAGTAAGGACAGAAAATGTTTGGCCTAAAGATCCTGTTATCAAAGATATAGCACCAGCAGATCCTCCTAGAATGAAATGTCATTTCTTAATTCAAGATATTATTGGAAAAATTAGTACGATTTCAGTGCTAACCTTTGAATAGTTTACTAAGTAGGTAAAGCAGTCTTTTAATATAGATGTTTCGATACATTTAAAATATTTTCTTAAGTTCACGAACGTATTTTTCCACAATGCCCTTAAATTGTTGAAATAAGTTTTATTTTAATACACACAGTACGCAAAAAAGGAAGAAAAAAAAACCGGATTAACCTGAATAACTTTTGATTTAATGATTGAATCTTCACTTTCTAAGACTCAATCTTAATGGTTCAAATGGGTGACCTCAAATATGCTAATTAATTAGTGCGGACGATATTTTAAGTTAAGAAATAAGACACAAAAACAAATTTTCTCTGAATAAACGTACCAATTTTTAAACGAATTCGAATTTCTGATCCCCGAAATATAGGGTGCAGCAGCAATCTGGGAAATATGGTTCCAATAGTTTAGTCAGTAGAACCCTCCAATGTTCGGATCCCTTAATGTTAATTTTATTTTTTGCGTATTTTGCCTTTTTAAGCGAAATAAAAAAAATTTTTGCACGCAATTATAAAATTCTTTGAACCAAAGATAGTTTTACGCAAAAATTTTTTTTAGTAAATATTTATTACTTTTTATTACCTTATTTAATCATAGCCAAAAGCATTTTGAATTATAAGGTATAAATTTTTTACCTCATTTTAAAATAAATAATTTTAAATGGCAAACTACCAAATTTGAGCAAAATCGGTAAATTGCAAAATCGGCTTAGTAATTTGTTCCTGAGAAATCTTATTTTAAATATACGACTTTTTTGAAATTTAATTTCTCAATAATAATACTACCGATTTCGATCAAAATTAGTATTTTGCCATGTGTACCTTATTTCAAAATTATTAAGACTATTATTATATAAAATAATAATTATTCTCTGAAAATTATTCTTTGCATTATCTTTGGCTTAAAAAGTTCTCGAGATATGGCGAAAGACGCGAAAGTAAAATTAACATTAAGGAGTTTAAACTTTGGATGGCTCTCCTGGCCAAACTATTGGGATTTTATTACTCAAATTAGGGCTATGCTCTCTATTTTGAGGGTCAAAAATCCAAAAATCAGAGAAAGTGAGGTTTTGACTCTGATTTCGTAACCTAAAATATCGTTTAATCTAATTAATCATCTTATTGGAGGTCACCCTCGAACCATTAAGGTAGAGTCCTGAAACGTGAAGATCTGATCATTAGATCGAAAGTTATGCATGGTGGTTCACTTATTCTTCTTATTTTTTTTGTGTAATCTTCCTGAAGAACAGAAATATATGGGAGTTTAGCAGATCATTAACTTGCCTGTAACTATACGAATCATGCTTAGCGAAAATATTGTAAGAAAAGGTTGCAAACATCTTTTCAGGTATGAGCTGCCCTTTCTGAATGAGGCTAGATTTGTCTTTCTTAAATACGCACCCTCCGTTTAAGATAAAAATACAACTCATTATTAATTCATTTTTTTACTGAGGAAAAAATATTAAGTTTGTAAACGAAATGAGCAAAGTTTAATATTGATGCTTCACGAAGATATACCAATTATCCTGTTTTATTATTATTTGTCATGTGTCTTTGTCGTATGATCTAAGAGTTCCGATGGCGCAGTTGGTTAAGGCGTCACTTACATCAGTGAGGGGGTGCTTGGGTTTGATCCTGGCGACAGACAAAACAACCAGCAAGTACACACAGCAGTCAAAATGCATCTCGTTGGTTGTGATGTGGAAGTTTGAAGAGGAATGTACCAGCTCTGGTGCTGCTCACGTCGTCCGACTGGGGTCAAAATTGAGTGCCATTCAAACAATGGCCGTTAACAAATAGAGCTATGGAAAACGAGGCCAGAAGCTTGGCCATGACTCGGTGTGATGAGTGTGTGTGTTATGATCTATCCTGGTGTGCTTATCTCTTTTTTTAGGATACTTTTATATTAATGTGAATTATTTTAAAAGGAAAGTTTCAAAAATGGGTAGAAATTTTCAATAAAACATTTCTCATATGGGCATTTGGTATAGAATTAAACGATATGCATTAGTTAAAAAGCTGAGAATTAGAATTTTACTTTTCCAGCACCATGAAATAATGTAAGCAACATGATGATCATAGAGATGTATATAATGCGCTAAAATACTCACCAATTACATGTCCTAACAGACTTTGTGCTCCTCTAGCTAAGCTCTCAGCAAATTCATCTGGTCCCTTAATTGATCCCTAATAAATGAATAGATGCAAGTTAAAATTCTTACCCGAATTTTATTTTCAGTATTTCTGGAGAACGCTAAAATAAACTCTTTCTCACCAAGTAAGGCTCATAAAAGAAATCTCCGAGTCCTCTTGTAAAGTCTTTTAGAAGACCAAAAGGGTTACCCAGGATATCTAGTCCTAAAATAAGAACGTATGCCTGTTGCACCGCTTGAGATTTGTAATGGCTACGAATTTCGTTCAGCAATTCTTGATAACTAGCATGAAAGCCTCGACGTTCGAAAAATGCTAATCTAGAGGGAATTAAAAAAAAATCAAAGATTTAGTATCTGGATTTGTTAAGAAAGACTTCTGTGCGCATTGTGTTGTAAAAATTTAAAAATTATATGTAGTTTGTTCTGTAAAGATATCAATTACAAAATAAAATGCTTAAATACCACTTGTTTCATTTGCAAATAACGAAGTCCACAACTTCAATTTTTTTAAAATCAAATTTAGTCGAAGAATAAAAAAATGACAATAATTATTGTAGTTTTCACTGGTGGTGACGAGAAGTTTAAAAATTATTTTTAACAAAATCGAGAAGTATTAAATGAAAAATGCCTTTTGAGTTTTATTATTCAACTAATCAAAAGCTATAAATGCGATCACAAACATCTTCTATGTAAAGCAAGGTACAATAAAAATACAGATTGCTAAATTTTTAACCAAATATAATAGAAATTTACGCATTTATCAAACAAGTTTGTTTTAAAAAACACCATATAGGGCTTGCAAAATCTTATTCAATATACAATTTACAACCCAAAACCAAGAGTGAAAAATTTCAGTTCTTACAAAATCTAAGAAATAAAATCTATCGTCCGGACAAGCATGCCATCTGAAGTTCCAAATTTTGCAAAAGGGGTGAAAAAACTGAAAATATCTCCGGGAGCTGTAATCCGTATCTACATATCTGAAAGTGAGTTTTTAAATTTTCAGTTATTTTCTATTTATAGCTGTAAAATAAATCGTAACCCAAAAGATGTCTCAAAAAACTCAACCCAAAGGATGTCAAAAAATGTCCTAATGTTGGTTAATACTCATTATGACAAAATTATAAAACTTAAAATCAGGAAACGATTCCGAAGTAAGTCTTTTTAAAAATCGTTTTTCTCTTCTACTTTTTGTTTTTTTCTTTTTTTTTTAAAGCACGATTTTATTGGTTTAAATAATTTTATTTGAAAACAACAAAGCAGATAAGAACATAGTTCGGGTTACAAAAATCGCTCTACAGATAAAATTATGGGTTGTGGAAGCGTTGAAAACTCGTATTAAAATAGTACTTCTTCATGGAATTAAATCATCATTTTTTATTTGTTTAAATATGATTGAAAGGTAGTTAGGCTGATTCTTTTAATTAAAATCGCTCTACAGATAAAATTATGGGTTGTGGAAGCGTTGAAAACTCGTATTAAAATAGTACTTCTTCATGGAATTAAATAATCATTTTCTATTTGTTTAAATATGATTGAAAGGTAGTTAGGCTAATTCTTTTAATTAAAATATTTGAATACCGTTTTTAATATAGTTGAAATTGCAAACTTAATTTTAATTGGCTTAAATATTATATGCTATTTATTATTTTAATTTTGGATTATTCAATTAAATAAACAGTTATGAACCTTTAAAAATGAGTCATAATTGATTCGTTTTCGTTTAAAAGAAATGGTAAGGTCGGTAAAAAGAAATGGTTTCTTGAACATCCATAATGCGTCTGTGAAGAAAAAAAAAATTAAGTCCACAAAAATTTTCTTGTAAGCCACATTTTTTTAGAAAACATTTTAAATTTGTTTTAATCATTAAATATATGTCAATCCTAATTTATCAGTGGTACTTAAAATATCCACGAAAACATACAAAAGTTTCATCAAATCATTTATAAATAGTAATATAAAAATTACTTTATTTCAACGTCTTTAACTTCAGATAAAGTGGCGCCTATAGAATTTAGTAACAAATCCATCACATCACCTTGTAGACTAGGTGATTTCAGTAAGGGTTTAAAAACTGTTCCCCTTGGACTGAAGCTAAAATGAATCTAAAAAAATAGTCAATTATGTAAACAAATTTTATACATTAAGAAGATAAAATTAAATATAATATAAAAAGATATATATTTTTCAACTTAAAGGTCATCTTAAATAAACTGAAAATATATTATTTTTCAATTATAAGTTTTAATATTAATGATTTTTGAGATCTATTAATCTAAAAACTATTAAGTTTTTATTTAAAAATCATTTTTATAAAGAAAATTCCCTATTTATTTTCCTTCTGAAAAATCTATTGTTGACGTCTAAGGTATTTTCTCTAAGTGAATCAAGGTTAATACATTGTAGTGATTGGCTCAACGTTAGAGGGCGAGTTAATCACTTACCCAATTAAAGAATTAAGAGTAGAGTAGATGAAGAGGAGCCGGCGCGTTAGGCTGGTCTTTCCTCTATTAGAGCATATTTCTATATTGCTGTATTTTGGCCACTGAGGGCCCTTAATATTTTCATTATCGCTTTGTTTATTTCTTTTAATGTAATGAGGATTATTGCTTTTGAAGTATATTCAAGCGTAGCAGCAACAAATAACATTTATTGATATTTAAAACAAATAAACAAAACAATTATGAAAATATTAAGGGCCCTCAGCGGCCAAAATACAGCAATGTAGAAATATGCTCTAATGGAAGAAAGACCAGCCTAACGCGCCGGCTCCTCTTCATCTACTCTACTCTTAATTCTTTAACTGGGTAAGTGATTAACTCATCCTCTAGCGGTGAGCCAATCACTACATGCATTTTTTTCTTTTCAGTTTTGTATAAAAAGTATCTGTTGAGCACATTCTGAGTCATGTTGAATTTATTAAGGAGGTGCAAGAAAAGATCTTTCAATGTCTTGAAACAGGAAGGCTTTCCAGTCTGGACTTGTTTTTTGAACAACTGTAAAAAGGGGGGTAGAATTGATCCTTTCCTTTTCTGATCGTTTGTTAAGTCGAAGGTAAAATATATGACTAAATCACAGCTGGGCTTATAATAAACTTCTGAATAATAATTTTTTTTTTTTTTTAACAGTAGATCGGCAAAATTTCCCCGCTAATTCTTTCACTTCCGCTAATATTTCCCCTTGTTTAGGATTTGCTTTTGATTTCATTGAAATTGTTGTTTCCTTTGTTACTTTTTTGTCCCTGTTGTCAGGGAAATTGGGAAGTTCAAAGGGTATCAGAAACATGGCATCAACGGAAGGAAACTAAAAAACCGTAATCTTCAAAATAGCTCAAAAATTCAAAGCGTCTTTGTGGTTTCCTGAAGTTTACTTCAACACGTTTTAGGAATATTTAATCAGCAATAAATTAAATTTCAATTTATATTAGTTTAGAAACTAAGTTTGTTATTTACAATTATAAAAAATCATCTTGATAAAGGGCATTCTTCTAACTACGAATCTCGAACGAATTCTTTTATATACTTGGTTTACTCTTTAAAAATGGTACTTCCCTGCTATCTAACAGCATGTAAGAAGTGGTCACTCTTTTAGAAAACTATGAATATTAGATATCAATTAACTATGATGTCTTGTAAGTTTCAATAAAAAATTATACTTTTAAAGTTTAGTAACGTTGTATTTATTTAGACCACATTTAAATCTGAAGTATAATAGAGGAAGACTGAAATATTCTACACTTACCACGACAGGTGAAAGATGAACATACTCGATAGAGATACCCTTCTTACCTCGTCTTCTGGGTTGCTGTAATGATAACAGAATAATAAAATTTGTAATTTTTATAACTAAATAAATTATGCAGTTAAGAAAGTTTTTAACTTTAGTTAAAGCTGACATTCAAGGATATGCATGCACTGTAAAAAATTCCGAATCCAATCACGGCACTTTGGGAGCATCATCCATAAAATCTATTTTACCATAAAATCCTTTTTTATCGTAAAATATGATACCACAAAATGTATTTAATTAGAGTGATTCAGTGATTTTATAGTAATTATTACTGCAAAAATTATGGTGCATCAAATTTTTTATTCCGTAAAATGCTCCGGCAAAAATGAATTTTACGGTAAAAAGTACAGGCATCCTGAGTAATTTCCGTAATATGACCCGGAATTTTTTATAGGGTGAATGAAAATACGAGTAACATAATACTTTAAATAAAATGCAAAATTTATTATTTTTTATGCAAATACTTAAAAACTTATTTTTTCTTATTTTTTTCTCATTTTATATAAAGAAATTTGTTTGACTAAAACTTCATCTAAAAATTCATTAAATTTTCTTTTAAGAATCATTTTTCAAGATAGGGTAACGAAAGGTTAAAGAAAAATAGGTGATATCTTTATAAATAATTATTACTAACTCATATTTATTTTTATGTAATCTCTATGTATGAATAAAAAATGTAAAATATGTTTTGCGTAAAAATAATAAGAGATAACAGAAAAAAATTGACATTCCTAGAGAAATCACGATTGTGTACATGGTCAAATTTTAATAGGAGGATTGGACCCGCTCTCTGAGGTGACCATTAACAATAACCAAAATGTTAAAAATAATTTTTGATTGGTTAGGTATTCCCTTTCAGTCAACATCTTCATGATGAGTAAGCTGATGATGCTCATATTTTTCAAGACGACAACTGCACAACTCATCGGGCAAGAAGAATATGTAACTTGTTCTATGAACCCTCACATTTATTATTCAAGGCACTTATAATTATCTAACATTCCCAGACTTAAACGTACTCACAATTTAGTGAATTTGCACGGTCAAATCCTAAAAGAGAGGCTTAAACTCGATACGATATACAAAACCCAGATGTCTTACTTCGAAACCGAATTGAGGCAGTGATCCGGTCGAGGTGTAATTACATTGTATTAAACGATGCTTATCATGATTTCTCTAGGGGTAGAAAATTTTTTGCCCAGTGGTTTTAATAGTGATAATTGTTTTAATTTAATTTAACTAAAGGAAATGATTTTTTGATGTTAAAATTTATAAATTATGTGACAAAAATATTTTTTTTTGTTTTTGATGAAAATATTTGTGTTTTTATTTGAGAATTTTGAGACATCAACATTGTAAACCATCTATTATTTCTGAATGAATTAAAACTTACTTGCTCTAAATCAAAAAGAGGTGCTTGAGCTGTTTTTAAATCTTCTCTTAATCTTGAGACCTAACAAAATAAAAAAGTAATGAATATTTATAAGCTTATGATCTTTAAATTAGTGTGAAATATGTGTGGTAAAATTTAAAATAAAATTGGTAGAAAAGCATATACTTCATCTGGAATATCCACAAAACGAGACACCATGTCATGTACAGAGAGTAGAAAGCCTTTGTCTAAATGCAAGTGCACTTCTTGAAGTAAAACTTTCCAGAATCTGCAGGATTTTGAAAATTAGAAAAGTGTGAAAGCTTAATTAAGGTTGATAATAGTATTTAATTGATGGAATTGATAAACATAACAATATTAATCACGAAAAAAATAAGTATTTTAGGTATATACACGAGCTGAAGCCTTGTAAATATTCATCATTAAGTTATTTAACGTTCTACTTTTCCATATTTTCACAACGCGATGGGCCCATCACAATGATTTCATATAAAAGCGTCATCGGCAGTGGCTATTGCACCGATCTTCTGTAAAATATCTTTACCGCTGTCTTATTCTATCGATTTTTGATAACAGCACCATTTAACAGGAATCAATCCGAGTACTTAACCTTAAAAAAAAAAATCAGTGTCAGGTATCTGGGCAGTGGCACTTAATCATAAAAAACACAATACAGGGAAATAGCACTCATATCCCGTGATCATTCCGAATGCTAAAAATAATATACAAAGGTAATACAGCTGTTTTCCAAACACTAATATTTTAATTCTCAGTGGTTAAGGCACTGAACTGTCATTGTGAAGAACTGTGGTTCGATCCCCAGTTCCTCACAATGTTGCCGTGAAGCCCACCTAGCTTAAGATGGATGGGTACTTGCTTGTCCTTGAAGTACAAGCTGCCTGTGAGCAGTATTGACTACATTACCACAATCATTTTGTTGGTCAAGAAATTGTGGAGTCTTCATGACTCCCTTTCCCACTACGGACTGTTGCGGGAAAGCTTCACTAGACTTCAATTTTTTCGTTAATCTTTTGTTAGAAAAAACTTAATCCTGAGCACTAAAAATTCTTCATGTAACCAAAAACGTGATCTCACAGCAATCGTAACCGTCTTGATTATGAAAACTGAAAAAAAAAATAAAATGCAAATGTTACGTGAACAGTACCAACTCTGTGATTGGTCGAAATATGCTTTGGAACACTAGCAGAATGAGTTTTATGGAACAGACTGATCGGTGCTATAGACAGATTGAACACATGCACATTATTTGAACCGTAAGTTAGTAGACAACTTTTAAAGCAATGCTCAAAAGAATTCTCCTCATTAATTCCTACTAATAGTACATTTATTTAAGCATGATAAGCTAATTACTTTAAAGTTTTTGTAGCTCCATAAGAGTGTAAAAGAAAAGCACTCTCAAAGAATGGTTTTGGACCACTTCTCCGTACTATGTATTGAGGCGTTGTGCCCGGATGAAGGACGGTTGGGAAGACGGCATCCGGAAGCTGATTGTCAATCTGAAATAAAACCATAAATTAGATCTCTGTTTCACGAGGAAATGTAGTCTTCATTTAAAGATAGGACGACAAAAAAAATACCTGGAACCTGTGAATTTTAAAATGAGCGTAAGTTTGATAAGAAGACTTCCTGAGCTGCAACCAGAAAGCTGGACTGTAAAATCTCCTGAGTTGACCAAAAAATGGTTTGATCATCTGCATCTTGCTTAAATCAACCTTTAAAAATGTTACAGAACGAAAACATTATGTTTAAAAAAAGTAAAAAAAGGAACATTTATCATAATTTTATTTCATGGGACATTGACAAACAGTCCAAAACAAATTTTGGTAATAAGTGTTTTTTTATTACTTTTGATTATATTTAGAAGGTTGGTTTTGAATATGAACACTACCTTTATCCTCCAGAGACACTTTTGGAGACTCAAAACGTTGCTAAATTATGAATATGCATTTAGTTGGGTAAAAATTTAAAATTTCTGGTGGGAAAAGTAATTTTGCTTGTCTGAGTAACATAGCAGTTGAGTTTCGCAATCAGGTACTTTAATTTTTATTGAAATAAATAAAATAATGAAAATATAATGAATCAACCTGTATCAATTTTGTTAACAATCTCTCAAGTTTATAAATTATTTTACTCTCTATTGCTGATATAGAAAAGAGCACTGATTTTTTTTACTAGAAGTTTAAAACTGAGTAAAGTAATTTCAACTGACAGTACCAAGAAATTTTTGTACCAGCACTGTATTAATTGTGAATGTGAAACTACATATGAACAAACAAGCCTATGTTGAACCTGTGTTAAAAGTTATCAGTCTATTTCCTGATCATTATGAACTATATTTATGATTGAAAATCATATTCTTCACTAATACAGCCTGTTATAGCAAAAGAATGATTCAGTCAGTTTCCTTTATAAGAATCCAACAACTGCAATAGTCCTCCTATGGGTTACTGAAAATTTTTCTATATTGTTAAGTTTTCTTGCATATGGTGGAGACCCACAAAGTGGCCCCATGCATCTTCCATTTTTTTAAACATTACGTTTTCTTACTGAATTTCAATCATTACAGCTGTACATATATCCAATCTACTTTAATGATATCAAGATAATATTTTAGCTATATTACTTGAAGGTAATCTTTCAACTGTGCCTTTTGCTGATCAGCATTCCATTTATCTTCGAGCCAGGCTGAGAGTTCCAAAGTGAGAAGTTTCCAGGAATGATTTATTTCAATTTCCCAGATTGCTGGACACGATGTCAAGCTAGCATATGCTAATTCACGATGGGCATCGTTCACTAAAGATAAACCTATTCCATTCAGAGACAGAAAGCACTCTAAATAGGCCCGTTCTCCATCCACTACCTGAAAGATGGATATTAAATTGTTTTTAGTTATTTGTTTCAAAATGATACCGGGTGTTCCAAAAATGACCAACTATTTGAAAAACAAAGGAAAACGGAAGGTTATAGAAATGTAAGTTCTGTTTGGTGAACTATTTGAAGCCTCGCCAATGTCAAAATTTGTTACAAATTTCGAATACAGATAACTCTACTAATATAAAAAAAACTATGAAATAAGGTTTTGCGTTACATGGCAGACCATTCCAACTGAAATTTTTATACAGGCATCTGTTAATTTTGTTCTCAGACTGCACTACGTTGCTGCCACAAACGATGGTTCCTTCGAAAACATTATTTAAATTTTTTAACAGTAACATCTGTTGACGGACTTAAAAATTTGGCTAGAAAACACAATCTAGTTTTCTAAGCAAAATGCAGCAAACGCTCATGTAAACGCCAACGCTCCATCTACTTTCCCTCAATTCTTCTTAAAATCGTTGTTTACTTTTGGAACAACTGGTATGTTTGTGAATTACGGAAGACTTCATTACAGAAGACTTTACCTTTCTGGCAAGTCTAGCAACTCTATCGTCTTGAGTAAACAGCAGTACACGCTGTTCTTTTTCTACATAGGAAACCCAATGCACGACAACCTTATCCTTCCGAGTCTTCTTTGGTAACAGTCCGTCTTCTGACTCGCTATCATCATCTGAACTGCTACTTTGATCGACGGATGATCTAAATAAATAAATAATCACAAATTACTTTATGATTTCAGAAAATAGATTACATTTATTCGATATTTTAATACTTACTGACGATAGATTAGAAGATAAATACCGGGCAAATGCGTACCGGGCAGTGGCACTGAACCTTAAAGAAACATCAGTGTAGGATATACCGGGAAAATTTATACCGGGCAGTGGCGCTTAACTAGACCTAGTATGACTAAACCTTTGGTAAATGTCCGAAATATATACTAGGTCTAGTTAAGTGCCACTGCCCGGTATACATTTGCCCGGGCATTTTTGAATGAGCACATCGCGTTTTGGCCGGAACATCGTGGTCACTTCGCGAAATGGCCGGCCAAAGTGCGAAATAATTGATCGTTTCAATTATTTCGCACTTTGGCCGAGGGGTACGGCCAATTCACGAAGTGGTCGGACTTCGGGCTTTGGCCGTGACATATCCACGAGTATTTTTTACTAAAAAAAGAAAAAAAAACCCAACAAAAGTTACTCAGGGCAACATATGCATTCCATACTTTTGTTCGCAATCGATCTTATTTTGGTATACCTGTCGGAAGTTAGATGGATCTGATCAATCATCGCCCGGCTGGGTCATAAAGCGATGCATTGTGCGCAAAATAAGAAAAATGCACCCGGGATAAGTTTTGAGGACTTAATTAAATAGTACATATGCTTGTTAAATACTACAGACTATATTTTAACTTACAAAATCGGACACAAAAACGTGCTTTTTTTTTAATAAACATAACTTATTTGACGGAATCAAATTTTAAATATACTACTTTTTTAAAATTTTATGACTCAGGAATTATTTGATTGAGTATGATCAAATTTTTTATTTCGCCATTTAACCCTTTATTTTTCAAATTTTCGAAAATTTTTTAAAAAAAAAGTACGGAAAAAATAATATCACCCTCCATATTTTAAGGGTCAAGAATTTGAAGAAAGTCGAAAAATGTCAACGGTGTCCGATTTTGTAACTCAAAAAATCGTTGGCAATAACTGATCAGCCTGTTTAAGCTTAGGTCCTCGAACCATTAAAAATGAGTCTAAGTAAGTGAAAAAGCAATTGTTAGTTAAAAAGCTTGTCAGGGTGTTCACTTTTTTGTGTGAACTATACAACAACAAATGAAAATGAACCAAACTCAGATTGAACCAAAGATGAGAATTTTTATTTTTAAAATTTTTTCTGCTGATTCGCGTCACTAATTTCTCTTCTTCTTTCGTACCGTTGTGAATATGTCAGTGATGTTCATATTTTGTCGTTATTCAAATTACACATGCTACAACGCCAAACTTCTTCATTTATTTATGTAAAAACACAGATTTACCTTTTCTAATTTATCATCTTAATACAATTTAGAAAGAACAATTATATAAAGAACTATTCCGAGAATAGAATTTTTGAAATTTAAATCATGAAGAAATAGCTGTAAATGCCGTACTTGAAGGAAGGTTGCTGTACAAGAGTTTTTCTCAGAGAGTGAAAAGAGACCTTCTCGAATCCGTAACCGTCTCTTGTTATTTTAGCAGGGAAACCAGACTTTTTTCTATTGTATAAATTCCATATGAGGGTTCTCTCTTTACTAGGATCGTCCCAAGTATAATGCACTGATTGGTAAGGGTTCAGGAGGGTTACTTGACTCTGAGATCTGAAAAGAAATTACAGAATGAGCAAGAAATCTTTATTTTATATATAGTGATATGATTAGTAGCAGTACCTATAGGTATGTCAAAATTATACTTGGGAATGTAATTCAAGAAATTGAAATGCAAGTAATGCTTGGCATGATTCAACCACGATTAGACTCAAAACTTATATGTTAGTCTGTTTTTTCCCCATCTTCTTTACTATTTTAACTCTTCACTTACAAAGTCCGAGGGTGTCGAAAATTCACACAAGGAGTAATTTTAGTAGAAAAAAAGGTTTTTAGTTTATGCATAATTAATGTACACATAATAGGGTTGTGTATGGAACAGCATATCGAATAAGAGCCTCATGCATCTTCCAGTTAAAATTTTCAACGGCCATTCAAAATAAACGTGGCTGAATTTCATCGATATTGTGCTCAATTGTTTAGCTGAAGTTGTGGGTAGTTATTTGTTTATTGGTATAAGCCTTCAGGAACATAAAAGGTCTTCAAATTCTGATAACTGAAACGGGAAATTGCGCGACCATGGGATGACTCTTCATTGTTTAAAATATCGCTTATCTCAAAAGAAAGCCCGTTATTCTTTTGTATTGTACTCCATTTTTAATAACCATGAAATATCAGTTCTTCCTGTGTCTTTTTTTCTGTTGTTAATATTTTACTGTCACAAATGCGCAAGCTTCAGAACACCATTTGCAAATAAATGAGACTCTTCTAATAACCCTATCAAAATCTTTCAGTGAAAAATAAAAATAAAATATATTACAATCTATAAAACAGATTCTGTTTTACTCGAATTGTAATAATGATAAACTAATCAGTAAGATGGTCTTACTTTTGGTGAATTTTGAGGAATAGGTCTTCGCAATAGTTATCTACACGTACAGGTGCATCCCCAGGGACATAGGGCTGGAAGGCAATAGTGGTAGGAAAATCTTCACCACATTTAACATCAACTTTTAGAGCACTCTAAAAAATAAGAAAATGTAATCTAAGAAAAATATTATTGATAGTCCTTTTTTTAAAATCACATAATAGAAAGAAATTAAAAGTAATGCTTCTCGCTACTATAGAACTGTAAAATGACAAAAAAATACCAAAATTTAAAATTAGGTGAGATTTTAAGAAATATTCTTACAGCTGTGTTTTTATTTCACTTCTTCAACGGTGTTGAATATCTGATTCTTACCAGATTTGTGATATCAATGACATTCAAATCTGTAGCCTTGAAATTCCGTACCCAAATCAGGCCAAGCAAGATAGGCAAGCATTGGGAAAAAAACTCACTTTCTTGATGAACTTTTTGATGAAATTAATTAAAACCTTCTAGACGAGAGAACTTTGCACAGTTACCATAAATGAGAAATCCTATCTTTAGTAGTCCTAACATTGTGACTCTTTTTTTTATTTTCCCTCTACGGCACAGTTTAGTAGTCCGGACGTTGTGACATCTTTCTTATTTTCCCGCTACTGTGCAATTTAGTAGTCTAGACGTTGTAACATCTTTCTTATTTTCCCGATACTGCGCAATTTAGTGGTCTAGACTTTGCGACATCCTTCTTATTTTCTCGCTACTCCGCAATTTAGCAGTCCAGACGTTGTGACATCTTTCTAATTAACCCCCACTGCACAATTTATCTTCATTACGCCTGACTTATAAATTGATAAATGCGGAGCCCTTTTCTCTTTCTTGGTGTTGAACTAACCTACAATTGTGTTTCACGGGGAAGAAAAATTACTAAGACCTCCTCCTGTTAGCTCAATAACAATTGTATTCTAACTTAAATCAGTTTAACACTGGAGATATATATTTGGTCAGCACAGTGGTCGGTGTCGGGTGTCGGTTTTAGGGTCGGGTCGAGCACGAAGCAGTATACGAATCGACAGCCATTTTATCCTATTGAACTTGGGACATCCCGTTGAGAGACGAGCCCTTCATATTCTAAAATTCAATCTCCTAATTAATCCTAATTAATATGACACATAAATGAACACGCCTAACTATTTTATTTGTTGAACGGTAAACTGTGGCATATCCGTCTAGAAAATTAAAAAAAATATACAGGTACTACCATTGAAAAAATTTAAACTAAATGCATACTTAATAAATTACGGTGAATAAATTTCAACGTAATTATATCCGTATATGCATTTTTAAAAGTAGGTTTGGGTCAATAATGAGTTAAAATGCCGTAAAGATATTTAATTTTTGCTGCTCTGGAATCGACACGTTTGTTAGCATTTTATGAGTTTTTTTTCTTTTATTTACAATGAAATAAATTTTGCTTAAATAACAATCATTTTAATATTACTACTACTACTACTACTTTAATATATTACTACTTTTTTTAAAACCGTGAAAACAAAAGAAAGTTTTCAAATATGGTTCGCAGTGCGATATCGCAGCATGGAGACATGGCAAAATGTATTAGCAATGAGAATTAATTTAAAAATCTCATTTTTTTGGGTTTTTAGAATACAATTAAAAAATAAATGATCTTACCCCACATTCCATTCTAAGCACTGTTACGTGAGGGAAATCTATAGGAAAATGTTGGGAAACTGTTTTGCTGTCTCGTAACTTCACAAGCAGTTTCAACGAATCAGTGTCCGGCCAGAAAGGAAGACACTGGAAAAACAATCATAATTTACAAATCTTTACAAATATGTAAGATATTTAACAATCCAATTAAAATTGCCCTTTCTGCCAAGAATAAGGTTTTATTAAAATAGATTTTGAATAAAATAATAATCAAGTAAAAGGACTTAGGTTTTACATTTTATTACAATAAAACAAGGAAAAAGAAAGCAAAAGGAGTCTGTAATTATTTATTCAAACAAGGAAGGAAGTAGTTTTGCTGTCTCCAAATAATGTTAATTTTTTTTTTAACGTAAGTACTTGTTAGTTCGAAAACGATCGGTTGTCATAGTAAATATTAAAGAACACGCGCTTTTATCAAAAGTTTCCTGTAATTTGCTTCTAATGGAGTAAGAGATTCGAATACCAAAGTTTCATGTAATAGTCTTAATTTTAATAGATAAGAAATTAAGATATTTTAAATTAAACGGAGTCTAAACTTTAGCATAAGTATGTTATTTATTATTGTACTTCTAAAACACAATTATTTGAACACGAATGGAAATATAACATTTTGTTTGCTTTTTATTGTGAATATAAACTAACACATAGCATTAAATAGTTGATATTTAATAATAAATATGTTATCAATTATTGTGTTAAGAAAATTTCAAAAGATTAATGACAACACTAATTTCTATACCGTAACCATAACGTTGTTCAGGTTTTTTAAGAATATTTTACAAATATTATGATAAATTTTTTTTTTAATAAGACATTTTGACTATCTATAGCATATTTTTTACTAAATATTAATTAAAAAGCCGAAGCCAAGTTTTCTCAGTACAAAAAGATAAATGGTACTAAAAATAAATAAATAAAATAGAAAAGTATTCCAGAATTAAGATGAAATAACAACATTTAACTTAACAAATAGTTTGGATTTCGAACATCAATTTTTTTAAAAATAAATTCTATATCCAAAAACTAATGAAACATAAGTATCACACATTAATAAATGAAAATTATTACCTAAAGTAAAATTAATAATAGTTAATTAAGTAATTAGAATTAATTTAAACTAGTGTTTTAGAATTAATATAAGTGAAAAGTATAGAGATATTACTGTAAAGTAGGTAGTTAAAACGCTATGTACATTATGCCTAAAAATACCTTTTCCGGTGCAATGTCGAACCACAAATCAGTAGCTTCATTCTTTTCCATAAAACGGAGATGATTCTATGTAAAAAAAATTTCAAAAACAAACAATTAAAAATACAAATAGTTAGAAATAAAAGGAAATAGCATGATTAATAGTGCCTGTGGTTGTGGTTTAACTAGAAAAATACAAAACATATGGAAGAAAAGAAATATTGTTGGTGCAACTTAAAACATGCTTTAAAGTATTTTAGTTAACTGTTTGCAGTGGATTAAAACAGACAGCAAAATTTAGCATGAAGTAGAACAATATGAAAGTAGCGATTGGTTGATTGTAGCTTTAAGGGTGTTTTTTTTTTTGGGTGGGGGTGAGCTTTTTCACCAAAGCGAGATTTTTCAACTTAGATGAAAATTATTAAAATCGACAAATAATTTTTCCTTTTCAAATTTTTATGACCCTAGGCATTGTAGCATTGAAGTAACTTTTCAAAGTCATAAAAAAAAAGATGCACAAGCACTTTCATTCTCACAAAACTCTTTTTTTCTTCATATTCATAGTTTTTGTCATTTTCATAATTAGCACAGGAGGTCTTAAATAAAGATCGGCAGATCTTAGCATTAACAGGTCATGAATAGCTGTTACAAACTCACAACAGTTATAAAAATAACTTATTATTCACTAAATGTTATTTCATATGTCGACAATGCCTTTGAAAAACAGCTTTAATTAGAACAAATTAATAAATAGCTGGAAAAGTATTAAACAATTCTTAAAAATTTTAAGATGCAATTTTAAGATGCACCCTATTACATCCTAATTTGCTTGCAAAATCAAACTTGAATCCCACATAGACTGTGTGGAGAATGTGGCACTTCCTGGAACAACTTCCTGGAACTGTGGGACTTCAGGGGTGCAATGCCAAAATCAAAATCCCCGCAATTGGGAGGGTTGCCTATTGCAATTCACCTACTAACCAAATCCCTTGCATTATCAGCTCGAAAGGTGATATTACATGAAATTAAATTATACCTCTCATTATTTCTCTAGAAGTGACAACTTTTTTGTTCCTTGAGCAAAAATTTCTTCAAAAAACTTTGAAAGAGGAAAATAATAATATAGTTATACATTCTAAGCACAGAATTTTTAAAAATTAATCGATTTTGAAGATAGAATTAAAAAATGTTCTCTTACCTCCGTATTATTTACAACTAAAAAGAATGGTTTGATGACGATGACTTTCGTCAGAAGCATTTTAGACATTTCCACACTCACGAAGAACTGTAAAAAAAATGTTTATTTTTTGTTATTAAACATTTACAAAAAATCGTGAAACTATGCTAGCATATAGCATACTAAAATGTTTAGTAGTTTTCTAATGATGGTCCCATACAGAGCGGACGATGAAAAACTCAGAGTAAGGAAAATAAATAAAAATTTAGTGAATAAATCATATTAAATAAACAAGAACTCAAAAGACTTCAAAACATGTCCGGCGATATTAATTCACACAGCTAGTTGCAGTAGTGCAATTCCTTTGTTGATTACTTCGAAAGCTCCGAAATATAGTAACGGAAAATCCGTCGTAGTGTCTTACCTCTTCGAATTTGAAAACTTTTCCTGTTACGAAATACTTGCAATAAATTCTGGTGCTCCGCTTTTCGAAGCAGTTAACGAAGAGTTCCAAAAATGTAGTCTGCCTTTTTATTTTGAAATCTCTCTCTTTGTGCTGCACTTTGCTTATTGCTTAGGCTAGCCTTTGCGTTTTGAGGACTAACAATCCAAAGAACAAAATATGTATAGCACAGTTCTATTTTTTAAAGGATAGAGAAAAAAAATTATACTTACGTGATATTTTTTATTCCTTTCTTTATCTGCACAAATAACAACTCCACAATTACCAACGGTATCCAGGGAGAATGAACGAGACCACTGGGAACTATATACTCTTAATTTGGCCTACAACACAAATAAGAGTAAAAAATGCTGATCATGTTTAGTGTTTACGTGTATTTTTTAGATCTTACGATTTTAGATGTTATACACATTAGAATTATTGCGATTGGAAAAAAAAGGTATAATAATTGTTCGAATAACATAACATAAAATATTTTCAAATAACGAGTAACAAAGTTTCAAAAAATTTAATAAATTTTTTTATGTATTATCTTATGATATTAAAATGAAATTTCACTAAATTATACTAGTTTGGCTAATTACTTTCTTCTTCTTATGCTTCTTGAATCGAAAGAGTAAAGGATCAGCGGTCAAAGCAGCTTCGTATACGGCGTCAGACATTGCACCCTGAAATAAATATATCTCTGGAATTAGTTGAGGAATTTTGCAAAAAAGAGAAAGTTATAAATAGAGATTTATTAAATATAAATTTCGCAAATGAGTTCTAGCTAAATTTTTTGTTTATCATGAAGCTTATCTATACTGTATGTAAACAACTTTTAATTCTTTAGTTGTATAAATTGAAAATGCTGTCAGTTTGCTTTTAAAATAACGTATTATACTGCTAAAATACAATAACTAGCTTTCAACTATATATTGAGAAAAATTGAAGGAGAGGGTCTGGGATTGGGAGAATAACTTACAATATAATGACGTATACAATATGAATTGGCAATAAAATCGAAATTGAAGTAAAGCTTTATAAAAATCTTATGAAAAACAGCATTCCCGTAATTTTTATGAGATTAGAAAGAAATGATTGTCGTTATTAGGAGGATTAGAATTTTTTAATTCAAATGGTTTAAAAGCAGTTTTAGTTTGGAGATTCTTTGGTCTTTTAAATTCCAAATTGCACTATGAAATATCTGTTTGTGGTTTCTATTATGTTGGTATATATTAATTCATTTTTTTATCACTATTTGTCCGAATGATGAAAATGCGCCATTTTATATAGCGAATAACCAGTAGACAAATCTATATATGGCAGTAAATAATTAAGTATCAAAGAATGTCGGCATTTGATCAATTACGGTGTAAATAATGACGGACGAATACTTACGTGTTAACATGTAAAGCTATGTAAATGGATTAATAATAGGCAAGAACTTCTGTTATTCAGCTCCTTAATTCTTCAATAACGTTTTCTCTGATTTTCAGAACGCCCGAACAAAGGCTAATTTAAATGGAAATTCAAAAGGAAGTCTCATTCAAAAGAAAGTCTTATTTATAGTTAACGATATTAGGAACCTCCTTTAACCTTATTTTTCGTCTGGTATATCTCACAAAATAAAGTGTCAGCAAATCTTTCTCATATAATGAACGACCCCCTATTAGATACTAGCACGTTGCATGCATTGTATTTTTGTCTATTCAGTTGTCTTTTTACTTCTTTATTATACTTTATTTCTTTATTAGAATTTATTATAAATAACTTTTATGGTTACCACTATGGGACATGTGTTCCCAGTAAACCGAAATGTTTCTTACTTTTTCTTTTCTTCTAATTGATTAATAATAATAATAAGGATAATAATAATAATAAGGATAAAGATAAGAATAATAAAGATAAGAATAANTTGCTTAAAAGTTAAAAATCACAACTGGCTGTTGACACCACTAATTATTAACTGTTAACTCTGCAAAAATTAGCCGATAGAAAAGTAGGTAATCGCAAATTTTCATGACTAGCTTTGTTTTTAAATAAAATACTTTGAAATTTACGTTTGTTGCAAGATATTTCGCATAAGAACTGTAACACCCCGCTAAATTGTTCCTGTACTCCTGGGGGTACGCGTACCACACTTTGGGAAACACTGCCATAATGGATCCAGTAAACCGAAATGTTTCTTACTGTTTCTTTTCTTCTAATTAATTTTAAATAATAATAATAATAAAATGCTTTAATAGTAATAAGAAATCACCCTGAACTGCAGAGGCAATCCACTTTTGTTCACAATCCAATAAGGTGCGAATAAGTAAACATCCAGACATCGATCTCTAGTGATGTGGACATGCAGAGACAGGTGTCGGTTGCCCCCTCCGGTATCTGTTTCTGGACTCATACTGACAGGATGGTGTTCTTCTGTGTCACCACTGATTGACATTTTTCCATGCCACTGCAAGCCAACGTATTGACCCACCTGAAAGGAAAACGAAGCTTAGTTTCTAATTTAATTAAATAATAAAGATGTTTAATTTATAAGGGATATATAAAAGGATTCTTACTTCAAGTAAGATATCTTGAGGTTGCTGTGGATCGAAGTCAAAAAACGTGGCATTTTCACCTTCTTTCAATCGCATCGTTTGGTCTTTGTTCTTGAAGCAAAGAAAGAAAAAGAGCAAATTATAAGTTTTCTTAAAGTGATACGGATTGGAGTTATGAAAACGTTGATAGTAATATATGCTCAGCGTAGAAAGAAGTGATTTGTTTATATATATTTAAATTATGTATATATTTAAATTATATAATATGTATTTTTTATCACAATAAGTTTTAATTACTAATTTACAATTCCATAGTTATTTAGTAAAAAACTAATATTATTAAAAGTACTTTTTAGATCTATTTCTCGAAAGAAAATAATTAAGCAATAATTTAATGATAATTTACCTTATTCAACAGAAACAGTCAAATAGCAATTAAAAGATGATAGGCAAATTATTAACTGTGAAAAAAATCGTTTATTGACTGTTTTCGCCTATTACGGTTAAACAATTAGAATTTTATCTTTGCCCACTAGTCCTACAGACATTGAGAATTGAGTGCTCGTTCTTCGAAAGCTGGATGCTAAGCCATGTGATAAGGATTATGAATATATATTTTTTTCATCATTGGATGCCTAAGACAACAGCGGTTCTTATAGTAATAACTGAGTGCTGAACGCCTTATGAAGCCACTTGGTACATTGCAGTTGGGTACTTACTTTAGCGGAGAGGGCCATTCTATCAATTTCATAATCGGTTGAACGGGAGTTCAAATAACAGCATTTCTACAAGATTTCCTCCATTCCGTCAGCGCATAAGAAGCTTCTAGTGTCCTGTACTTATTAATTGGTGACACTGGACATTTGGATACAAAACTATCATTCACACATAATGTCAGCACTACGGAGCTGAATAACGCAAAAAGTCGTATATTTGCCATCTCTCACTATAGATTTCACCCCAAGATAAACTCATTTCACGGTTCAGGACAAGACACAACTAAATCATAACCTAACTCCAATGTCCATTATCTAACATTATCTCTCACCGTCCACTTAAATTTTATTTTCACGGTTTTGAAACCATACTAGTTGTAAATGGTTACAAATACAGGTACTATGGAAAACTTACTTAATGATGAAATCAACGTAAACGTTCTTTAAATCAAAATAGTATATGCTTTTAGCTCATGCCGCTCTACAGGTACTGAAGAAACTTAGGATGTTAAATTGATAAACCCTTTATATTCCACGAACTTTTTCGATTAATATTTCCACACATTCTGTTCTCGGTAAAATAGTATGAATGGTAAAACCGTCTTTGCAGCTTTCGATGAAAAAGAAAAAACTTGCAATTTCTGTAAAAGTAGGGGGAGTGGTGTAAAATGTTAAGAAAAGTTGTAAAATGTTGAGAGATGGTTGCAGAAAATTATAAGAACACATTAAAGGTATAAAAATACCAATATGTGTAGTCCATTCTACTTACTTGATTTCAAATCGAGTATGAACTTTACTCATTCTAAACTTCATTCACAGAGAAAAAGAAATCTCTTGAACCTTGAGCTGTATTCGTTGTTTCTACGAAAAACTTCGACATGAAATCTTGGTTTCAATCCTTTGCAATTACTGAAAACTCATTAACTTACAACTCACACTTTTTTTCATTTCATGATGTATTTCCTAATAAATTGTGTTAATCAGTTATATTAAATATATGACATTGAGCCTTTTGATGAAATTCCCCACTTTGAGAAAATGTGTGCTTGGAGCATTTCTCAGAAAACAGTTTCGTCAATAATGAAGAATTTTTCGTGGATTTTGAGTACCAATTTTTACAGTACTTACATCAACATTAGTTAGTCGTCTGAAATTTCAAAACGCTTATTTGTAGAAAAAAAAAGACTAGAACATAATTCGGTATAAATTATAGCTAAATAAAAATAATAGTTAGTGATTTACCTTAACATGAATATCAAGTGTTAGGGGCAATAAATTATGGAACACAAGAGGTGGATAAAGATGTAGAGAAAAATTTGGTACAAGTTTTGTTCCAACAGAAGGCGTTTTCAGATCCCTATTTTCCACACACACAACCTATAAAGTTAAACTAAGTTTAGTTTTCATTCGAACCAATTGAAATTACAACAATTTCATTTTTTATATAAGATAAAACGAGGAAAGATGTTTCAAAAGAAAGAAATCTTGCATAGTTATGCTTGGTTCTGATACACGGAGAAAAAATTCTGGTAAAATTTTTTTTAAAAATTTCCGGTAAAAAAAACAACAACATAATTCTGGTTAATGGAACCGAAACATAAGGCATTTAAAACATTTTTCCATTTATATGCTAATGGTTTACTGGAAATTCTGATTTTCAAAATTATAGTTCTTATTACCACACATTTTGTTAAAAATACAAAACTGAAAAGTAAATTTTTCCAAATAAATGATTTTTATGCCATGTTTTAAGATATGGTGATAAAATTACCAAATTTTGCTAGATTTATCTCATTAGATTTTTCCAAATAAATGATTTTTATGTCATGTTTTAAGATATGGTGATAAAATTACCAAATTTTGCTAGATTTATCTCATTTTGTCGCATATTATAAAACCACATTTTTTTGTTAACCCCTTAACGATCGGTTAATTTTCAAGAAAACGGTAATAAAAGTGCCTATTTTTTTCTAACATCCAAACATCTTGTGCTGACATCTAGTTTAAAATAAACTAACTATCAACAATTACCTTAAAAATATCCTGGTACTGCCATCTGGTGTGTAAAATGAGAAATAAAATGTTTTCTGGGCATAAGAAATGAATTAGTTTTATTCTTATTGTCGCGTTACTACTGAACACTCCAGCCCGGAAATATCACGGGTGCGAGAAATAGAGGGCGAAACCTCACACCGTCATTTTCACGGGAGCGAGAAGGAAGGGGCTAATTTTACCAAAATTATGACCAAATGGCTGTAGCATAAATTGCCGAGCTTTTTTGTGTTCCCATAGAACCAGAAACACGGTTAATATTTTATCATACTTTGGTAGTCTTAACCGTGTTTTTTTTCCTCACTGTATATTATTAGAATAATAAAATGAACAAATAAGTTTTCAATTACTTTGGTACTAGAAACACATTCCGTATTATTCTCTGCATAGCATTGGAGAAATTTGCTGCTCTTTTGAGGCACTGTCATATCTTTCCACCAGATTCCTTCAGTGCTAAGATTATACCTGTTATGTTTGAAAAATATTAAAATAGATAATTATTTTTACAATTAAGTGCTACAAGTCACTAAGAATAGGAGCTGAAAAAATTTCACATTCTTTAGATAAGTCGTAGTTTAGTCTAAATAACTTAATTTTATAAAACTTGTTTAAACTATGAACTATAAACTAGTGGTCAATTAAATTTCATTGACGGTGCTATTGCTAACATCCTGATTCAGTAAAAAGCTCTACAGATTATACAAAAATACAAAAATTAAATTATATTAATAAATATGTTAAGTAAAAGATCTTTAGATTGATTTAAAAAATATGGAATATTATAATTTCCGATAATTAGTTTCTAAAAATGTTTTTTAAACACGTGCAAGCACTTTAAAAAGGCTGATTTATTTTACTGATTATAGTTTTATTGCCAAGAAGTAATTTTTAGAAATGCATGCACTTCAATATTTAAATTTATACTTTTCAGATTCAGAAATTCAAATTTGGTGGTAAATGCTTATTAGAAATATAAAAGTTTGCATTTGAATTTTTTGTTTAAAAACTTTAAAACTTTATTAAATACTCAGTTTATTTTAACCACCTCTTGCAAAAAAACTCTTTATCTGTCTCATTTCTATCATATCTTTATCTGTCTGTTTTAAATTTCAGAAATCATCATGCACCATCTTGACAAAGATTCTAAAAAAGTATTATTTTTCAAATAATTATTGTTTAATAATAAAGTCTCAGGGAGAAAAAATTAAGTACAATTTGTTGTTTATCAAGCCTGATTTTTTTAAAATTACTTACTAAGAGAAAATAAACATGTTAAGACTAATAAGTAACGATTATCGACAATTCTGAGCAATCTACATATTTATTTCTCTTACTTGGCACCAAATACGTGGGTTTCTCGATCTAAATCGGCTACATTATAGTCATCTATAATAATTCATTTCGACAGGTTAAGTAATAATATAAGTAATGTTAAATACTTAGTAATACAATTATTTGCATAGATGCACTTTGTTAGGTTGTCTTAAGTAATAATTTAAATAGTATTAATTAGTTAGTTATACGTTATGTATTTATTTAGAATAATTTTGTATTTCTACAGGAATAAAAACTTATTCACGAAGTAATTATTAAGATTTATTTTTGATCCTTTTTAAAATAGCTGTAGAAATTTTAAACACAAACGGTGCTATGGTGCCTCAATTTCATACCAATTATTGGTGACGGAGCTAGTTTCCTTCTAGCAATAGCATATACATTATATGATAATCAAGTTATGGCTCGAGAGGTGCGCGAGGAAGTAGTGCAGCACGTAATGAAACAAAGGGGTGAGTTTTCCATTCTATATCTGAACTCATACTTATCGTGGTTTGCGTGGTTTAATGCCTGCTGGACTGATTAATTAATTATTCTTTAATACATTCTTTATATCATACTCCTTCCTTAATATATAATATTCACATTATTTCTAAAATTCAATGCATAAAGAACTTTGGCAATATCTCTTGCAAATTGTTGAAATTGCAATAAAAATATTTCGGTGCTGGCAAAGCCACGGGCAAGAGCTAGTACTATTTATAACACCAACAGAAATAATTGCAATGACAATGACATTTACAATAGCAATGACATTTTACAATAGCATTGGCATTTACAAAAGCAATGGGATTTACAATAAATACAACACTACTCATAATTTTTTCTTTTAAGTAAACTTCAATTATGCTTTAATCATCATAAAAGTACTAATAGAAGTCAGTGACAAAAAGTAATAAATATTTAGTTACACTTTTTGATCAGCTCCTGTTGGCTGTGGTCTAAAGAACAATTTGCAATGATACGCAACCAGCAATGGAAGGTCATAAATGTCTCCTGATTCCAGCGTCGCTACTCGAACAAACTTATCCTGGAACGGATTTTTAGAATAATCTTCGGGAATAGCACCTGCAGATTCCAGAGCTGATTTTTCACAAAGTATATAGACTGGGCGCTCCAAATGATTTTGGATCTAAAATTTCAAAAGAAAAACTTTCTGATGAATTAGCACTGAAAATTTCTAATCAAGTTAAAGTGTGTGAAGTTATTCTATGGCAATTGATCACTATAAATGTTTTTTCTTGATCATAGAATAGACTTGTATATTTAGTATTAAACGTAATAACAGCAAATGAAAGAAATATTTCTAATGCTGGTATAACAACGAAAACTTTCAATAAGATGTTAGAAATTTTTTGGTTCGTTAGTAAGAAAAAGAGTTTTTTTCGGCTCTTATGTATTAACCCAGTCACCTTTTTTGCCAACTCTGAAAATAAATTTTGATATAGTTCAAAAATAAATATTTTCTCATTTTTTGCATGCAACAAGTAATACTATAAAACAATATATAACTATGCAAAAATAAACTTGGAAGAAATCAAAGTGACTTAGGCGTGGCGGTGGCGAAAATGGTCGACGGGATAATACGTAAGTATCGTTATTTTATTATTGTTAGTATATTATGATTGATATTACCGTTTTATTTGGTTTTCCATCAACTAAAAACTACTAAATATTTCTCAGTCGTCTAAGATAATGACAGGAAATTTCATGTTAAATGATGTTATACTTAAATGGTAAATAAAAACTATTCATAACATATTCTTTCATTCCAGAATTATTGAAATTTTTTTTCCAATAATGTTATTGAAATTGTTAGTTCTAATGGTAGTGTTTGATAATTGTGTTACAGCCTTAAGATAAAGGTTACTGTAATAATATTGGTGCTCAGTCTTTTTTTAAAGCCAATATTGTTAGAGTTTCAATATTAGTATTGTCCTATTTAGTTTTTTTTAAATCTATAAAATAAAAACAAACCTCAACCTATAAATGCAGACAGGAGATTTCGAAATTTTTTATAGTTTTTATTTGTTGTTTTTAAATTAAATAAAAATTCACTATTTAAATAATATAAATTAATCTTTAGAATAAATGTACTAATAAAAATATCGCTCTGAAATTCAATTTTGATAAAGGCAAATTGTGCAGATAACAACGTTTTAAAGCGGAAGCACTTTGATGATAAAATTTGAATACCTGAAAGGCATGTAAGCTTGATTTAAAATATTTCTTTACACCATATCAGTGACATTATTCATAAAATTTAAATAATTACAGCAAGAAATCAAATTGTTATCAATTATTTTTATACACGACTAAAAAATAGTCTGTATAAAAAAGGGAATTACAAACAAATAAAGAATGGATACCTTAAGTGGTGATCGAACAGTGACGATCTTTTGGCCATGAAAAATTTCAGTATCTACTAACACAAAATATCTAGTTTTGTTCTGAAACAAACATTTTATGTTGTTAGTCAGAAATTGAATCTATGTAACTCAAAGTTGTAAATAAGAAATATAAAATGAAAATAAGAAATATTTGATGCTTACTGAAAAATTTGTATTTACCTTTACTGGTTGCAAAGCATACATTGTTGTTGTTGTTCTATTTGGAAGAAGGCAATTCAGTTTGTCAAATGTTTCAATCTAAAAAAAAACAAAAGTCATTACATTTCAGTTTTGCGCTCATAATTAATTGAGAGTTTTATTAAAGTCAAAATTTATCGAAAATTGATAACCTAACTATGATGTGTTGAGCAGAATGTTCTTTCATATTATTTGACTAAATTAATATCATAAATATACCCGTCTGGCCCCTTTGAATAATACTAGTATTTTAAAAATCATCATAAAAAATAAAATGCAAAATGCATGCACAATAGTTTCCACAAATCATTATTTAAGCGAAGAAAAAACTGAAACGCTATGAAAATCTAACTAATTCTTATTAATAAAAACGTAATTAAAAACATCGAAACCTATTTGATTGTACGATGAAACTTCAAAGCGTTTCTATTCAATATATTTCATTTACTTTCTATTTTCTTCTATTAGGTTGCGATTTTTTCAGTTCTGCCTGCCTCATTAGTGATGTGTTAAATTTCGATAGAGGTTTTGCTTTTTCCTTTATCAAGTATTAGTTTGCAATTTTTAATGCGTTTAATTCAACTATAATTTTACTAGAGTACTTTTGACAAATATTATAAATTATCTAACCTAAGCATAATGCATCTATTAACCTTATATAGACATTCTATAGCATCTATAAACTTAGAGAATTATCATATTATTAATAGGTTTTTCAAAATAATTTTCAACAAGTTTACCTCGATACTCAGTTTTTCTGAAGTATTTTCTTCATATAGTTGAGATATTGACTTTTCTTCGTACAAGCCATCCCTTGTATTAATATGTTTCAAAGCAGGTGCAGATATTCCACTCATGTGGAATCCATCATTATCATCTCTAATAGAAGAATGAATTCGTGTATTAAATAAAATATAAAAATAAATCAGTCGAATATAAAAATTAAAATTAAAAATTAAATTACAATAATTTATTATAGCTTAATTTCAAATTTAAAGAAAAATATATTTCACTAAATCCTGATGTAATTTTAGTTTAAATGTTTAAATTTGAAGTTCTTGATAGTTTTACAATGTACAAAAATTTATTAATGTTACTTTAAATACGGTAAGGTAAAATACTTTTAAAATTAAATTTTTTTCAGAGTGAGTTTTTTTATGAGTTTAGTAGGGATTTACTGCAAATTTTGGTTTTAAAAATTATAGCTTTTATTACCACATATTTAGAAAAAAATACAAAACTGTGCAGTAAATTTAACCAAGTAAATGTTTTTTTTTATGCCAGGCTTTAAAGTAATTAGATGAAATTACCAAATTTTATCACATTTACCAAATTTTGTGACAAATTATAAAACTATATTTTACTGTTAATTTTACCAAAATCACTGATCATTAATCAGTAATGATTAATGCATGAGTGATTAATGATTCAGTACCGAGTTTTAGGGTGTTCCCATAGAGCCAGAAACATGGTAAATTTTACCGTATTCCGATAACGACTCTACTTTTTTCTTAGTGCATAATTAAAAATGTTTTTCTATTACATAGTGAAAATGGAAGAGAGGTAGGTGCTTTGAGCACCTGAAACACAATGCTCTTCATCAGGACAACTACGTATAAAATGAATATTTACAAACACGTTAGAAGAAGGAAATGTACACTTGTCAACGGAAATTTTTTTGGGGTGCTTGAAATAACTAGCTTAACAAGCCTAGTGCCGACCGGCCTGTGTAGGGGGCAGGGAACTGACCTTGCATTTGAAAGGTCCTGGGTTCGAATGCCAGGCAAGGCATTTATGTTTCTTTCTCTCTCTGTGTGTTCTATATCCTTTCTCCTTTGTGTGTGAATGTGGCCCACCCTATAAACGGGTTGTGATTGTGTGAATGGCGTGGCAGAAGTCGAATTCCTGGCCATAGATGGCGCCACTAAGAAACCTCCACTGCCTAAACAGGCATACGACAAAAAAAAAAGACAAAAAAAACAAGCCTAGTAATAGTGCTTTTAATGTTAAAAAAGAAAAGTTTTCAATATTTAAACTAGGTGATAAACGTAACATTTTCCAAATGGTTTCCTTACCCTGCCATTTCAGAGTCTGAATCAGCAGGACTGATATCAACAAGTGGTGTCACCAAATCAGGATCCGCAAAAGGTTGCTTTGGAGTTCGACCCCGCACCTCTTCAATAACTTGATGCTGCCCGTTTCCTTCCTTGCGTAAAATCTTCAAGGTAGCTTCGGGTCCGAGAGCATTTTTCAACAGAAGCTCTTTGCGTTCAGAAACAGGAAGTGTTGATTGCAGTTTTGAGTCAGAACAGACATACTCCTGTAATAAAATTATGCTTAGTTGAAACTGACCATTTATTAATTTAAACTATCAATTAAAATAATTTATTATTTGATGATTTATTACTTTTTTTGCACAAAACATTGCTTTGGGGTATTGCTATGAACGTTTTAAATCCTAAATTATACTCAAAAATGTCTATCAAATGAAGCCAAAATCTCAAAACGAATGCTGAAACGATAGTGCTACTGAAAGTATTGTATGAAGCAGGTCTTAAGCCTTTTCAGCTTGATGTTTTAGTTGAGAAAAATAATGAAAATACAATTATTAAAAAAATAATGCATACTATATGAAAACTCTTAATGCGACACAAATAACATGCAAAAGACGAGAAAGTTTAGACTATATAAAAAGTCTTTGGAAATCGTTATAAGGTTCATTTTTACAAAAAAAAAAAATCGAAGTTTGAAATCGAGTTATTATATTAAATGACAACAAACTAAAAGTTCAATAATCATGAATTGTTTAGTAGTGATGTTGCATCTTCCTCTTTCGGTTGGTAAGTTTCTTAAACTTTAAAACTATCAAGAACTATTGGATTAAGTGAAAAGTGTATATTTTTTTTTAATTTCAAGTTCACAATATGATGAAGGAACAAAAATTAAAAAAAAAGTTAAAAAAATGTATCTAAAACAACTTATTTGAAAACCACTTAACATGCTATATTACTGCTTTATCTTAAATATAATTTCTATAATTATATTTGCCGTCGTGAACACAGTAATAAGGGTACCAAAAACTTTTTTTTGAAAAAAATATGCAACAAGCTTTTCACAGTGAATAAAAAATTTCTTTTAGGTATCTAATGTTAAAAATTCTCTATATACGTCTAAAATATCTTATTAAATAGTTATACATGTATAGTTATATACAAATATAGTTATAATATGCAACGTATAGTGTAAAGAAAAGTTTTAAATAAAGATATCTAAAATAAATTATTAATAAAAAAAGGATAACATACTGTGGAGAATTGTGGGTGTGGTTTACATGCATATAAGCGTAAAATTACCGATGCTAGATCTTGCAAAACTGATACCGCTGCCGGAGTTACATTTACGTTTATATTATCTCTACAATCTATGGTCAGATACAGGGCCGTTTCAGATACTGCATCCACTGAAATAAAAACAATTATTACTTTAAATATTTCATTGTATATTAAAATGCGCAAAAAGTTTATAAAAAGTGGAAAAAAAGTTTTATATAAGGATTTGAAATTACTTTAATAAGTTATATGTAAATTTCATTGTGCAACGAAAATCATTTCATTTTTTAAAAATCTTATATATTTTAATCATATGTTAACATTAAAATTAAACGTTTCAAAAAGTTCGTTAACTTCTGCGTGTGTCTTAAGCAAATAAACAAAAATACTAATTTGATAAATTTATTCATAATAACAGTAACTATAATAATAACAATACTGCAACAGCAACAGATAAGTATACAAATTAAGGTGGTTTAGGGTACAATGCAGACTAATAATAAGATGTATTGTGTGTATTAAATATTATTTTGATCAATAATTATATAAAAATAAATAATGCATTTCTGAGGGGAAACTTCATGTTTAAAGAATTAACTCAGTTGTGCACTTTTGTTAAAGAAATTTTGTGTTAAAAGAGTGGAAGTATATTGCGCACTGTCGTTAAGTGAAATTTTGTTGCCTAATGTTTAAAACAGTGTGTATTTTTTGTATAAAAAAAGTTTGTACTTGGTTTAAATTACAATGTGTACTTTTGTTAAAGAAAACTTTTTTCACAAAAAATTATGTTCAACAAAGAAAATTTTATTCTTATGCAGTTAACCCCTTCCTTCTCGCTCCCGTAAGAATGACGGGGTGAGGATTCACCCTCTATTTCTCGCTGAAATTTCCGAGTGTTCAGTAGCAACGCACCAATAAAAATAATACTTATTCATTTCTTGTGCCCGGAAAATATTTTATTTCTCATTTTACACACCAGATGGCAGTACCAAGATATTTTTAAGGTAATTGTATGTAGTTAGTTTATTTTAAACTAGATGTCAGCACTAATCAAATACGGGTATTTGGCAAAATAGGCACTTTTATGACCGTTTTCTTGAAAATTAACCGATCGTTCAGGGGCTAAAAAGGTACCTTTAAAAACTTTTTATAGAAACCTTACAAGCATGAATTTGAGCATTAGACTGTCTAAATTTAAAGCCAGCGAGTGTCTGACAGACCTGTTCTGTGCTCATGGTGATGATGGCGGTGAGGACTAGAGTAGACTGGAGCGGCTTCATCAAACACATCCTCATTGTCTGCCGTCTCAGTCTCTCCTGAATCTGAATGGGCGTCTACATCAGCTATACCCTCTGAATCGGAAGGTGGCTCGTCAGATGCTCCTTCTTCATCATCAGAAAACAGATGGTCGAAAGTACTCGCTATCTTCTCTAAAACTCCGTCTTCATTGTCACTATCGGAATCACCCGGAAAAGCTACAAAGCTGACAGCATCTGTACAAACACATTTATAGATTAGATACAATTATAACTTCTATAAAAATCTAAATACAGAGTGTTCAAAATTAATGGTCAAAACTATATGGGTGATACAATTTGGCATTTATGGGTGATATAATTATCACCATAAAGTGTGGGGTGGAAAAATAAATGCCGAGCCTGCTAGGGGAAATGATACATTAAAAACTACAAAATACACAATAAAAATATAAAATGCTACGAAATATAATAAAAATAAACAAAAAATGTATGGACTTTCTATTGAAAACGTTACAGCATTTGTTTAAAAGAAAGAGAGATTCGTCAAGATGTTAGTGTCGGTTTCTGCTATTACTCTAAAGCATAGATTCCCAACTTTTTCTTACTCACTACTCATCTTTTATTACTCAAACTTTTAAAAATTTTAGCAAGCATTTATTAAGCAACTATTATTATTTTTTTTTACGTTCGTTGTTTTCGATACAGTGCACTTTTAATCATACTATTAATTTATTGAAAATTCCAACTGACCAATGATTTTATAAATGAACTTTTTTTTAGCAATATTTGTGTAGCTAGCGTTTTAATAAACAATTAACATTCGCAGCGAACTTCTAAGTCGAGCGGGAAATAACTTCAAACATATTTTTTTTTAAAATCTGAAATTATCGTGATAAATGAAAATGAAATGACAAATGAAAAACAGTTATAAAAATTTTTTGGTAAAAATTCAAAATGAATAGTAAGAATTTCGAATAAAAAAAAATTTCACCTCGAACTTCAATATGCAAAAACTTTTTGCGTAGAACAGCAAAGTTTCATTTTTCCTAGGAAACTGGTTGATAATTTTCTTCTAAATAAATTATAGAATTTATATCCGCTTTCATAACATACTTTATACAGAGTTAAAAATGTATTGGTTTTTCAATTCAATATAAAATATCAATAATGAAATTCGTTTCTAGTTTATCACTCAGATACGAGCTTGCTGGTAATTTCATAGAATAAAATTTACAATTGTTTCTAGAAATTATTTATACCATTGCATATATTTTATTGATATCGCATACCCCTAGATTTTGCAATCGATGATAATCTCTTCATTCGCATGGGCATTTTTCTTTTGATGACGGTATTCGTGACAAAGCCATCGTCTTCAGTTTCATTCCCTGAAGAGTCTGATGAACAAACTGAAGCTGGAGCGTCTGTTGTTGTGAGCGATTGTGTATTACGCTCCAGTTCATCACCTCCATTACATACCATGGGATGTCCACGCTCTCGGAACACCTGAAATGAATCAGATCTATGAATCACTTACATTTCTCTTATTTTATAGCACGTAATTAATTGATACTATTACTTTCATCTATCGACTTCACGCACATTAGAGAACCTACTCCCAAAGTGTAAGCTAGAACTGATATGAATAAGAAAAATACCTGGTATTGATTCCTATAGTATTGATTCGCACATCGATGGCATATTAGAACATTTTCAAACTGAAAATGGCGTTTTCTGAGAACAGCATTTAGTATTTCACAGACAAATTATTGCTTAAGTTTAATTTTTTTGTTACTTACAAAATTTAGCGACTTTATTGTTGTTTATAAAATCTAGCGACTTTGTTGTTGTTGTTTCTGATAACACTTAGGCAAGCTCTTTTGCGAATTAAGTCAAGTGAGACCTTTCGTTTGACAAGGTAAGTATGTCTTAGCTTAGAATACTACGGATAGATGGCAGGACAAACCATTCGTGAGGCTATTTCCTCAATTTAGACGTAAGAGAAAGGACATTTTCTCCAGATGTCTATATCCACGGCACTGCTCAGTGACCGACCACGGGATTCCACAGAGAGTACGCTTTAGGAGCACGTGTACTCGGTGGGTCTTAGTGGAGTCTAGGATTGAACTCCGGTTTCTCTAACCACTGGGCTACCACTGCTTTTATAGCGACTTAGATTTATTGGAATAATAAATATCTCAATTTTATGAATTTAACATGTACAATTAAAAGTAAAAATTATAGTTTACAATATTTTACCATACGTACTTTAAACATTATTTCGAGTGGTCTGTATTGACCCTCTTGAATAAGTACTTGCTCCAACAGTGGTTCCCAAGTGGTTGCTTTTTCATTGTAATACATCACTTCTAACTGGAGTTCTCCATTTGCGTTCATCTAAAAAAATAACACAAAAACTTCTTTAGAAATATTTCTCGTGAATGCATTCTAATTGCATGAACATCAACTAGCAAAGCGCATTTAACTAGATGTAAAGACAAACCTACAACAGCACATACTTCAGGCGACAAAATCGAAATTTGCTTTAAAATTGTCTGATACAAAAACAAAAGGAAGAAGAATTTAAAAGGATTTCTCGTAAGCACCTCGAGGCAGCGCAGGTTTTTCCAGATAATATTTTAATACTTAAATTAACAAGAATAGATTGGATTTAGACAAATACTATCTTTTAGAAATATCATTTCATAGTTTAATTTGATAAAAATAGATTGTATCTTAATACTATCTTGTCCAGATAGGCATTTCATTGTTTATATTTACAAAAATAGATTCGTTTTTTTTGAAATACTTCATTTAGCATTTTATTAAATAATTGTACAAAAATGGATTGTATCTCAACAAATATTATTTTCTATAGATAGTATTTCATTGTTTGAATTTATAATAATCTACTATATTTAAGCAAATACTATCTCAGATAGCGTTTCATTGTTTAATTGTAAAAATATAGATTGTATTTTAATACTATCTTGTACCGATCACATTTCATTGTTTAAATTTATAAAAATAGATTCGATTTTATGAATTACTCTCTTTTCCAATTAGCATTTTATTGATTAATTGTACAAAAAACGATTGTATCTCACCAAATATTATCTTCTATAGATAATATTGATTGTTTAAATTTATAAGAATCTATAAAAATTTAAAAAATTACTACCTTTTTCAGATAGTGCTTCATTGTTTAATTCTATAAAAATAGATTGTTTCTTAATACTATCTTGTTCAGATAGCTTTCATTGTTTAAATTTACAAAAATAGATTCGATTTCATGAAATATTATCCTCTGTAGTTAGCATTTCATAGATCAATTGTACAAAACTGGATAATATCGTACCAAATATTATTTTCTATAGATAATATTTGATTGTTTAAATGTTTAAGAATCGATTATATTTAAACAAATATTATCTTTCTAAGACAGCGAGTCATTGTTTAACTGTACAAACATAAATTATATGTTAACAAATACTATCTTTCGCAGAAAATATTTCATTGTTTAAATTTACAAGAAAGGATTACATTTCAACAAATAATATCTTTTCCAGATAATATTTCATTGTCTAAATTTACAAGAAAGGATTACATTTTAACAAATAATATCTTTTACAGATAGTATTTCATTGTTAGTTGTACAAAAATTGGATTAAATCTTAACAAAAACTATCAACTTTCGATTGTATTTAAATTTTTAAATTTGCGAGAATGGATTCTATTTTACAAATAATATCTCCTCAATAATATTTAAAAACTTATAAGTGGGTTCCTTTCTTAACAAGAAATAAAAGCTTTACAAGATCTTGATTCGTATTTCAAATCAGCATATTAGATCTCATTGATCTGAAAACAAACTGAAAGTTCTCTCTCATAGATTATAAGCTTTAAAGATTGATTAGGCAAATTCCAATTAAAAGTAAGAAATTAAAAGTAAAAAGATTTAACGTCCAATTAAAAGTAAATAAAATCTAATTTGTTTATTCAGTCATTTAACATAAAATCCCTCTCTAAACATGGGTAAATCTTAACTAACTTAGCTAAAATGGTAATTTAAAAAAATATTTAACCTTCATACGTTTATCTCTTAATTTTCTATATATGTAGGTGTTCAAAGCCTGATGTCACTAGGCTGTATATTCTTTACTAATTTTTAAAATATCTTTAAGACAGCTCTTATCAACTGCAACATATCACTTTCTTGTGCGTTTCATTGTTTAAATTAAATTAATTGTTAGCTTCATTGGGTCATAACTATGAATGTAATATTCCGACTTTTAAATATGTTTATGAGCTTCCCTCGATATTTTCAGCGGTATCAATTAAACTAATCAGAATTTAAGGATTTTATTTCACCTGAGTCGACCAGTCCTTTATTTCAGCTTCAAAAGCCCCTTTAGCATAAAGAATTGGAACATTTTTTACTATACCCATCACTTCACACCAAACAAGCACTTCTGGAATATTGATGTTAAAACATTCTGCATACTTCGGAATCAAATATTGGCCTTTACTCAACCCACAATTGCATTCTGAAAAACAACATAGATTCCATTAATAACAATGGATTTAAAAGGACCATTTTGAGAACATTGAAAAGAATCACAGTACTACATTGTTGTATAGAAGAACTTGTTAAAACAGAATTTTGAAAACGCTCAATTTTCTGGTTTTAAGAATATGATCACTGCCGATTGCAGAAACTATAAACATTAAATGACACTGAAGAACAAATTTTTATGTTGCATTTATACAAATACTTGATCTTGACTAATTCGGGAATGGTTATTGTAAAAATCTAAAATTAGTTCGGGCTCCTAAAGCTACAGATTATATTTTTAAAATGACATTTTTAGTCTATTTTTTTTCCTGTCGAAAAACATTATTGTTGCGACAAATTTTTAGAGGAATATAGGCACATCATCAGGATTAAAATTGCATAGACACCCATACTCGGAAATCTTCCCTTATTATGATCTGTTCAGAAACTCACAAAGAAACAGTAGGTAATCGAGAAGTACCCCCAGCGAAGTATGACGACAATTCTGGTCATGTGTTTCTATGAAATTTTAATCCTGATGATGTGCCATAATTTCCCAAGAAATTTGGCGCAACATTTATATGTCCTCCTGATGTATATAACGTTTTTAAACTTGTATACTTCGACGAAAAACAGACTAAAAATGTCATTTAAAAAAACTGTAGCTTGGAGAGAGAAACAGATTGCTTAACAGATTGCTACGAAAGCATATTTAAGACCTGTTAAAAATCTCATGCAACGGGAAAAAAATTGTTCCCCAGTTTTATTTTTTCAAACCTTTTTAGAATGCTTTTTATAGGAAACAGATGTTTGAAATTTCTATTCCATCTATAGCTATTTTCTTTTATCTAATAAAATTTCTTAATTTCCCCTGAATTCTAATAATTACGACACCATAATTTTATCATTTGAGATTTAAAACTTGATAACTTTTAAAGTATTTTAGTTTTAGAATACAACTGTTAATTTATCACAACTCTTTTCCAGACAATTTTATTTTCATTTTATAACCGTCGTTGAACAGCCGACTTAATTTTATGGGTTTAAGACTACTAATGTTCAACTAAGCAGCATTGTAATTTTGAACCCAATCCAGAAGACAAGGGAACTCCTGAATCGAGTATAGGGAGAAATTTACCCTAGCGGAGGACTTTTTGATGGAGCTAACCCGCACTTGCGTTACATGGAAAGGAAGACCACGAGACTCTAACCTATGATCCACTGAGTCTACCACTGAGGATATTTTACAACAGCACTGCGGTCGGTAGGAACCGGACGCGGCAGTACTTTTATTCAAATGTTCAAAGTGAGGAAGAAAATTTAATTTTGAATAAATTTGATCGCTAAATGATTTTTTGGCCACTACAACACTCCCGCCGTGTTTATTTGTATCAATTAAATGATTTTAACTATTATGTTCCGTAATGTGCTTAGGAAGTTACTAAACTGTGCAAAAACTTAAGAATTTAAAAAAAAATATTGAAAAGATCTATTTTATGCAAATTAAGGCAACAATTAAGGTGGAATGAACTTTCATCATTTTTTCCTGAATTTTTCTATAAATACTGCATGCATGATTATTCGAAAAAGATAACTCAGCAATTTTTACATAGAGTTAGATAATAGTGCCATAGATTTATTATATAGTAGATTCGAGCTTCCATGCCACAGGTTCCGGGTTTTGTCCACAAACTGGGCATGGTTGACTCAGCCTTTCACCCCTTCAGAGGGTCGATAAAATGAGTACCAAGAATAATTGAGATTCCGCTGTTGATTGACCACTCAACGGAACATCTGCGTTTGCACTTTAGAGCCCTAGGTCAAGAAAACTGGGACAAGCACAGTAGGCCTTGGCCCTTCATGGACTGTCTCGCCACTGAGTTTTGGATTGTTATCGTGTAAAGTTTTCAATAAAAGGTTTCGTTTCAAAAATGCATTAAAGTTTTAAAGGAAAAAAGTTAATCGAAAAATATGAATGTGTATTAAACTCAGACTAGTACCTGGTTCTGTCCACTTTTGTTTGTAAAGTGATGCTGGAGACCAAAGATCTTGCACTGGTTTTTGATCTTTTTCTAATCTGTAATTTCTCTTATCTTCCGCTTCCTGATGACAAGAAAATTTTTAATGAGTAATTTCAAACGCAAAATATTTAGCAAATTTTTAATAATTTATACCCTCTAAGGGTGGGAACATTTTTATGAAATTTTTATTTTATATTCCCTTTCTTTTAAATATAAGTATCGATTTATCTAATAAGAAAGCAACCAGATATAATAGTGAGATTTTCTAGTTCAAACCTTACTAAAATTCAATATTTACCCAAAAATGTTATAAAGAGCATTCTGAATCAATCGTTCATAATATGTTTTTAAAAATTTAAAAAAAAACCGGAAGCACATGTACACTTTAGGACGAAAATTAATATTTAAGTCGGAGAAAAGTTCTATCAAAATTTAAAGAAAAATCATCACTGTAGAAAGGGAAACTGATAAATATCAAAATCTGTTTCATTGCCGGAGTAGAAATGGAGAAGCATTTCAATGCGCTTATTGAAAAACAATTCCATGTTTCCCCCGGCAATTAGGCTGGTTTTGATGATTCACATCTCATTTTCCTCATTAGTGATTTGACTAATATTTTACTTTTTTCTCGCTCAAACATCAATTTACAATTCCTAGCGCATGGGCTTTTTAGATTTCTTTTTTCGACAAGGTTTCTAAAAATATATATTAAGGGCAGTCCCTGAGGAATGGTAATAAGGGTAAGAAATGAACGTGCATTTTAACTTAAATATGTACGCAAAAAATAAATAAATAAATAAAAAATACAAAAACAAGAGAGTTTAGTGGAATAACATGTTAAGTGACATTTTACTGAGTTTGGGAAGTCAAAAACAATAAAAAACTAATAAAAAACCTCTTTTTTTATTTATTACCACACTCTTTGAAATAACTTGTTCCTAGATGAATTTTTTGCTTAAAATATCACTTAACACGTTTTGCCACAAAATAATCTTATTTTTATACAGTTTATATTATAATTATATATTACCTGTAAACTGCAGAAAAGTTGATTATTTACTTCAAGTAACGTTTGCACAACGGGAGCGCTTAAACATAGTTGGATATTACTAACATTTACCGACATTTTAACTTCTTCTTCAGTCAGCCGGAGACTTCTATTTAACTCTATCTGACACGGATACAAGACCTAAACAAATGCAATAAAAATAAATAAAGATTAATAAATGCAATTTCATTTCAGCAAAATTATAAAACTTAACGTATATATCTGCACGTAATCTCTTAAACATACAATGGCCTCCAAAGAGGTTCGGGGAATCGACGGAAATTATTATGGATAGATGGATTAAGAGCAATGTGAGATAAACATGTGGCAATGTGCATGTGTAGAAAGGGATCTGAGAAAAGGAGGGCATTTATCAAAGATAGATGAAAGTAACTAACGAAAACGTTTAGTGGAATGAGCTTATGAGCGAAAACTCTCTTCAAATTGAAATGAAGTAACGATTAAGCAAGAAGTTTTGCAATGAGTCAAGAGCTGGCCCACGCATCTGGTTCAGAAACCGCGAGGAGAAAATGTGTTTACGTCTGGTTTCGGGAGAGAAAGGAAACCGGTGGATGATAATCCAAATTCGGTCTGAGACTTAACAATTGCGATGACTGGTATATCTATTACAAGCTCACCGATCGCTGTTGCAGGCTCATCGATTTCTTCTGTAGTAAGCTCACCTATCACTGTTATAAGCTCACCGATCGTTGTCGCAAGCCCACCGAACGCTGTTACAAGGTCACTGATCACTGTTGCAAGCTTAACTTTTGCAAGCTCACATCGCTGTTGCAAGCTCTCTAATCAATATAGGAGGGATCGAGAATTAGAATTTACAAGAACTTGGGTATACACAAGATTTGTTCTCATTTATAGTGTGGCATCACAAAAAAAAAAGTTTTCCCAGACTTGTTCCAAAAGATTTATCGACAATGTTAAAAGTGTAGTTAGATGATGCTGTTAATTTAAGAGTGAATAAATCTTTTGTTTCATATGTCTCATGACTTTTACTACCCACCAAACTTTTTAAATGTATCTTGCATATACATTTTCCAGTTATTATCATTATATCACATTTAATTTTAAACTTTAAATGATATTTATTAATGCTTTTAATTATTTTCTTATTATAAATAGACAAGCTTACCGTACACATTGTGTGCTTCCTTCTTCCATAGATGCAGGATAAAACATGTAATCCGGCCACAGATAAAACCATATTACCCTGTCCTAAATTGAAACTGTAATCAAGCATGACATCCATCTGAAATAAACAAACGACTCAGTTTAAAATATTACGAATTACGAGAAAGTGTATCTTAAAGAAATTTAATAGTATCAAATAATAAATCCCACATGGAGTTTGTAGTCCTGCAAAATATAAATAAGAAACATTGTATTAATATAACGAGGTATAAATTAAGCGAGAAATGATTAAGATGTTAGAAAAATAAAGTAGGAGTATACAATAAAAGCATTATTACAAATTTCTCAAAACTTTACATCAAGAGCAACAGGAATAAAAACATGTATAGAGAAAGAGAAGTTGATTTATAGAAACTTAGACGTGCTTATTTTAATTCAAAACAAACACAAAAAGTTAACAGATATTCAATAAACAAATAAATTATAATAAATTTTATTTTGTATAAAATGATCATAACTTATATAATTTTTTGCTAATTCCCTAAAATGGAAATATTTCTAGGATAATTAGACACATAACGTTTTTATAGCAAAATTATCTATCTAATATGATCATTAAAATATTGATTTTGGTGACGATTAAGATATTTTTATGTAGGTGATTTTTTAAAAAAATGGAATAACCAAGAGCAAATTGTGATAATTTTTTTAATCTGTATTTAAGAGTGGGATAGGAAAATAGTAAATGTTCATAAAATATTAAGAAATATTGATTATCACCTTGAGAACTAAAACTCCAGTTTCCGGAGTGTCTGGGTGAGCAAAAAGTACAATTTCAGGCTTCCGGAAGACTAAAGACAGAGACAAGGCTCGATGGTCATCATTGCTGATGGTGGATAGATAACCACTGGTGCAGTCAGAGGGTAAACGCTGTCGACCAATATCATCATCATCATCTAAAAAGGCACTGGAACTGGGCAGGGAACTACCCGGAAGAGCATCAGATACGAATTTCATCAAGCTCAGTACGTAAGACACAGATACATTCAGTCGAATCTTTTCCATCACCCCATCCACTATCAAGAAATAAGTGTTAAGAATTCAACAAAAATCAATAAATAAACATTTTTATTTTATTTGGTTTCCAATCATTAAACGATGATTATATTTGAGAACAATTATTTTTGTCACATGAGATTTATTTACAGATCTTAGATACTTTCAATCCGTTGATTTTAAATCTGCAATTGATTTTGTTTAGATAACATTTTTAGTCTATTTTTTGTCGAGATGTATAAGTCTAAAAATGTTATATTAAACAGGTGGCAACGTGAAACTTCTAGTGGAGCTGGGGGCACATCATTAGGATTAAAACTGCATAAGTAAGAAGTCATGCCTGGAAATGTCATCACATGCTGCTAGGAGTAATTTGTTATTATGAACTGTTTTTTCGAACAGTTTATATTTTATTGCCGTCGTTGAACAGCCGAAACAATTTTTTTACTGGGTTAAAGACTACTAATTTTCAATTTCGTAACCTTCTAATTTTGAACCCAATCCAGGGATCGCCTTAAACTGAGTGCGACAACATTGTCAGGCCTGAGTTCCTATGCAATGTTAATTCCATGTTGTACCCTGAAGTTCGTTGCAAAATTCTTTATATATAGTGCTTAAGTCTAAGATGACTTATTGAACACAGTTGGTTTTTAAATTATTTTATTTAAATGTTTGACTTGAAGCAAGTTGTGATAGGAATCGCTATTTAACGAGAATTAGAAAAAGAACAGCGGGGTGTCAGATAAGTTCTCGTTAGGACTTCCACTTAAGGTTTCAAATTGCGAGTCGATGATAAATGAATTGCAAGTCTACGATGTAAATAAAATCAAACTTTGAACCAGCGATACTGTCAAAACGATGACAAAAATTTGTGTAAAATTAAAATTCCTTACCGAATTAGCGTTTCAAAAAATGTCCTTCGTCCTTTCAACAGAACAATTTTTCCCATCGTTATTAAAAAAAAGTAGTTTGTGTTATCTATAAATACTTTATTCTAATAATATAAATTACTGAATTCATTTCTCGTCAAAGAACTAATCTGGCATTGTAATAGGTAATTCCTAAGGCCAAAGTCTCTTATTTAGATTCGACAAAGAAAGTTAAAGACTTTAGTCTTTTATAAAATTATTTTTAACTCAATAATCTTACTGAATTTAAACACAAGACAGTTTTTACTGTTGTCAAAATGAAATGAAAATGTATTGAACCTGCAGCATCTCCATTTCCTGTTCGTCGGTATGTAAGATCCACCATTGGTGGCATGCTAAGGCTTATTCCAGCTACTCCTGTACAGCCTCCAGTATCTCCACTGTAAGACTGGAAAATCCTGGAAAGAACAAAATGGACCAGTTATTAACTGATTCTTTCCTTTTCGCTTTCATCAAAAAATTAAATCATTGTAAACATATCAAGTGATTAAGAGAGCACTCTAGCATATTAGGTTTATTTTATTAGGCCTAATGAAAAGGGTTAAGAGTAAAGTTTTTTTTTTACTGAGATGAATAAAAAGATTAATTCTTATAAAAAATGGAACAATTTTATGGAAAAGTATTTTTTTCAGGAATTAAATCTTATAATAATATTTTTAAACTTAAAATTATAATTTTTCTTAAATTGTATTTTAAGAACACGTTTAGGTACGCTGTAATTATTAAATGTTTATTTATTTTACAAAGATTTTAAATAAGACGATTTATAATAAAAAAGTGCTTTTTTTTAAAGAGAAATACAATCCTGAATGTATTTTACATTTTTAAGATCTTTTTAGTAAATTTATAATGCGTTAGTTCTTCCATATCTTGTGAACTGATATATTTTTCATTTTATTTCGTTTTTTTATGATAAGTGTTCAACAGCCGGTCTATTTCTGAGTTTAAAACTGCCATTGCTTAACTCCTTGGCCTTCTAACTTTAAATCCAACCCAGAAGATAAGTGATCTACTGGATCAAGTATTGGAAGAAATTTACCTTAATGGTGGACTTTTTTAATGGAACTAACCCACATATGCGTTAGATGGAGAGGAAAACTACAGAAGCCTCCCATGGTTAATCAGGCGGCAAGGGGACTCTAACCTATGATCCATCTACCACTGAGGATATTTTATGCTAGCTTTTAGAAGGGATAATGTAGCATAGCTCTTTACATAGCATGGTTACTAAAGAAATGCTTCTTAAAAGTTTTAGGTATTTATTTTTTCATAACTATGGGTATATTTGAAAAATTTGAATATCGTCTGAACAAGTTTCAAACGAATTCCTCATTGCAAATAATTATAAAAAATTCACTAAGTGTCCTTCATTAAGTTATCCATATATATGCTCTTAACGTCGCGTGGTTATACAAATGTTTCTTAAAAATTTTGTGTACTTATGGGCATTTTTGGGGTATTTTCGAATGGGGTATTTTTTACATATGGGTATTTTTGAAAAAATTGAGGCTCACTTTTTAATTGGAAATTTTTTTTAAATGATTTTCTCATTGCAAAAAATTTTGAAAAATTCGCTAATATACTCCATTATGTTAACTATATTAATGCTCTTAACATAGCATGGTTCGGACTAAACACATGCTTCTTAAAAATTTCAGATATTTATTTTTTTGCATCTATGGTTATTTTTGAAAATTTTGATGATTACTTTGTAATCTGAAACAAGTTTCATATTAATTACCTATTGCGAAAAGTTACAAAAAATTCGCAAAGTGTTTCCATTATGCTAATTATGTACATACTCTTAACTTGGCATTGTTTGAAATGAAAACTGCTTCTTAAAAATATTTGGTATGTATTTCATCACATTAATGGGTATTTTTAAAAACGTTGACACTCACTTTTTAATCTGAAAAAAGTTTTGAAAGAATTCCGCTTCACAAAAAATTATAAAAAAATTGCAAAATGTCCTCCATTTTTTTAACTATACGTATGCACTTTACGTAGTATAATTTGGACTAAACAAACGCTTCTTAAAAATTTTCGGTATTTATTTCTTCAGATCTATAGGTATTTTTTAAACATTAGACGCTTTCTTTACCATGCCACTATCTAAACCATGCCACATTAAGAGCATATATATGGTTAACGTATATATGGTTAAGAGCATATATATGGTAGAGCATATATAGAGGACATTTTGTGAATTTTTTAATAATTTTTTGCAATGAGTAATTCATTTGAAACTTGCTTCAGTTTTCAAAGTGAGAATCTTTCAAAAATACCAATATGTTTTAAGATTAAAGTACTAAAAATTTTTAAGAAGCATTTTAGTTCAAACCATGCTAAGTATCGAGCATGTACATGGGTAACATAATGGAGTTTATTTTGCGAATTTTGAAAAATTTTTTGCAATGAGGAAATATTTTTAAACTTGTTTTAGATTATAAAGTGAGTGTCAATTTTTTTTCAAATTCACCCATATGTGTCAAGAAATAATTACTCAAAATTTTTTTCGAGTCCAAACAGTGTTTCGTTATGAGCATATGTATAAAAGTAATTATTTATTATTTTTTGCAATGAGAATTTCAATTGAAAATTATTTCAGATTACAAAGTAAAGGTCAAATTTTTCAAAAATACCCATATCACGCAAAAAAAAAATTACCCAAAATTTTTAAGAACCATATGTTTAGTACATATCTTGCTAAATTCGGAGCACTAATATCGATAACATGGTGAAGGATATATTGCGAATTTTTCATAATTTTTTTTCAATGAGGAAATCATTTGAAACTTGTTTCAGATTACAAAGTGAACGTAAATTTTTCCCAAAATACCCATGTAATATGTGTTAAGAAATATGTAATCAAAAGTTTTAATAATTATTTGTTTACTCCAAACAATGATGTGTTAAGAGCATATGAATAATTGACGAAAAAGAGGAAAATTTTTGAATTTTTTTTATAAATTTTTGAAATGAGGAACTCATTTGAAATTTGATTAAGATTAAAAAATGAGAGTAGATTAAATTTAAAAATATCCGTATAGGGCAAAAAAATATGAACCAAGATTTTTAAAAAGCTATTTTTAATGCTACGTTAAGAGCATGCATATAAAAATAAAGGAGGACATTTTGCAAATTTTTTGTAACTTTTTCCAGAGAGAGATTCATTTGAATTTTGTTTCAGATTGCAAAGTAAGCGTCAAAGTTTTCGAAAATACCCATAGATGTGAAGAAATAAGCATTAAAAATTATTTAAGAAGCATCAAAACAGATGTTCAAAGTTGAAACAGAATTGCTTCCATTACTTTATTGTAAAGATTACAAACGTAATTCGTAATTCTCACTAAATAAAATAATCATTAATATTGCTCGCAATTACTCACAGTCCCCTTAAGTGAGATGTTAAAATTGTGTTTATTTTTATTTGAAAAAATACTTTAACGAAAGTTGAAAACTAAATGTTAATTACTTTCTTAAAGAAGAATAGGGTGGAGCTCGCAAGTCGAGGAGAGTGGCAGCCTGACAAGAACATTTCATTTCAACAGATCTATCATTGGTTGTTTCAAGAGACAAACTCGCTTCATCCAGAGTGAAGGTAGTTAACGCTTGCTTAGGATCCCGAGCATTACTGGAGCGCTATAAATACACATATATTTGAAAACATTCATCACAGCTTAAATGAGATTTAATTGGATGCCTGTAAGTGACGTCACGAGTGTGAGTCGAATCAGATTGGCTTTTGAATAAACAAATGCCATGATTTACCTACGATGACGTCGTTTGCAAGTATATAATTCCTGCAAAAGTTAATTGAAAATAACCGTTCTTGTTTTTTAAAACTCCCAACTGAGAACATTATTTATTATTTGTTTATGTATTTTATAGTAACCATGGTATAGTTTTGTTTTATGTGCCTGGCAACTCCGATGCATAATCAGTTTGTTTATGTTCTACATGACATTGTGTAAATTAGGAAATATAAAGTGAAAGAATTGAAATCTTTGTGAAAGTATATAGAATGCGTCACTTAAGAGAATTGATACTTGAAGAACTTGGCTTATTCGAAATAGAATGAAATTACGTTTCAACAACCAATCAGGATCGAGATTCTCCCAATACGTCACTGGCAGGTTTCCTATTTGTTGATGTACGATGATGTGTAACCCAAAAAGGATTCTTTATGGCACAACAAAATTTATTGCGAAAACAATTCTTTGAATGAAAGTTGTTTAAGTATCGTTTTTCTAATGTTCCAATATAAGTGATCTTATGAAATCTATACAGGGAAGCTATTTCAATAAATTGGCACAGTTCTAAAATTTTTTTAAAATTATAATTTTTTTTTCTTAATAAAATAAGTCATACTAGAAGATCGTTTAGTTTACAAATTATTCTACTGCATTAGAATGATTAAGATTGAGAATCAGAAAACTACTATGAAAAAGCTTCATTTAACGAATAGTTTTCTCAAATAAATTGTGTTATTTTTTTGATTGTAAAATATTATTTTTAAACAAAATTGGGTATATAAAACAGTGTTAGGTTTTTAAATTTTTCTACATCTCACATTTAAGTTCTCGGAGTTTTAATGCGTATTTTGTCGCATTCCTTAAAGAAAAAATGAATGAAGAATAATCCTATAAAGTGCAAATGTATCAAAAAAATAAGGGAAAATAGAAATTTTTAGAAATAAATGAAAGTATAACTACCATATCTTCGGCATCTGTGTATAAAGTGAGCGATAATCCTTCCAATATGAATGCGAAAGAGCTTTCCTTGCGAACATCCGTAGATGCGTACAAAAATACTTCTAATTTTTTCATAGATTCTTCAGGTCCACTTTCGTTATCAGGTGATAGAGCTGTCATAAATAACATTTAATTAATTTCACTGGAAGCTTATTTTAAGCATTAAAATATTTCTGAAGGTAAAATACACAACAAGAAAATAGTGAATTTTATATTCAGAATTTTCATGGTTTAAAGCGTTAAATTAGATGTCATGGTTTTACTTTTATAATTAATTAGTATAGGGATAGGGTGTAATAAAAAAAATGACGTGAAATATTTTACCATATTGAAACCTTTTTCTTACCCTGTTTACTAAACAGGCTTCCTAAAGTCATAGTGTGATAATATAAACCGCTTAACGTTTGGTTACCTGCAAAAGCACTTAAAATGGTCTATAATAATATAAATAGCTCATCTTTGGTTAACTAAAAAAGCACTTAAAACGGTCTATAATAATATAAATGGCTCATCTTTGGTTAACTAAAAAAGCACTTAAAACGGTCTATAATAATATAAAAAGCTCATCTTTGGTTAACTAACTAAAAAAGCACTTAAAACGGTCTCTAGTATACCATCATTTGAATTTGTATGAGACACATGACGAGACAATGTTAACTCTATTTAGAAGTTACGTTGAGTTTTAAAGTAGACTAACAAACCTCAAATGTTGGCATGATTTGGAAGGGGATGTCATATTTCAGCAAGTGAATCGTAAACATTTATTCACTTTAATAATGCAATTAATGCAATTTCCAACATTTATTTCTATTATAACTCTGACGTCGTCAAAGCAATTTATAACACCGAAATATAATAGTTTTTTTTCTGAACGTAAATTTTTTTTCTATCGATTACTTCTAACAAACAAAGTAATTAGTCAACGTTATTTACCATTCACCAAGTCGTATTATTTTGAGGTAGATATTATCTTTAAGTAACGTCTGCCTAAAGTTATGATTTTAACATTATCGTCTATGTATCTTATAAATCTCTATATTTGTATGTATTTAATAACGGTCTATAGATCTTATTAGTCTGCGGTTAAAATGTGGAAATATTTTGTCGTAAATGAGGTTTTGTTAGTTCTAGCGCTTGAAATATATAATATGGTGATTCATAATAAATTTGTAAACTTTGCAATATACAAACTTTGCAAACTAATAAATTTGCAGTGGATTATTTTTCTTTTGCTTAAGTAAATCGAGGGTAAGACTCAGACTGAACCTTGAACAGGCACTTGTAAAATATATTAGAATACATTTATATTGACTTATTGGAAATATTACTTTTGAATATGTTCACTAATGAATGTAAAAATATCCTCGAAATTGGGCATATTATCTATATACTTGTTTGGTTTCTGTCTACGCAATTGTTATTCAGTGTTAATGTTAAAAAGAAAATAAAAATTTACACTGTGTTACACAGAGGAGAAATTGTTATTACTCTGAATATAACATATAATTCATAAAATAAATTTTCTATTTAACATTCTGAAAAGAATTTTTTCGAATTTAATTAAATTTATCTCGCTTATACTGATTGAAATTGCTAATAATATTGCAAAACATTTTATCCTAGTCATATAATTTTCATTTTCAAAAACACCTGCCGGTTTTGTAATCTAACACAATGCGATTAATATCATTTTAAGCATGCGAAATAGTTTGCAATGACCCAAATTAAAGGTTGTAAAGTTTCCATTATAAGACAAGTGTATAAAACTAAATTTTTTAAAAGCTTTAAATAAAAAAAAATTACAAATTTACTAAACAAATTTGAGATTTGAAATGCTTTAACTATTCTATATAATCTTAAACATGGAGTTCGTGATTTAGCAAAAGAAAATATTGCTTAATTTATGAATCTCTCAGTTTGTAGCAAAGTTGTCTTATTTAGCTAAATTAAAATTTAGGTATATAAATTAAACTATTTATTATATTTAAGAAATCGAAACGTTACCCATTTTCTGACTATTCAAGAATTGGAAACGGGTGTAGTTATCTTCATAGACAGAAATCATTGTACTAAAATCTCTTTGTCCTACATTAATCTAAAAAAAGGAAGTAAAAAGTTAGACGTTGTAGCACTCTATATTTTAAGAAAATATTTTTCTCACAAAAGCACTTACAATAAATTTGCTAATTTTATCTTCGAAAAAAAGAAAGAAAAAAAAGCATATTATGTAAATGTCAAATGCTTCTACAATAAGGTTCTGAAAGTACCAACAAAGGATATTTGTAACTTCTTTTAATGATTGAGGAGAATGATACATAAACTATGTCTGTAAATTTCGAAATGCTATAAGATTTAAAAAAATCTTTTTTAAATTTCATTAGTGTTCTATAAGTTAAGTGTTTGAAATATTTGAAAAACATTGATATAAGTATTGGCTTCATGGTAGATGCTTTGCGTTGATTCCAGACATACATTACTCCTGCTAAAATTAGGATCCCTTTAATCCTAACGAGTTGGTAGGCATAACAAAACCAACATAATTTTTTTAAATACATCAAAATAGTTCTTTTTTTTAATATTTACAAATGAGAAAGCAAGTTCCCTGAACCTAGACAAAGTATTAGAAAGACAACACATATCATTGAGAAGTAAACAAAGGTATATGTCAAACATAAACGGACACGTGACTTAGTAGAAAATCTTAAAGATAAGGCAGAAAAATTCTCCACCATTTGTAGTCACTTGCGGATTTAGCTGTAACTTATTAGATCATCAAACTTTTTCACCTAACAAGAAGAGAAAGTAAATAAAAATAATTCAAAGGAAAATAATTTTAAATGAAACATGCTTATCAATATGATTTTTCATTACCATTTTGTTTCGTGTGTGAATGGAATTAAAACAATTAAAAAGCCTCACCTAGTTGCGCCTTGTTTGATTGTTGATCTATTTGATTTTGGGTATTACGAAGGAGAATGCTTACTCCATCTAATTCTTTTTCTCTCCCAAGGAAAATTAATAAATGAAAGTAAAAAGATATTACTGGAACTAATTTATAATTTTTTGGTTTATCAGAATCATATACTCCAAATTAAAAATAGAATTTACATCTCTATCAAAATTCTTTCTTTGGGTAATTGTAACTCAAGAAGAAGAATACGTAATTAGGCTTAACCATGTGATTTAAATCGGATTGAATTGGATACCCATAAGCGACGTCATGCGTGTTTGTCGAACCTGATTGGTTTCTGAATCGACAAATGCTACGAGTTACCCACGATGACGTCGCTTGCAAGTACCCAATTCCTTCATGATATAAAAATGAAAACAAAATTTCATGCTGTAACTAAATACTTACTTTTATTAGATCCATACTCCCGGTGATTTGGTATAAAAGGCCCTCTTTGTGGTAAGGCTTAAGAGCTCGCTTAATATCCAAACGAACTTTTAATGGTTCAAGAATGGGTTCTAAAATGTCCATTCGACTATCTAATAATATCACAGCTCTAAAAATATTTAAATATAAATTAAAGCGTGCTTTTGTGAAAAATTTAAATATAATTTTTATATTTATAAATGCAATAGAGAGTATAAAAGAAATTTTTATATTTATAAGTGCAATAGAGAGTATAAAAGAAATTTTCTAACAAAAAAATTCAATATGTATTTTCTATTTTTTTTTATTTGTATCATAAAGTTGTTAGTAAATAATAATTAAAAATATCTTCTTACACTTATCATATTTTACTTTTGTTATTTAGCTTAGGCAAAAATTATAAATTAATCTGGAAAAAATATAGTTTTAAAACACAATTTAGTGTTTCACAGGATTTTACAGGATATTCCATGATGGCAAACCCTTTTATAAATTCTTAGAATCTTTGTTAAAAGTGAAGAAAAAATAGTATGCACTTTTGGTTAATATTTAAGCTAAGTTAATATTTAAGCTGAATAGCTGAGGAAGGCAAAATAAACACAAACTGGTTATGTGTTTATTTTGCCTTCTTCACTAGTGTTTCAACTTGGTTTTTTACCTTATTTAAATATTAGTTTGCGCTCCATATTTTTAATACTTTATTTGTAAAAACCTTCTAAAAATAAGCATAAATAGATGCATAATAAAAAATCATCATAACAATTTTGCTAAAAATAAGTATAGAGGTGATTTTATTTTATTTTATAACTGTTGTTGAGCAGCAGATCCAATTTTTTGAGTTTACGACTATTGTATATTCAACTCTGTAGTCTTGTAATTTTGAACCCAATCCAGAAGACAAGGGAACTCCTGGATCAAGTATTCCGTGGAGTATAATTTACTTTCGTGGAGAGCTTTTTTTGATGGAACTAACCCATATTTGCGTTACACGAAGAGGAAAACCACGAAAACGTCCCACGGTTAGCCTGATGGCAAGGGGACTCTAACCAATGATCCGTCTACCACTGAGGATATTTTACATCACGTTAGCACTGTGGGGTGGAATTCGTATTGACCAGCCATCTCTGCGATTCGAATCCGGTTAACCTTATTGGAAGGCAAATGCTCTATCCTTTGAGACATCCCTGTTCAAAAAATAGAGATGACTATAGAAAACACTGTATGTTAAAAATTACTGTGATCTTGTGCAAAGGTTCCTCACTTAAACTTATTTTCATTTATGGAGCTCTTAAGTCATCACTGGATTCTTTGGCTGGACTGAGTTTTCATAAACAAATCATCAACGATTTGCGATTTCATCAACGATTGCGAGCATATAAACCGAAGAAAAAATATAATTATTTTCAAAAATAGTTAATAAAAATGATTTTTTAAAATTATTTTATCAATAATATTTTAAAAATTAGGTATATGCTAAATTATTAATTCTGTAAATCAAGTGTAGCACTTAGTTTAGTTTGCTTTAAACTTTTAAAATAAAGATGAATAAAACAAGCTGAATTACAGTTTTCTTTAAAGTGAGAATTAAAAAGAACTGTTACACGTTGAAATAGATATCAGAGAGACATATGTCTGCATTGATAAATTTAATTATTTTATTTTGAATTGAAAAACTCGATGTGAATTATCAACGCAATTTTTTATAAATTTATATTCCTTCCACAATTGATCCAAAATTTTTTTTATTAGTAAACGGTTTCCTATCCTTAAAAAAATTTGCTATTATTTTTCCCTGGTATTTTAGTGAAATGACTTCTCAAATATAACCGAAATATTAATAAATAATAAATTACACTTGTGAATAATTTGTGTTTGTTTTTTATTTCATGAGATTTTTTAACGGATCTTGAATATTTTCACGTAGCTGATTTCAAATCTTCAATCGATTTCGAACTCAAATCTACAGTTTTTTAAAATAAGATTGTTACTCTATTTTTGTTGAAATATACAAGCATAAAATAAAGTTATATTCAAGAAGGGTTTCATAAATGGCGCGACAAGCTTCTAGGGGAGTTAGAGTACATCATTATAATTAAAACTGCATAGAAACATATGCCTGAAAATATCGTTAAACGCCACTAGGGGCGCTTTCTTTTTGTAAATTATTTCTTTGTGTGCTTCTGAACAGGTTACAATAGAGAAGTGTCTCTATCTGCATGTGCCGACGACACTTCTGGGCACGGTTCCTTATGCGCATTAAATTCTGCTGATGTGCCTTTACTCCCCTAGAGGTTCGTTGCAACATTTACGTGACTCCCTGTAATACATAACGTTTTTAAACTAGTACCTTTCGGTAAAAAATTGACTAAAAATGTCATTTTTCATAATAAAACGAAAAAATCTGTAGCTTTAGGAGCAAAACTAATTTCAGATTTAAAATCCCCCATAGGCAAAACAACTATTTTGTATAAATGCAACAGAAATTTTTTCCTCAGTATAATTGCTTAAATATCATTATAATTACAGAATTCATAAATCATTCTGTAGTTTAAAAAAAAAGTCCTAACTCTTGGAACCCATACGACCAGTCCACGGAACCATAGGATTTTGCGGAACGTCTTTTGGAATCTCTGCTTTTTAATTCTGGAATTAATTAAAATTTTTAGCCTTTTTCTGAGATTTCATAAATTTAGAAAAGTTCATTTTACCTAGCAAGTTGCAGCTCATTTAATCGTATCAAGAGATTATCAATACAATGATCCTGTTCTTCTTGGAGAAAATTTTCGACGCTCAGTTCCCCTAGTTGCAGAATAAGAGCATTTGGCGAAGTAGCCTTTTGCGGCAGCAGAACAGTGGGAGCTTGAATCTCAACCGAAACCTGATATCGTAGACCACTTTGTTGGAATTCTGAAACCTAAATCAGAACAATTCATTAAAAAATAATAAAATTCAACATAAAACAGCTTTAAAAAGTTGTAACAGCTGACACAGTAAAATATATATAGACTGCTTCATTTTTTTCCTCATTGGTTACGTTTAGCATATATTATTTGCTCATTATTAGCTAAATTCTTAATTTATTATTGCTTCTACTTCGGATGCGAGAATATAATAGTACATTTGTAAATGTTTTTGAATTAAATATTTTATTTTTTCCATTGAGACAACTTTTCATAATTATATTAGTATAATTGTGGAAAGTCTAATGCTATCGTAATATCAACTTTAAAATTTCCATGCAAAGGAAAAGTCACAGCATTAGATTGCTTGTATTTTAGTTCTTAAATCTACTCTATCACATTTAAATTTTCTTTTGCACAAAATGTTTCCCACCTTTTGTTGAATCTTTTCTTCCGTAGAACGTTTTACGAAGCTTGTAGCATCCGGATTAAGGAAAGGTTCCAGAAAACGCTGTAAAACATAAAATTTAATTAATTTGAAATTTTGACTTTCGTATTAACTTTTAAAAATAACTGTAACTTTTATTTGCCACTTAATATTATTTGCGTACAGGCAAACAATATTTACAATAGCAAGGAAAAAAAAGCACTGATTAACAATGTGAAAGTATTCTAATTTCAAGCTCTAGAAAAAACACAAAATTTGATAAATTCTCACTTTTAATTTCATTCTTTAATGTTAAATGCATATAAATAGACTACAAAACTGCTACAAAAATGAACTAGAAGAAATGAAACTACAAAAAATGAAACTACAAAACATGAATCTACAAAAAATGAAACTACAAAAAATGAAAAATTAGAATAAAATCAATAATCAATAATATCAAAAATATCAATAATAAAAAGCTGACTATTAGATAAAATATTAATCAGAATTAAGGTCAAAGAATAACAAATTCAGTTACGTTTTGATAATGAATTAACATTTTATTTCTAAATTTTTAAATAACGTACTCAAAAACCTTATCTAATTTCAAAATATTGTCAAGAAAATTTTTTAGTTACAATTTTTAAGGTATCCTAACTGGTTTCAACGCAGTGTCTTTTTTTTTTTTAAAAAAAAAGAACAAGATGAAATTAAAATTTTGATTTTATCTCCAGTAATCAGGGCTCCTAAAATTATAAACATTTATAAAACATTCATAAGAGTTTAAACATTTATAAAAGATTTTTCAAAATAAAGGCAAATTTGAGCATAAAAACTACACACTTTTCATGTCATGCAAACCTGTCTACAACTAATAGTAATGCATAAATTGGAAAAAAAATTAGATCAAAAATGTGATTACCAGTGTTTTGATCTAAAATCTTAAAAAGTGAAAAAAAAAAACGTGAAAAAGAGATAAGTACATTGTTTAATATCTATTTAACTTACTTAAAGCTTGATAAAAATTAAAAAAAAAAAATTCGACCTTAGTTTTTAGTCTAAAACATCGCCAACGTTACACAAAAGTCTACATTTAAAATTTTAAAGAATTTTATGTACACTTTTTGTTGTAATGTGTGTTAACGTGAAGAAATTTTTTCGAAGGTAACGTTTTTCAGAAAATGCATTTGAAATGCAAGAAAATTCTAAAATGTAAGAAGATCGTGACAACAAAAAATTCATAATTCTGAAGACAATTTCTAAAAATAAAATTTACTTGCTTTAAAACTATAATTTATTCTAATAAATAAAGATTCAAATACTTCAAAAAAAAAAAAAATTAGTTTCGTTTTTATGCGTTTACTTCCGGTATTGATTTCGTCTGTCAGTGTACGAAGAAGCAACTATAACCTCATTTCTAGAAACCCAAGATAAATTTTTTAAAGGGTTTTTGAAAGCTTATGAACTAAAGTTTAAACATAGATAGCAAAACGATATCGAAATATTTGAAGAATGTTGCCGATTTCCATTCAATCGAATACCTTTATAAGCAAAGATTTGAACTGTTAGGTTTTCATGTTTTTTATCCGTGTGCTAAAATAATTTGTTTGCACAAATAATCATTAATGATTATATTATAAATACAAAAAGATGTGTATTTGTTAAAAAAAAAAGCTATGTAAAGAAATCACTTTTACAAAAATATGACAGTACTTTAAAAATTTATAATGATTGCGACTTCAAAAATTATTAACGTCTATAAATATATTAATAGTTATGATTTTTATGATGTAAAGTGTTTTTGATGGTAATATGAGTGATGGAAATATATTTTTACAATGTTCTATGTAAATAGTTTATTTATTTTTCCCCTTTTCTTCCTTGCTTATTTTCGACGTCTTAAAAATTATGTAAGGGGGCGTGAAAATATTTCGTACTAAAACAATATTTAAATCATTAGTTAAAATTAAAAAAATAATAATTTACTTACATTTAATTCATTAGCAAAGGTATGAAGAAGAACGATTACTGTGCGACCAAATCTTATTCTCAAGCTTCCATCTACTCTTACGGGGAGTGAATCTTGATTTCTGGCATCGATTACTTCTTTGTGGTGAGGGCTTCGACGCACCCACTTCACAATAAAAGAATAAAAATTTATAATCGGAAAAACGTTTCAAACAAATGAATGAAATTAGAGCATAATAACAAGTTATAAAACGATTGCTTCATTTCAAAACTTAATAATTCTCTTAATAGTAATTTAAGTAAAATATTTTGAATAACAATACGCAAATATTTTTTTTTACTGGAAATGGAAAATTCGCTAAATAATTTTTTTCCCTTCAAAATATGCATGAGCTTCAATGGATTATATTTTCCTGAATAATTAGATGACTTTTGTCAGAACTTCATTTTTAATCGTAATATAAATAAATATAACTGTTAAAAATGCAATAAATTATAAAATTTCTTACATATTTAATTATGTCATTATACGTAATTAATGCACGAAGTCAATATAGATTCTAGCATGCATTATGAACAAAGAAAAGAATATAAAACTTAAATTCCAAATAAAATTCATTTTTAGGACTTCTAGTACTGTTTTTACCCTTGAGAATCCTTAGAGCCATTAAATTTATTTAATATCAATATTAAAAAAAATCATATAATCAACATAGCGGGTGTCCTAAAACGGCAGACGCTAAAAAAATACGCAAATTATTTTTTACGAAAATGTTTTTTTATGTTATTATTAATTATACACTAAAACTCCCCCATTCTCCTTCGTGCGTTTCCTTCTTTTTTGAAAAAAAAATGGTTTGAGGGGAAGAATTGAGTTTTCATAGACAGACAAGTGGGGCGCATTTTTTGGTATATTTTTCTTGCTAAATTCAATAGACTAATTTCAAGACGATCAAACTAATAGTTTAGAAGTTATAAGCGTTTCATATAGAAAAAGTACAAATTTGTATTTGCACCTATTATTCATGCTGAGTCGAATGAAACCGTACACAAGTCAATGGAACAAAAAATTCAAAAGTTGCAATAATTTTTATGTATAGAAAGTACTTCTTTTGATGCGTACTTACATAAACACTTAACATTATTTTCCAGGAACTGTAAGAACATATAAGATATATTTTCCGATTCAACGATTACTTTTTCCGATTCAACGGTTTGACGATTAATTGAAGGAAACTAACTTCAAAACGATCAGACTAATAGTTTAAAAGTTAGAAGTGTTTTGTGTACAAAAGAGCAATTCTTACGATTATTTACCTACTTGTTACTCAGACAATCGAGTAATTGTTTCCTATATATTTTCTCATTTAATTGGATAAGACCAAACAATATTTCAAAATTAATAATTTCATAAGTTTATGCGTTTTTTTCAATTGCACCTTTTAATGAAAAAAAAAAGCGTTGACTTCTAAACTATTAGTCCGATAATCTCAAAACTGGTTTTCAATTCAGAATAAAAAAGTACATCAGAAAATATTTACTTTACATGTTAAGATAGTTCCTGGATAACAAAGTAAAAGTGTATACATGTCTATCAAAAGTAGCACTTTTTATACACAAAAAGTTTTGTTATTTTTGACCTATTCATTTTATTGACTTGTGTACAGTTTCATTTGATGCGGCGTGAAAAAATACATAGAAACAATGCTCACTTGTTTAGGTAACAATATCAGATGTGTAAATCGGTACTAATACAAATTTGTACTTTTCAAACATGAAACGCGTATAACTTCTAAACTATTAATTCTGATAGGTTTTATTCGATTACGCGTGAAAAATACATCGGAAAATATGCCTCACTTCCCAGTTTAAATTGATTTTATTAAAAAAATTTTGCAAATTAATTTATCTGATTAAGCATTGTGTTTTGTTATAAATGCTGGAATGTACTTATTTATACCGACTTTTGTTAGCTGCTTTTTTAGGCAGAACCATGTCTATTTAGAAAAAATTATCACGACGTTGTTGGTAATCTTTTAAAAACATTGTTTTATATGGGTTTTTTTCTCAGTGAGCAGCGCCTTCTTTTGGTGTACTTTGTGTCAAATTTTGAAACTTTGTAAACGTAAAAAATAGTTTCCTAAGCAAGACGCAGCAATGTGAACGATTCGATCTGATACCATTTATTTTCGTTGTCAGTCATTTTGGGACACTCGGTGTTATTAATATTTTCCAATATTATTTTCTGAGGGGGTGTAATGTAATTTACTGCATAAAGGTTTTACAAATCAGTATTAAAATAATTGGAATTGAAACGTATTCAAATTTACATTCATATGCAATAAGTTGAACAATATGTAATTACTTACCTTAATATCGAAAACTTTCTCGCCTTCTGTCGCTAGAATCTAAACAGAATATAAACTCATTAGTTTTTGCGACATTCTCTTATTAAGAGATTACTTTTATATTTTAGAAATAATTCTAATAATAGCTTTAAACTTACATAACAAAAATAATTTTTTTCTGTATGTTTGTAACATTTTTAAAATAAGTTATCTTTTATTTTAAATCAAGTATTAGCTTGAATATTTAGATTTAATTATCCAAAATTATTGAGGCGTTCTTACTTTGTTTTGTATTTATGATATTTTGGCTTTAGAGGTATAAATAAAAGAAAACGCATTTAAAGTAATGAAAAAAATCAAACAAAATAATATAAAAAATATTTAAAATCAAACATACCTATTTCAACAAGATCAAGTGCGTAATTTTATAGTTCAATTTTGCTATCCATTAATGAAATATTTTTTTAGCAAAAACTTTTCTTTTTAAAAATTATTGAACTAACAATAATCGTAGTATTTTAAATAATTTCGAAGAAAATATTTACTCTCAGGATTTAAAAACTAAATATATTCATTTCCAACTATTTAATCGGTACAAATATTGGATTTTTCTCATTTATTTTTCTTAAAAAAAGGAATCTGCAATAGAAGTAAGAACGTACTTTTTTGTACAACGTATCCTCGACCAAGTCTTCCATGCACAACTCAGTAAGATTTACTCGAAGTACAGATTTCTCATTGGCTTTTAATACGTAATCTGTTTCAAGACCTGCATAAATAAAATTAATATTAATGTTTTAAGTAATACTTTTTAAAGTACCGAACCAGATATTAAAAGTATTTTGCAAACAAATTTGAGTATTATTCGTCTGATGTGCAGAAAGGATTATTATTTATAATTGTTGTAAAAGTTCTATAAACTTATTCAGTACTTAATAAATAAAATAAAAAAAGACAATGGAATAGGTATTGGAGTTGTAATTTCATATGAAACAAAAGATATTACAAATATGGGCATAAAAAAAAACAAATAAGTCAGACAAAAACGCACGAACAATCATCTCTACATCTCTATCGTATTGATGATCAAATTTATATAAAAAAAACGAATATAATTATCATGAACTCCTCACAATCTTATGCAGTTATCGCTTTTATTATTTTTAATATATATTTAATCATCATTCTAGAAAAGAGTTGTTGTTACTAAAGAATAAGTGAGTTACTGATTTATTAAAAAAAATAGTCATTATGTCTTTAGACATTTTTAAAACAGTTTTGGATACTTTTTCTAAGCTCAGTTTCATTATGCATTTGTAACATTTTTAGAACCAGTATCGGTTTTTCTAGATAATGATGTTTACATTTTTAGACAAGCTTTCGAAAGCGTTTATAAATGACATTTTATTACTTTTTTTTACAGCCTTAGTATACGTGACAGTCATACCAAAACTTCATCATTCATCTTGTTTATCAATAGCGTTAAAAAAAGAAAGTTTATGTGCTTAATCTGTTTTAAATGAGAAAACTCACGATGGAAAGTGTTCTTGTCCTAGCATGACAAGAATTTCATATGCCTAATGCATGCAAATAAAGAGGAAAAAAAAAACTATAAATGTTCGTTGCGACACACTGACAAAATCAATATATCATATTGCATCAACTGTTTCACTTGCACGAAATCACATCCGCGCAAAGCAAAGAAAGAAAAAGGGAAAACATGCACTTTTGACAGAACGAAAACTTAACAAAACAACCTAACTGGAGTACATCAAAACGAAACTGTCCACCATACAACAGCATAAAAGCAATCACTGTCAGACAGACAATACAAAAGTTAATTACTTAGGCTGTCCCTTACTTACCAACCACTCTGAGGTCAGCAAGTTCAAGATCGGTGTCACATAATCTGACATGTAAAGCATTGAGACGAGCTGATATGCTGAATTTGGTGGCCCCTGGTGGCACGGGTGGATCTGTGGTGTCAGCTAGTACCAAGTCCGATGGATTGGGCATGTAGGATAAACGGAGGCTGGAAGATTTAGGCTTAAGCCTTCCAGAAAGACAGTAATGATGTTAGTGGAAAGTGAAGAAGGAGTTAATTAAAGAAAGAAAAGAAATGTTAGTATGAAAATAATTGTTAGGTATATTTCATGGATGAAAAAAAAACTTAATTAAAAAGAAATTATTTCAATTTCGAAAGAAAGAATATTTTGAAATCATATAGATAATGAACTGTTGGAAAATGGAAAAATGGCAAATTATGTTTTTTTTATATCGTTACAAAATAATTTATTTGAAAGAGCAGAAAAAATACCTTTAGAAAATCGGACAGCTAAAGAAAAACTGCACAAAGGTTAAATAAATAGTAAATATATAATATAAAAAAGAAAATAATACGGTTTTTTTGATGCTATTCTTAATGTAGCCCATTTCGCTTTCGATAAATTGTAGAAAAATATTTCGTTTTCTTAATATACTTATAGTTTTAATAAAGCGAGAATTTATTACTCCGTAAAAAGCTTTGCTCATTTATTCTCAATTTTTGATTTAAGGTTCTAGTCTTTTTTTATTACGAGAATGAAAATTATTGTTTTTTTCATTCTGATTGATATAAGAAGAATATTGATCTAAGAAGAATATGCAGTCAGAAGATAATAAATCTTATCTTTATGGTCTTATTTTGCATTCTTTTCTAAAAAAGAATTTTATAAATAGTTTTAAAATTGACTAAATATTGCGATTGCTTGCCAAACTTTAACTACAGAATTAAGAAACCACAAAGTAAAAGAAATGTTAACTTCAGTGAAATAACAACTTATCTAACAGTTTATAACAACTTCTAAAAGATTTTACTAAATTCAATTCGGATATAAGAATTTACAAAAAGAAAAAATCATTATGGTCTGTTTAATGGATACCCTCAATTATTAATTTGGATTCCCTTCTTCATTCTATTAGCTAGTCACTAATATTTCCCAACTTTGTGATTTTAATTATAAATAATTCGTTTAATTTTTAACTTATGATTACAGTGTATTTTTTCAAACATTACTTATCTATTAAAAAAACTAATTTTCATAAAAAAGCTCATAAAAAACCACGACCACGTTACGTAGTCTATATTTGCGATTAAATTTACACAATAAATTGTGATTAAATTTCTACAGTACAAATGGATAGTTCAACAAGTGAAAAATTAAATGTGTTATGTTGAGAATATTTATATACAGACTTACTTCGCAGAGACGTATTGAAGAAATTTTGCGAGTGTTACAAAAGCCTCTCGATGAAATGCCACAGATAAAGTGCTGACATCTAATACAAGGGAGTGTTCAACTTGATGGAAATGACTCTTAAATTCAGGACAGTTTGCTTGGACCTGTGAATGAATTCTCATAATTTAATTTGAAAATATAAATGTTCTTAAGTGCAACGTTAATAATGCTTATAAAAAAAGCAAATTTCTTTTTTAAATTAATATTTATTATTATTATTTTTTAACAGTTTGTTGAATGTAGAGTTCCCGTATCTGAAGTAGTTAGAAAGCTATTCCAAGCAATTCCAAAATTATTCGTAAATGAAAGATATTGGAGTTGGCTATCACGCTTGAAGAAGTTTCACACTAACTAAAGTGTAAACTGTGTAGATAAAGCCACGTTTTGTCTAATTTTTTGTTAGCCAAAGAACAAGCTAAACTACACCAAAGTTGCGTAAATTATTGATTAAGTGATACTGTTTTTCAAATATAAAAATGTGATTTATGTTCAGGTAATTTTTGAAATTTTCTACTAGAAAAAGTTTTTTAGCTAGGAAACTGGAAACTTAAGTATTAAAAAAACAACTGTTAAAAAAACTAGCTTCTTATTTGATGTATAATAGTATAAATAACTGAATAACCGTGTCACATATCACTATAATTATTTTAAAAACTAACTATTAAACAGAATACATCTTCATCCAGCATTATTTTTGCGTGTAATAAATATTTTGAATAGCTGAAATTAATTTTTAAAGCAAATGAAACTGATACCTGCCTATAACTGCTAAATTCCACGTTAGTAAAAATTTCTTTCAGCTAAATCTATGTTAAATCTACAAAGAAGTTTTTTTGTTTTCTTTCTTTCTCAAAATTTTGCCTCTCAAGCAATCATAGATTCTTACTCTACGCTGCAACTCACGATATTAGATAAGTAAAGCCTATTTCAAATGTAAAATAGCACAAAATATCACGGGTGCTAAAGACTTTTTTGTTCATTACCAATTCATTAGGATGTAGTAAAATAATTTTTGACTGTTATAAGTAAAATTATGAACTTTTCTGATTCATTAGACTAACTTTTCAGGTAATAGGTAAATCAGACAAAAATAACTTGTCCAGGCCACTCTGCAATAGGCCTACGAGGAACATTTTGTTTCGTTTAATTTTGTATCGTTTCATTTTAACTCTCAGCCAATCACAAGTCGTAACTATTTTATCAATGTTAGATGCAGGAACTGTAGTTGATCATTGCATGGAATTTAGCTTCATTTTAAAAAAATTTTTGTTCTAATAATTTCATATTATTAAAAATAATTTCTTTGAAGAGAATATTCTAAAATTTTTTTCCTAACAGAAATTAATCCTCCAAGATCTAAATCTCTCTATTTAATTATTTAAAAAAATCTCTTTTTAGCAAAATGTGAGTTTTTAAAAATCTATTTTATTAATGAACAAAATTTAGCAACACATTTACAATTAGCTTGCAATTCGAGAAGACGAGAAATGATGATGGCTAACCATGTGATTTAAATGAGATTTAATTGGATGCCTGTGAGTGACGTCACTCGTTTATGTCATACATGGTTGACTTCTGAATTGACAAATACCCTGATTTACCTATGATGACATCACTTTCAGGTATCCAATTGATGTCAAAAATAGTTTTTTTATTACCTTTCTATATAAAACAGTGATCATGTCAGATGCATTGTCTGAACTAATGAGTTCCAAATATTCACCAGAAGAACCTAGAATTCAAGATCAAAGTTATTTAATTTGGCTTCAATGACAGAATAACAATAAAGTTTTTTGAAAAACTAAGAGAAAAGAAGGACAGAAAATTTGATACAATCACTCTATACTGTTCGCAACGAACTCAACATACTGGGCACAGATAAAGTGCTATTTAGTTTATTCAATGCTGTTATTCAAGTTTACATGAAGTACAAAATTTCACAGTTAAATCGTTTAATGAAACATGTCTCTAAGATTATATTTTTATATTATTGAGAGCTTATAGCTTTCTTATGTTGTGAGATATTAAAAAATATACATTTTTCGAAAATCAGAACTATTTTCTATGCTAATACACCTGATGAAGAATATAATATATTATTTTCAATAACTGTAAATTTATAAAATTTTATACATTTATCTTAACTCGTTATTACTCAAACAAATTTAATTATTTCCTAAATAAAATTTAAAATAAAAGGAATTGCCTAAAAATAATTTAGTCTGTCAAAGTTTTCTCGTACTTTTTAGGAAATATAAGGTTATAATGAGTTTTAATTTATCGGTAGAGAGTTAAATTTGCTTTTTAAACATATTCTGAATTAATGAGGTATAAAACTCAAAATTATTTAACTGAAGGAAGATGTGCAACTTTAAGGCAAACACACTTTACACAAAGAAGAAATCTCTGCACCAAGCTAATTCTTAGTATTGTTTCAAGCGAGGAACTTAGCACATTTCTGGGTATTTTAGTTGACAGCCTCACAATGTACAAAATTTTTTTATGACGTACAAGGTTTTTTATTTTTTTTTAATAAAAAACTCACTAAAAATGATATCCCAATAAATTTAGAAATGCGGTATAACTATATGAAAATCGAAAAAAAAACATCAGAAAAAAAAGAGTTGAAAAAGCACTGGAAAACTGTGATAAAACAGTGTGCAACTAGTATTTTTCCAATAACCGTGTTTCATTTTAAGATGAGATGTCATTTTTGGAAAATTTTTTAACTTATCACGAAATCAACTGCTTTAGAGACTATTAATTGATAAAATAAAAAAATATGGTTAAAAAATTTATAAAAGATTAAAAGTTTTTTTCTATACATGTCAAATTAATTTTTGTTGTTGCTGCCGTATGCCATTAAGGCAAATGGAATGCGCTTCTTCTCCCCTTCCGGTGGCGCCATCTATGGCCATGAATTTAATTTCTTCCAAGCACATACGTCGCAAGTTATTTATAAGGTGGACCCATTCATTTCTCCACAGATCGTAATTTTGACCTGAACAAGAGAACGATCAATCTCCAATTTAGAATCCCCAGAGGTATGATTTGTTATGGGAACAGAGGTCTTTGTGACCCAACGTGCACTAGTAACGTGCACTAGTCGTCATTTACTATACGTCTTCGGAAGGTGAGGATCGAATTCACGACTTCTTGTTCATGGGCCCAACGTCCTATCAACCAGGATACCCCGGCCTTAAATTATTTTTGTATACTGATTAATTTAAATAGTCAATGGTTGAAGTATAGTCATAGTTAAAGTTTTTGATTGTTTTTCTGGAGCTTTTTATTCTGTGATTCATGTTGTAAGGCCCAAAGTCCTACAGTTACACTATGCGAAGTTAGAGTTTAACTCATTTTCTTTCTTCGTAATACATTTATTTTTATTTTTTAAATACCTTTCTAAATTCACCTACTTACCTTTATGAAGTTTGTCCACCAATTGAATTCTGTGCAGTGAAGCTTGGAGTGCCGGTCCATACTCCATATAAGCAGCATCAACGCATAACTTCTCAGCCCGTAACATGAGGTAAGGCTTGTCTGCATGATCACTGGATCGAGCCAAGTGTATGGACACTTCTCCAGCGACCAACCGGAATAGAATTTTTATGTAATTACTGGCCGATACATTGTCTTCGAATCCTGGGAGATCGATGATTCGTGCCCATCGTTCAGCTGCACCTCCGGCTTCCTCTTCGTCTGATTGATCAGATGCAGAAAATGAGCGCTGCAAATTTCCTGCAACACATAAGAGAATGGCATACATTTATTTTTCAAATTACGGTATATTTTTACAGTATTAATTGCTTAAAAACTTCATTCGCTTCAAAAATATATAAATTGGATATAACAGTCGACATGCTTCAAGCGCTCAAAAACAGGCTCCCATTTTCAAGACTTGCCAGACTTGGATGAGAAGAAACGAAAGTGATTTGAAAAATAAAACTTATGGTTTGCAGCAAAAAAATGGAAGAATAAAGTATAGAAACAAAGCTAAAAAAAAATGTAGCCGAAATAGAAAAAAAACATACAGTGCGCAAAAGGGGCAAATAGGGTAAAATGCATTTCCACGCGCTATGGTATAACACAGAAATACGTATATATATGCACGTGGAAATGCATTTTACCTTGATTTGCCACTCTCGGCCATTGTCCTTAGCGTTTTTTTCCTGTTCAGTTTTTCATCGTTTTTTCTCTCAAAGCTACTGCTGTTTTTCCAGTTTTATTTCTCGCCTTTATTTTTCATTGGCAACTTTACGTTTTATATTCCAAATAATTTTTGTTTCTTATCAGTCCCGTCTGGCAAGTCTTGAAAATGTTTGCCTATTTTTGAGTGCTTGAAACATGTCGACTGTTACTTCAGATTTGTATACTTTTGAATTTTTGATTTAGTAATATAGTTATAGTAGCTAAAATATACGAAAGCTCCTGATAAGAATGAAAAAATAATGTATTATGCATGAATAAATAATGCATGAAAGCTCCTAAATTGGTTTAAAAACCCTTACCTCCTTAAAAACGTTAACGTAATTCTAGAGACTACTTTTTTCTAATTTATTACTATACAGGTGATTAAGTAACGAGTAACTCCATTGTGGTGTGACTCGAGTGGGTTTTAGTATTTGGGTATTTTTGAAATTCAGTTATAAAAGTAGACAATAATTAGGTAGTGTTTACGAAAACAAACATAGCTAATTGTTTGAAAAAATATTTTAGATAAAAAAATCTCACATCGCTTTGAATATTAAGGGAAAAAACGATTTTTAAAACAATAGTTATTCGATACGAATAAAGATAAATCAGACAAGTCACTTTTAAAGATACAAATCTACAGCAAGACAAACTACTAATTTATACTTCGATGAAAAAATATTAAAAAAATTTAGATTCCAAAAATTATCTTAAATCTTTTAGATTCACTTTTTACTCTTTTATCGTGACGGACGAGATAACTTGTACTGTACACAAGGTTTTTCTATATTATAGCAGCAAGTTCAGCGACTCATTTATCAACATTTTAGCACATTCCAGTCTATAATATTTTGCCTTACAATATTTCTACAAGATGGTGCCACTCATTATAATAATTATTATTTTATTATTATTATTATTTTATTATTATTAAATATTATTTTATTATTATTTTATTATTATTAAATATTATTTTATTATTATTTTATTATTATTTTATTATTATTTTATTATTATTATTATTTTATTATTATTGTAATTATTTTATTATTATTATTATTATTTTATTATTATTATTATTATTATTTTATTACTATTACTATTATTTTATTATTATTTCTTTCGAAGTAAAATAAACAAGTTTTAAAGGAAAGTTAATATGAAAGTTTTAGGTTTAAATGAAGTTAAATTTCTATTACCTGATAAGGGTGAAGTCTCTTGCTGCTCTGGAGACAGAATTTTAGCCTTAGGTTTTCGGTGTAGGCTTTTCCAAACTTCTTTAAGATCTACACCTGTAGGGTCCTTGAGAACATGGCTGCACTGAAAATTATTTTTTTGTCACTTTGTGAAGTTTTAGCACACTTTTAAAATTGAGAATAATACTTTAAACTCTAAACAGTAGGGAAAACTGGTATAAGAAGACAATTGGCCTTTTCTCAAAATCAAATAAATTATCTAAAATTTATTTTTTCTTCATTTTTGCTTTATAGTACTCATAAAAAACTCAACTTAAAGGAAGGAACAAGGATTAGGCATAATATTAATATTTAAATATTTATTGTCAAAAAAGACGCAGTTATCAACTTAAAAACATAGATGTTTCTTTTCTTCTTTTTTTTAAGTTATCATAACTTCTGTTCTGTTTGACGTAAAAGCACAACTCAAACGGGTTCACTCTTAGAAAAATAATTCTCCCTTTAGACAATTCAGCAATCTCTGAGCTGTATTTCATTATTTGTGAGAACCATTTCATCACGAAATCATGTTATTTGTGACGAAACGCGAACTCTCATATATAAGACGAAAATGTTTCCTCAACTCGGAATCTCATCGCAGAGCATTGTGGGATATTGTTGACTGGGATGACGAAACTAGAATGAAGACCAGACGATCGAAAATAAAGTAACGAAACAAGCCAACCGATTGTATGGTCGTCAAGCAGTTGACTTCGTATCAGGAAGTTACCGTGTTCGTATCCCGCTTCTGAGACGTGTGCTATGTTAGGGTATGTTAAATGTAAGCTAGGGTATGTTAAATGTATTTATTTTTTTTAATAGCCCTAAATTTTCCATTTAAAAAAAAGATAATGTTAGATTAAAATATTATCTGCTTAATATTTTATTCATGCATTTTTCTTTGCTTGCTCAGCACTCATTAAGATTTACGTTAAGATATACACAATTGTAATTTAATGTGATTGTTTTCTTACCAAATGGAAATCACTGGGAGATAGTGGTAAACTATCAGTTACGGTTGATGACTTAGGGATTGGAATGTTTTGTAGAAAGTCAGCAATCATGGATACTCTTCGATCTGATAGATTGAGCTTCAGGCTAGGAAGGCTGATGTTTAATTTTTGCCTGCAAAAAGTAATGTTTAGAACATAAATGAACAATTACACTAACTCAATTTTAATTTCATCTTCTATATCAGGTTTTAGTTTTCAGTATTTTTTTCATTATGCTACCGTTTTTGCTTAAAAAGACTTTTATCTTTTTAGTCTTAACTTTTATAATAATCCTGATAGTAAAATTACCGAGTCAATCTGCAGTCTTCATAATTCTAAATCCGTGTGAGATTTCAATGCAGTTACACATAGACTAGTATGATTAAAAATTAGACTTAATCCATGGGTGTCGTTAGCGTAGAGAGGCAGCTGGTATAAGTACCCCTCAATACTTAGAAATATCAAGTTTACCTCGATAATTTAAAATCTCAAGTCTCCCTCTATATTTCTGAAAAATAGAGAAATTTTCCCTAATCACCATTGATTTAAACTCATGAAAAGTAAAATCAAGAAAAAGATTAATATTTAGCAAATTTAAGAAATAATTTTTGTTATGCCTGATAGTTAAGGAACTAGTGTAAATGTATATTTTAATTTCGTCTCCCTCAAAAATTGGATATCTGCGATGCCCATGGCTGAATCTAATACGTAGTACGCGAAATTTTCATAGATAAAACAAATAATAAACAAAAAAATTTTTTATGAAAAATTAATTTCACTTTAATTAGAATCATATTAAAGAATACTTTGAAAATATGGAATAAATCCCGATTGAACCCAAAATCAAGCAAAAAAAATAAGAAATCACTAAAACAAAATTTTGAAAATTTTTGTTATTTTTATTTTATTATTTTTAATCTATTTTCAGTTCATTAAATAGTAATGTTGATTATTTAAAAAATTTTTTTTTAAGTTGAATATCAGTAGACTATTTTTTTTTAGTTTCAGGTTATCAAAGTTTTTGGACCATCCAGAAAGTCTTTACAAATGCAAAAGGAATAGGGGAGAGTCAAGTAGCCCGCCCACTTAAGGAGTATTTGCTTATATTTCTGTATAATATTGAGTAATAATCAATATTTTTGTATGTTTCTATTGTTTTATCATTTTATTAAATAATGCAAAAAGAATAAATCAAAAAAAGAATAGTTTAACTTAAATAAATAGAAATTTAAAAAATTTGACTACTGTATTCAGCACATTTTCAAACTATTGTTTACCATGTTACCAGCTACATAAATACTTGAAACTTTGAAAATAATCTTTNGCCTTAAAGGGAAAAGTTATCTTAATAAAAATATACGCATCTTTGATTTTCTTTGTTTCAATTTATTTTTACTTCCTTTCAGCAATTTATTTAGCTGTTTCTCTCCCTCCTTTTCCAATTTGAGATAAAAAATCTGCAGATACAGTGACAATCTACCTCGCTTGAAGATTTCTGCTACCAGGATAACGAATAACTTTACACATTCGTAAATTACTCTATGTTAGAAAATGTATATTAATATTGAAATATTTTAAATAAAACAATTACTTTGGCAAGGTCTTGCAGTCTGGACGAACACTGTTGGAGAACACAACAGTTACTTTTGCTTTCGGAACTAAATGCATGTCTGTTTCAGATTGTTGTTTGGCTGTTCTCCATTCTTCCCCTACTTGCGAAACAAACAATGTTATCACATACTTTCATGATTGTAAAAGGAATTCATTAAAGGATATGACAACAAAAGCATTTTGATTTTGAGTTTATAACACAATACAAACCTAAGTCCGAGAACAAAACTTGGGCATCTGACAGTGCGATGTTGAACCGATCGTACAATCTCTCCTCGGTTTCCATTTTTGTTGATTCCTGTCGAAGTTATGATTGTTTTAGTAAAGTTTCATAAATATGTTTATCAAAATTAATTTTTTGTACTTTATATAAGTAGACCAGAAAAACTGAAATTTTCAGTTATTAGCCAGTGGCCGGTAGACTCTAATAACTTGGTTTCCATTTTTTCCTTACGTCTAATGAGTAAGTGGCCTATATTGATGGATCCTTTTTATTTAATAGCCATTTTTTGCATTTTTTTTTGCTCGGATTAAATTATGTTTTTTTAAAATTCATGTTGAAAATAATCTACGACTCTAAAAAGTTAATTCAATAACGAAAATAATATAAATATCTGACAAAGTTTAGTTAAACATGCTGACCTTATTGAACTATTTTTTAAAAAATAATATTTGTTAATGTAAAATAGATTGAATGTATGCATAATAATTTTGAATAATGGGATTTGTTAAGGAGCTTTCCTTCCATATAAATATTTTCACCACAAATTGATGGATTTTAAAGGATCAAAATAATTTTCAATGGATGCATTAGATTCTGATATTCAGAGTCTCTTTTTGCATTGATGTACTTTTATCATTAAACAATTTTTATTGTTTCCTTAAAAAAATGACCGATTATTTATTATTATTAAAGTCGCAGCTTCTTTTTGTTTCTTCGAAATGTGGCAAATGGTTATTTTCTGGTCTACATATAAGTTATAAATATTGAAATGAGAAGTACATACTTCAAGTGGTAGTCCATCTGATTGCAAATCTGTGGAGACTGTAAACCTTCCTGTATCCAGTACAACTACACTGCCGCCTCTACAACAACAGGGTAACTGAGTTAGATAAGATGTAGAAAACTAATGGTTAGACACCATATGTAAATACATATGGTATGTAACACCATGTAAGTATGGTGTTAATTTATTTGAGCAATTTTTTTTACTTCAAAGAAAAATTAGCCATGGTATGAGAACAAAACATTTAATTGATAGATATTTAACTTTTATTGTTTTTAATTAGCATAATATTGAGCCACAATGCGCAATAATAAGCCTAATAACACAGAATTATGTAATATTGAAAAATTATTTTATTTTTTAAATAATTAATTAATTATATTTTTTTTAATAACTTCTCAAAAACAATAACACTTTTTTGTACAAATTGTGTAAAGAATTTTTTTAAAAATAGTAAATTTTAGACTTGTACGCAGTAGTGTTTAGGAAATATTATTTTCTGCCTTGTTTTCGCGAGTTGAACATGTTATAAGAAAAACTGGAATTTAGAAACCTTGATTAAAAAAATGAATTTTAATATTTTGATATGTTAGATGCAATAAAATTGGTAAAAAAGTTATTCAATTATGAAATAAATAGAGCAAATAAATTTGCCTTTGTTTGGATCAGAAAAATTTTTCAAAAAATCTGTAATAAGTCACACTCAAATAAATTTAAAAGGTCACTTACTGTTGAATAGATCCATGTTCTGGGATGACAAAATAAGGAGATCTTAAGTCTACATTTAAATGCAACATCTATAAAATAAAATGTTAATCTTATTGACATATTTCTTTTCTATTTACAATTATTTCTTATAAAAAATTAACGATGAAAATGCTTAGAAATTTTAGGACCCATTAAACTATAATATTGTTAAATTTTGCTGAAACTTTAATACGGTGCCAATTTAAAGTTGTACTCCATGATCAAGCAAGTTAATCGTTCTTGACTTTTATTACTTCCATACAATATTTCAACAATACATGATTCAATGAGACGATTGCAACAGCTTTTCGATATTCTGATTTAAGGTACCGATGTTTGGAGAATTTACAGGGGCGGAAAAAAAAAACGGTTCTTTTCGGTTAGTCGGGCGCAAGCAAAAAGTCGCCAAAGAATGTAGACCTCTGCCAATTTTTATTTTAATATTGTTTTATTTTTTAAAGATTTAAAAATTAATTAAAGTAAATTTTAAAAAAAATAGAGAAATTTCTTTGCTCCCGGCTAATAGTAAAGTCTCGAAAAACGATTCTGGTAAAACTACCGGACTGTATGGTAATGCTATTTCTGGTAAAGGAAAACATGATTGTGGTTATTAAAATCAAAATATAGTATGTTATTTAAACAATTCAAATTGGTAATCTTTCCGTTTATATAGTAATGATTTACAGGAAATTCTGGATTTGCAGTTCTTATTGCGAAACATTAGTAAAAAATACAAACCTGGAAAGTAAATTTAACCTAATAAAAGGTGTTTATGCCATGCTCTAAGGTATCATGATAAAATTTCCAAATGATACCCCATTTAGCAAATGTTATCATATATTATAAAACCAAATTTTATTGTTTAATTTTACCAAAATCATTAAAAACGCTTCGGAAAAAATTATCGAGCTTTTTGGTGTTCCCATAAAAGCCAAAAACAAGGTACATTTTACCCTATTCCTGTAGTTTTGTTCATATTTCTCATCGAAGATATAATATGCAAGTTATTGTACAAATTACGTCGTAATTTTGAAATTATTAGAAATAGTTTTGGTATTTTGTTCTTACCTTGTGCTTGGAGAATGCTGTCACTATTTTTTCCTTTCCAGCTTCAGCTAAGAATTTCAATTTCTGTTTAGCTTTTTGTTTTAGAAATGTTACAGTAGCTGGTGGTAGCTCAAAGAAATCCATCAGTTCCTTCATGGCATACTGTAAATTAATGTTCTCGTGTTAATACAAAAATGGTGCTTTGTTCATGACACTATTTTGTTAAAATTACATAAGTTGAAACAATTTTTGTTTAAAAATTTGTTTAGTTTCTACGAAAACTTAAAAATTAAAATTGAAAAAAATTAATCAAAATTCTGAATGAATCCATGCAAATACTATGCTATTGGTGAATAAATTTAAAAAAGCATTTTGGTAAATCAAAAAATAAGTTTTTAATTGCAATTGAGGGATGCGGATTGTATTAGGTAACTCATCTGGATAACGAATTGGCTTGTAATGCCATCACGAAATTAAAAATGTACTAACTGAGAGACATATTTGCCAAATATTTTCTACTCTTTTTTTTTCATCGGCGGTACTTTTATTTTAATAAATAATTTAAACTACCATAACTTCTTTTAGGCTACAAGTGTCTTAAAGATTATAAGGTGTTCTATTATCACCACGTATAACGTGTATTCTTAGAATAATTTTCAAAAGTGAAATTAAAAAAATATGCACACTGAATATCGAAATTATTATTTAAGGGATGAAGGATTGAAAATGCTACCGAAATATCTTAAATCAATAAAGTAAGGAAGTCAGAAAGATAAAGTCAAGAACCAGTTTCATTTCTTTATAAAACCTGGCAATATTTTTAATAATCGTCTTTCAACTTCTGACTGTTTCCTTAGAACAATTAACTAACTTTTTATTTCACCAGATTCACTTTGCTCGGTAGTGATTCGTTAATTTAGATACCACTTTTGCTTTTTCTTCGCCTAATTATTGATTCACAACAACTCATGAGTATGCTTGTAAGCAGTTTTTCACAAATATTTTGAAAGTTTAAATTAAATAAAATGTATTTTAATTCGGTGGTCTTTTTGAAAACTTAAACAAGCTTCAGTATTCAGAATTTTGCATCGAAAATTTGTAAATAATGATATTTCAAGCTCGAGAATTGGAGACAATTTAGTTATTTAATATCCTATACGCAAGCATAATATTTTTTATGAAGCAAAAATTATGATTATTAATTAGGATTAGTAATTAGTCAAAAGCAACTATAATTGAAAAATAATAGTGTCCTTTAAAATTAGGGAATAGTACACCGCAATGGTTTAGCATACTTTTTTTACATTCATAATAATTGATGAAAGTTAAATTAGCAAGCTTGATCCGTTCTACTTTCACGGCATATAATTATTATTGTTTAAGAGCAAAGCAGTAAATGTGATGCAGACAAACAGAAACAAGAAAAAAAAACTCACTATTTCATTGTTTATAATATTTTATAGCGAAACACAAGTGTGTTATTGTGTTCATTTCATTTCTTTGCTTTAGGCTTATATATACATATTTAGCTAGATAAAGGGAAAAGTTTGAAGTTTAAATAATCGTAAATTCAAATCACATTTCCTTGTTTTAATACGTTGATGCTTAAAATGCTAAGAGAGAAGTTGAAACATTAGAATACATTTTAATTATAACGATATAATCTAGTTTTTTTTAATGCAATTGAAATAAGAGAAACTTTAGTTCTTTAACAAAGAACCCTGTTTTTAAGCTGTCAGAATCTTCCTTTTCTTCTCTAATAAATAGTTAACTCTTTGAAATGAAATATAGTCAAAGCAATACTAAAAGGATGTATTTTTTTAAAAAAAGAAATAATGCAGCTCATAAGCGTTTTAAGCACGAATAGTAAAAACATCCGAGGCCATTTAAACATCTAGAAGAATTAAACCATGTGTTATAAATAAAGAAAAGGTTTAAAATATTCACATCTTATGATTTATATTCGCAAATGTTTAAAACAAACAGAGTTGGGTTTAATTGAATAAACCTAACTAAAAAAACTACGTTTAATATTTATGATTTAATAGGATTGGATTGTATGTTAATTTTGAAGACGAAAAATAGTTATATTGCGTAAATGACATTGCGAACTTAATATAAGGAAATAAAACGTTTTTATTGACTGGATGTGATGCAAAAACAAAGATGAATGAAAGAGGAAAGATCTCATAAGTTGCTAGAGGGTGTTCTATAGCTATGCTAATATTCAACTTTACCAACAGACTAAAAAATATAAAAAATCTGTTATTTATAGGCTGATTATGAGATTTTCACTCGGAGATTTTTTCGTGTTTTCATATAAATAATAGTTGTGAACGTTTAGTAAAAAAGCAAAAATGCAGACTTGGGTTTTATTGTTAAAAATTTATCTTCATAGGTTCAATCACTTAAAATTTTTTTCATAAGATGAAGATTAATAATTCAAAACATTAGCTTGAAAGATTATTAAATTGAAACATAAATAACTTGAAAGATTACTAATTCTAAATAACTTTGGAACCGTTGATACTTAATTAATATTGCTCTTGAATGAACAGTATTTTTTTGCCTAGTCATCTACGTTAGAAATAGTTTCTGAAGATACTAGCAAAATTAGGTGTTTTAGATTCATGTAGGTCACCTTTCTGTTTTGTAAATAATTGCGTAACATTAATTATTAACGATTCATTAATCATTTGCGATTTTCGTCCCAGCATTCAGGTAGTGTTCAATGATTCTAGATTGTTCCATACTTGTTTCACAAAGATAGATAGTTAAAAAATGGAAGCTAAGAAATATATTTTCACCACAGTCACATCAGCTCATCTTGATTTCCTGGAATCTTGTTTCATTTATATGAATGCTGATTACCTTTACAACTTCTACATAGCGCGCGGAAAAGCATTTTAAACTGATTCACCCTTCTTGGTCACAGTGGTTTTTCTTGGTCTGTTTTTTCCTTTCATATTTATTTTTGTCTAATTCTCGGTCATAGTGGTTTATTTGTTGTGTTCCTCACTTTTTACTTTTGGGGCAAATAAAAAAAAAGTTGTTTTATTAATCAAGGAATAGATATTTTATTTGTTTATAATACACATCATCCTGCTTGCTTATTTTATAAATTACTATTACTGAAACATTTAAGAAGTGAATTACAGTAAAGTTGTCTTACTTTATGGTAAACGACTTCCATAGGTTCTGCGGCTACTGACAAACCGTAATCCGCACTTACATGAGAAGGGTTCTTTTCAAAATCCAGAGAGAACACATGAGGCACATTAGATCCTTAAATAATCAAAGTAAGACATTAGTAACAAAATGTTTAAAAGCAGATAAATAGAACAAAAAACTATTTACATGTATCAAAGATCTTAATATTTTTAGAAGAAATATGGTTGAGCACGAGCTAACCAGAAATGGCAGTACATTTGAAAAAATTAAACAAAACAGAGACAATTTCAAAGAGATGGAAATGTGCGTTTTGCCAGTAGCTGCCCTCATTTTGTAATGAATCAGGTTTAGTGAAAATGTCTCCAGTAATTTTGAATCAGGTCGATAGTTTTTAGACTTTTTAGATTAAAGTGACTCCTCATAAATTTAAGGACTATCATTCAACTAGACTATAATTCATCGTTTAATTAGCTTGATTAAATTACCATTCATTGCTCAATAATCTCAGTTAGCTTGATGACATTCAAGCTGGTGGCAAGAAGCACATAATTGTCATGATAGTGAAAGTGTATTGTAAATAACCTTATTGAAAGTCTACGCGAGTTCAAGTCTCAATTCAGTCTTATTGAGTTATTCTTGGCACATTCTCTAAATTTGCCTAAAATACAGGAAGATTGCAATAAGCAGTAAAATATCTAGCTGATTAGAAAATATGAGTCTATTCCAACCTGCCACCAGCACTGAAAAATGCTTGCAATGTTTGCAAACAAAGATAGCTTATGAAATATAGATCTCATGGCAGTTTTTACGCTTGAAGCATAATAAGGTAATTGAAAATTATTTATAAATTTTATCTCTAATGTTCTATGCATCCATACGAGCAGTAAGTAATAATTGTTAAACTATTAACTCACCACTCGTGATATTATCGGCGGTGATGATCGGGACCAGATCGTTTTCCAGAGAGGCACCTTCTATTACAACGCTTTCCGTTCTGGCTGACACTTTGTATGCTTTCGCCCCTGGCCTTGTCTCCAGACTGGATAAGAAGTGCGTTATTGTGGCCACCAGGATTTCCTTACCATCGTTAATGAGAGACAGTGTGCAATTTGCTAGTGTAAAGTTCAGCTTATGGCCTATGTGATTGAGGGCTGCTTCAGGGTCTGGACCCCACCGCTCGTAACCGATACCTTCAAACAACCTTCTTCTTTCTTCAGCTGTCATTCTTGACCACCAACTGCGATCTTTGTCCCCGACGACGAGAAGTTCCTCCTCTCCATCAGTCCGTTCATCCTTGCGATTTTCATCCACACTGTCTGTTTCATCTCCCGTTGATGAGAACCAACTCCAGAAACTCCAAGTTTTCCTGGTGGGAACTCTCCGTACCATGTGAGGTTCCACTTCGGCAATCTAAAAATTAATATGAAGTAAATTCAAACAAAAAATGTTATTAAATTTATTTATCTTATAATCAGTTATGATATATGCATTAACACCAACGGTATCAAATCAATGGCCCCAGCAACCTATATGCTATACAACAGGATGAATGCTTAAGACTTGCCGAAATGAAGAAGGGACACACGTAATAGTATCAGAAATATAGTAACAATTACAGCATCATTTTTCAGGGTTATGAAGTTAAGAAAGAATGCACCTCACATTGCATATAATAGTTCATATGAGACCATTTAAAATTAATGTTCTGCATATTGTGCAACGGGCCTCGATGTAGTACGATTTTTTATGGTGGGTAAGCGTAGTGCAGACGATTATTGTTGAGCGTTTGTTGTTTACGCCAGCAGTCTAGGACAAACATTTGTAAACAAATTGCGTAAAAGTTTTCATGAAAGGCGTACATCACTATCAGATCTTTCAAGATCCAGAGGACGAAGCACACACGAGGATTTATCGTGAATTCAATGCTTCTGTTGATGAAATGATCAGGTGCAAGCGAAGAATAACAACTCGTTGCATCTATGGCGCCTGCCTATGTAATCGCATGCTGCCACTATAAATCGTACTGCTATATGGTTCTGCTCTGGATCCAACCTTTCTTACCTTGGTGGTAAAGTGAACCGGCTTTCACTTGAACCGGCTAATCAGCTTGCGATGCATTCATCTTAATCCAGTATAATCCTGAATGGTGGTACTTCTACCACTCTTGTATTTTGGACGCTATTCCATGTTTCCACTTTTAATTTGTTCAAAACTTATATGTTTTTTATGTTACTTATATGTTTTCCAGGGAAAATCAGTTTCTGATGCAACTCGCTTCCTGAATCACACTCAAATGTGTGGGGCTTTTCCAGATCCCAATGGTCTATACCATAGCTCATCGATCTAAGCAAATTTAGCTAGTGGAAGTAAATAAAAAAAATACATTTGTCCCTCCTCTCATGAAAATGAAATAGTTTCAATAAAAAATAAAAATGAAAAAAGAGTTTATATTAAAGTTTAATTACCTCTATTTTTGCTTGCTCTCTAGATGTTAGAATGCTAACAACATCCAAAGAGTCTTCAAGTAGTTGCATGTCCAGTTTCAACTCTGAGTCGTTAGGCCTCCTCAAATGTTCCTTATACATTGATTTATACTGTCGATATTTATCTCTAAATGAAATAAACATAAATGTAATATTCCGAGTAATTATTTAATACTTCCGGAAATAAATAAAATGTATTATAAAATAATATTTTTTCAGTTTATTTTCAAAATAGGACATTAATTACCTCTTTCGATTGATTTTATTAGAACAAAAGATTCAATTAGATTGATTTTGTTAGAACATTAGAAATCTTTGGAGAAAGTCAAAGATAAAAAAAGTCAATATTCAACGATAATAAATCTTTCAAAGAAGGTTTTTAAAAGCTTAAAAAGCCTTAAAAGCAAATTTAGTTTAATGAGTGTAAGAAGATGTTCTGTTTAATTAACACAATAAAAATTTTAAATATAAAAAATATAGATATTTCGAAACGCAGATGACCCTTCTTTTCTATGCACTGTTAAAAATTCTCGATCAAATTGCGATAAAAAGTACCAGCACTCAGGGTACCGATGCTTTTAAACATAAATCCATTTTTGCCGGGAACAATCAGTCTTAATGACCGTAATTTTTACAGTGATAATTACCGTAAAATCACTGAATCACTCTCACTAAAATATTACTGTAAAATTTACGATAGTAATGAATTTTACGATAAAAATGAATTTTATGGACGATTTACCCAAAGTGCCAGTACTTTATTCCATAATTTTTGCGGATTAATTACGGAATTTTTTACAGTTTGTATATTTACTTAGAATAGTCAATCGCGTTATCTTATTTTAACTAAAAAAGTACTAAATCTTTATATTTCCTGAATAAACAACTATCGTTAAAATAAATAGTTAGTGTAATCACCTTACTAAAATGTTCAACTAGTACAATCAATCTCATAAATTATCATACTCAGTCATATAAACTATAGTATTCAAATTTTAACCTTCTTTAATAATTGAAATTCTTTTAAATTGTTCACATAAAAAAATAAAAGTACTTTGCAAATCCAATTCATAAATTTCTTTTTAATCATAACCCATAAAAGTGCAAAGATTACTTCCAACAACGTCAGAAATAAGCTTAAAAACATTTGTGCATATAAGATATTCAAAATATAGTACTATTTTATGGTGTAACTCACCTGTGCTCTTTTATTCTAGACCAGGTGTAAGGCTTTACATATTCTTCCAAAACAGCTGAATAAGCATCTCTCCAATAATCTGCTGCATGTCCTTTAACGGATAATCCTCTGAAATACTTTCTAAACTTTTGACTCAAAGACATCAACTCAAAAGCTCGGCTAAGCTCATACATACTTACAAACTGTAAAGAATAAAACGGGACATTATTTCAATATTTAAAGAAATAACTTTGCAGAAAAAATATCGAAATTATCTTTCAGAAATAATTTTAAGTGCAGAAACGAATAAAATGGGCCATTATTTTAATATTTAAAGCAATACTTTATTATTAAAAACAACTCCAAAATAAAAAGAGTGAGATATTTTGATATTTAATGTAGTTTCTTAGCTTTATAAATGAAAACTGAATTGGTCTTCCATCAAGTAAAAACGTCTCATTATTCTTTTGGAAATAATATTAATCAATGAAATTAATAAAACAGGATATCATTTCAATATTCAATACAATTACTTTGCCATATTAGCTGAAAATGGAATTGATTTACAATGCTTCTGCATACAATAAAGATGTTTCATCTATCTTTCAGAAATATTTCTAATATTAGAAATTAATAAAAGGAGATATTATTTTAATATTCAATGGAATTATTTTCCCTTAAAAACTGATTTCTTAAATGCTTTTTTACGCAGTGAAAAATAATTCATTATTTTTCAGATGTAATTTTAATCTATAAAATAAACAAATTTATGTATTATTTCGATGTTTAGTGATTTGATATTTAGTTTTGATTATTTTGATGCATTACTTTCCTTGATAAACTAAAAATTGAATTGCTGTTCCATACAGAAAAAAATATTCCATTAGTTTTTTTAGAAATATTAATGTCTGTCATGAATAAATATATATTATTACAATAATAAATGATTTAGAAATTGGAATTTCTGAACTTCGGAAAAATGGAATTTTGTAATTGGTTGGAACTGAATATAACTGCACCCCGGCAAGAATTGTGTCATATAACTCTAAAATGCAGCATTTGAGAAAAATCAACTTAAAGAATACTATACAATTTATTCTGAAATAGACACAAAACTGACCTCAGCTGGATAAATTGCGAGTTAGTGATGTGGCATTTTTTGAGCTGGATGGGGCACTTCATACATATTTTTTATTCATATAACCTCAAAATTGCTGCTTTTTAACTTATGTCACTTTTCTTGCCGATGTGTGAAATTAATTTAATTTAGCGTAATTAATTTAGTGTAATTACTTACTTTAATAACTGAAAACTGAATTGCTTTTCCATTCAGAAAAAAAATTTCATAAGTTTTTTTAGAAATATTATTCTCTGACATGAATTAATCTATATTATTACAATAATAAATGATTTGGAAATTGGAATTTCAGAACATCAGAAAAATGGAATTTTGCCTCCATTCTAATTAATTTTTAGTGTTTTTTCATAAAGCACAAAACGTCTTAATATCATTTAAAAAATATTTTTCATTTCTCAATATCTATATGCTTTCTGAAACTCTATTAGGTGACCTTAAAATATGACATTCTAGAAAACTTTTGAGATATTTTTGAAAATTTGTTCAAGTTTTAAAAACATAAATTTAAAGTTCATATGTTGCATAAAAGCAAAGTATTTGCAAGTATCAGATTGAAATATAAACAGTTTGAAGAATTTTAAAAACCTAATATTCATTTTACATTCAGTGATAAGATATAATGATATTCAAATTAAACCTAGTCCTTCTTCTTATAAATTATAATATATTTTTCACTTAAATATCTTTTAAACTCATTAAGAGATATTGCAAGAAAGCAAATAATGGAAAGTTTCCAAGACAAGTAAAACGTTTTTATAGTTTTTAAATTCTTGTTTCGTTAAGAGATGGCGCTTTCCAATAAATATGTTCACTTCCTTGAATCAATCATTTTTAATAAATTTCTTCATTGGGGCTGTTTTTCGTACATGGCATTTTTAGAGCTGAGAAAATTCAAACCTTTTGTTTTAAAGCTATTTACAATTCAGAAAGTTTTATAAGTTTTTATTTCATAAAATATTTTACAAGTGCATTGAAAGTTGAAAAAAATGAAAAAAAATTACGAAAGTTGAATGATATATATATATA